GTAATTTCAACTAAAATCCTATTAAATTATAATATTCATTAAGGTATGAGTTATACACTAATATCATATCCACTCTACACTCTACAATAATATCATATTTAATCATTTGTTCTAAATAATAGTCTTTCTTTTCATAACAATATAAATATCTAACCCAAGTTAGATTTTCCTAGAGAGACCGAACATAAATTAGATTACTTAAAAGCATTTCATGATTGTTGTCATGTACATATAATAGACAGATATATTCGTTCATCTTCTTTGTTAATGTTGATGTAAACATGTGATGCCTTTTTAATATGAATTCATTTATTTAGCTTTTATAGTTATGTCAATCTTTATGTTTGTTCTTAAATGGTTTCAATATTAATTTTATTCTTGAACAAATTGTACATAAAATAATTCTTAATATATAAAAAAGGATCTCATCTACGTATATGTGAGCTTCTTTTCTAATCAATTAGAATGAAAAATATCAAAGTTCTTTTTTCAAATAATCTTCATCTGTTGATTTGGCTTTTGCTTTATCTTTTTAGTGTTTACATAATTATATATCAAAAGCTCTTATATCTCAGGTGAAATATTTTCTAAATTGAAAAAGTTTTTCTAAATAAGGTCTAAAAAATCATATATCTTAGGTAAAATACTTTAAATTGATATTTTGCTAATTTTAACTTGATCTTTTTTAAAATTCAATTTACTTCTAGCTAATGATAAGTTATGTGAGTTTTGTTTACTTTTAATATTAACAATGTACACACAAAAAATTAACATCAATTTAAAATTGCCTACTATATTATGTATGTGCTAATTTGTATTACTTTGTTTTGATCTCATTCGGTTTCATATTTTTCAAATACATATTTTATTTATTTTTACTGTTTATAATGTACCCAAATATGTTTTATATTAACAATTACTTATAAACTACATATCTGAATGTAGTTTCAATTTCTAATTCAAATTAATATTTCATATATAATCCACGCATAGCGTGGGCAACTTTTTAGTAATAATATATGTTTAAGAATGTAAAGTAGATTTAGTGCGTAAAGTGAAAGACCAAAGTTAGCGTAATATTTTTTTTTTTTTTAAAGAAGAACAAGAAGGGAAGGATCCAAATTCCTTCACAAGTGTAGTTTTCATGAAACGTGACACAATACTATGATAAGATGTTGACCAAAACACACACATGTCTATCTATCTATTTATCTAATTAAAATATAGTAAAAAATACTTTAAAAGTCTTGATTTTTTTACAAGGCAGAAAGGACTTCAAATGTACCAAACAATCCACTTTAAAATTCCTATGCCTTTTTACTTTTGTAAAAAGATATTTTAAAAGAGGGTTACCAATTTTACTAACACACCATTTGCATATCAACCCCATTTTACTTAGTTGTAATTGCAGTTGATATCATTGCATGTTCTGAATTATTCATCTTAGTCAAATCCTGTTTACATATCATCATCAGCATTTATAAATGATGTCAATGCTCTTAAATCTTCATTCAGAAATCAATTTGATGATAATTAGTAAAATACAAATACATGCATGTCCTTCGAATGTAAACTCTTATTCAAACCATATTGGGTCACCAATCTGAAAGATTGTGTTTTGACTTAGTTATTTGAATCTATATATGGTCGACTAAAAAAAGGTATTCATATAGTACATAAATGAACTCATGTCCATTCGTTATATATATACACGTTATAAGTGCTATATTAAGGTGCTTGACACTTTTGGATACAAACAACCAAACTCAAAATCAAAAACAAAAACGGTGGCTGCTTCCCTCGAGATCACATGTTTCGGTGGCACTTATATGCGATCGATATATGCCTCTCATGAGACTGAATATATCAAAAACACGTTCTAAATTAAACTAGATAAGATCGATCTATAAGAAAACTAGATAAGATCGATCTATAAGAAAACTAGAGATACAATGTAAATAAAAGCAACATATATATACATTCGTAAAGTATCACATTACTTGGCATCAGTAACTTAACTCGTGTTCGTGTAGTAAAATCACATTTTTCAGCTGGTTTTCAAGACCAAAAGTACTAGATTCAGTAGTTTTTGAAATTTTTTCCTTTCAAATAACTCGTCAAATTTGTAGGAATATGGTATGCATAGGGAAATCCCTTTTGTTTTAGTTATATATTCATTTGAAATTTATTAAAAAATTGGAACTAAAATCTACTAATAAACAAAATGATAGTGAAAAAAGATTAATGAAATTCAGTGTGGAATTTTAAGAGATTTGTGTAGAATTTATAAATCAAGTATTATTCAAACATGAATCTTAAAATTTTTCATGAAATCCACTATTATTGAACTAATGATTTCAAAATCTACCTAAAAATCCACTGTTATTGAAAACAATTTGTGGATTTGACTTTTAATAATTTTGAAGGATTTGAGAAGATTTTCTTAGTTAAAAATATAGAAATCCAAATCTCATGATTTTTGGTGAGATTTGAAAGGATTTTACAAAAGTTATATTAACTTCTCCTAAAATCAATCATCATAATCATTTAAAAACTCCGTAAAACTCAAATTTTTAAAAATCCCATTGTGAATACACACTCTTTAGATTTCAAGACTCTAATTTTGTTGTTTAGTAAAAAAGTAAAAAAAAAAAAGAAGCCGGTGAAACTTCATAACAAGAGGGAATTACAGCACGTGTGGAATAAAAAAACGTGATAAGCTACCGCGTTGCCACGTAATCATCATCTTCTTCAATAACGCGCATACAAGCTGCGACCTTCTTCTTCATCTTAGAACTGTACTTATCACACACACATGTATATATTCACTCGCAAGCCGCCATTTTCACTATACTGTCAACTCCTTAACAACACCTGAGTATACTTACACTTAAACCCTACTTTTCATCTCTCCCTCAACCTCAAAATACTCTAAACCCTATTTCCATTTTTTAGATATGGATGCATCTCCCAAGTACACGGGTGTACGGAAGAGGAAGTGGGGGAAATGGGTGGCTGAGATTCGTCTCCCCAACAGTCGTGAGAGGATCTGGCTCGGCTCTTTCGACTCAGCCGAGAAGGCGGCGCGTGCTTTCGACGCGGCTCTTTACTGTCTCCGTGGCCCTGGAGCACGTTTCAACTTCCCCGAGAATCCGCCGGAGATTCCCGGAGGTCGTTCTCTGACGCCGCAGCAGATTCAGGCCGTGGCGAACCGTTTCGCCAGCGAGGAGGAGATACTACCACCGCAGCAGCAGCAGCAGCAACAGCGCCATCTCCCGTCGCCGCCACGTGGCGATCGTGAGACGGAGGAGGAGGAGGAAAAGATAATTTCGGCACGTGGGGAAATGAGTGGTGGTAGTGGTGGGGCTGTGTTAGGGCAAGTTGGGGAAGATAATAAAGACAACAACAACGAGGGTAATAGTAGTAATGACACGACGTCGTATTGGCCTTTTATATGGGAGGACGAGAATTTTGTAGGTCCTCAAAACTCGGAGGAGTTGGGTTTTTTCACGGATGATGATTCGACCAATTTGTATTTTCCAACACAACAGCTCTCGTCTGATTTTTACTACGACGGAGCTTGTGAAGATGATGATTTCTCTCATTACAGTATTAACCTTTGGAATTTCTGAGATCCATTTTTTTTCGTGATCTTGGACGACCAAATATTCCTATTTATACTGATTGATTTATAATTCAATTTGTGGATTTTCAAGATTTCAAAAAATGATCTTGAAACATTGTTTGAAGCTATCGAGCTATATATATGTCACAATGTAAGCAAGCCTCTTATGGTATAGTTATAGCTAGACTTCATCATCTTATTCTTCTTCATTTTTTTTTTGTTTACTATACCAATTTGTTTCACATATCGTTTTTCTTTTTCTTTGTATTTATGTGCTTTGTCCTGCCAGTAGCCTCACTGCAATTTCCTTCTCTTTTCTAGCATTTGCTTGCATTTTTTTTTTGTAACAAGCCAATCTTGACCCACTATATTTTGGTCTAGATCGATGGTTCCCCTATATATATATGTGTTAATTATTCTATAAGTACTCATGGTTTTACGTGGATGAAATGTTGTTATATATAGAAACTTGTACTAAAAACTTGATACAAAATATCATATGAATGATCAGCTGTGAATGATGTTAGTCTAACTTGTGGAGTCATCGTCACAAATATAATCAAAATGTATATTTGATGGATAAAATAAATTATTTGTGGCAAAAGTCGAATACTGAGAAACTTTACCGAATTTAGTAGTTAGTACTATATATATATTTTTTTTAGTGTTGAAAGTCCTTACAATAAGAGTGTTCTCTATTGTATGACGTTAGCAGACCAAGTTTGCTCAGCTTTTATAGGTCCATTTGTCGAGAATCTGAGATGGTAAAGCTTATTTTTCACGTAAATCTTACCTCTAAGATACCTTTGATAATGCTGCTCTTAAACCGTTTAATTAAGAACCTCTTGAGTGTTTTCTTTATTCTATAGTCATACTCTATGATATTTTTCCAGTTTTTGGATTACTTTCTTATAAAATTATAAAAGAAACGATACAAAACAAAGTCATAAAATCAAAGTGATTCTTTTTTTTCAAACACAGACGCAATGAACTTATAAGAGTTACTTTACTTTGTGCAGTAGCATGGTATACTGCAAAATAGTATGGCAACCTTGTTTTTTTTTTTATAAGGAATTTTATTGATTTGATGCTCGACCACATATAGGATATTGTTGTGTAATGTGTGTTTGATGGTGTAAAGTTACGTAAAGTAGTTTCTGATGGCGATTTTGAGTACTACTGTATATACGAATGACTCTCGATTGTTGAGGGTTGGCCCTGGGAGCCGAGGAGCAATGTGAAGCCCAATGGTCCCCAAATGTTAAGGATTCCACGTTGTGTGAAACAATTATGAGTAATATATATAGCCCAATGGGCTAAAAATAATCTCAACTTCAACTAATCCTGGTTTAGTCTCTGATATGTGTAAACCTATTGATCACTTGATTTGAGCTGGAAAACTCTAAACCCAAACTTGAAACCTCTTTTCACGGTCCTTCACACGGTCAGCTAGCCACTTGAGTTTCTTGTAACATTTAACTAATTAAGTAGCTAACCACTACATCACATTAGTCTGATTCTATTGATGGTAACTCTTGACTGACGAGTATATAAAATCATGCAAGCACCACGTTACGCTCTAAGCTAGGTTGTATGGAATGGGAACACATTCGATCGAGATCATAGCGATGGTCTTGGAATCAGTTATCAACTCTAAACTGAGGGAACTTGAGTTCCAACTCTCGTGTTCGGAGAGCCGCCCATAAGTCAACTCCAGGATATATACGGGGCCTCCTCCTTAATTGCTTATTAAATTCTAGTTGGCTCCATATGTTTTTGGCATGTTTAACTAAAAAGAGTTGCTAGTACAAAGCTTATTTCTTTTCATTTAAAAGACAAAACTTCTTACCCATAAAAGTACCACGGACGTAGTGATCCTTAATGTGTATTTTTTTTTTTTAACTTATCGTAGTAGACACTTCGTGACGATTAAGAAGGTTCTTTATTCGCAAAACAAATACAACAATACTTTGGCATTGACGTAAATATATTAGTACTATTCAGTACTATGTTCTGATCTTCAAACGGATACTTCCACTAGAGAGAAGGGTAGTAATAAGTAATAATGGAGTTATAGGTCCACAATTTATAAACTCTCATACACCAAAAAAAAAAAAAAAGTCAAATTGTTTCCGTTACAAAATCACGAACACCCAATCTAAATTACAGATTTATTTCCTAATTAATATTGTACATACATATGTATTTGACTTTTAGTTAAAACTATTAAGTTAAATCAACAAAAAAAAAAAAACAACATTTCGTAACCAAAAAAACAAAAACATTAAAAATTCTAGCTATTTTTTGTTAATCACTTTCTAGAAAAGTATTAATTGTTATTGTCATTGTTACCTAAAAAAAGATATTTACCTAAATTTCTCTAAGTTTGTTTGATTAGCATTACAAAGCAGAACATCATTAATTACAGGTAAGTTATACAAAACGTAGAGAACAAACTGACTATTCAAAGCAAGATCAAAACAAGGAAAACAATAGTAGTTAACAAAATTGTAGGCCTGCATGTATGTACGGTGCATGCAGTCAATAAATGCATTTTTTGTTTTTTTCCTTTGACATCTGTTCTATATACGTAGACATATGCAATAATTTCAACAATTACTAATACATCTCTTTCTCTCTATCTCTATCTAGTTAATTACCTCTCCCTCTCTTAATTACTCATTTTTAATTTTCCTCCGGTATCAAAAATCTTAATATTGTTATCTTGCCCTGAAAAAGGAGAAGAAAGAAAAAAACATGGCTCCCTCGTTTCTAAGCGTCGCAAAATTCGTTGAGGCACTACTCCGCCGGAGATTCTCCTCCGCCGGCCTCTCTCTACAAACCATATCTATCGACTCCGAAACCACCATACAGTTCTGGGGACCACCACCACCGTCTTCATCGTCGGAGAACACACAAAAACCGTCGCTCCTCCTCCTCCACGGTTTTGGCCCTTCCGCTGTATGGCAGTGGAGCCATCAGGTGAAGCCACTCTCTCAATCCTTTCGTCTCTACGTCCCCGACCTTGTCTTCTTCGGCGGCTCCTCTTCCTCCGGCGAGAACCGCTCAGAGATGTTTCAGGCGTTGTGCATGGGGAAGCTCATGGAGAAGCTAGGCGTCGAGAGATTCAGCGTCGTTGGTACGAGCTACGGCGGGTTCGTGGCGTATAACATGGCCAAAATGTTTCCGGAGAGAATTGAGAGAGTGGTGCTTGCGAGCTCCGGGGTAAATTTGCGGAGGAGTGACAACGAGGCGTTCATAGCGAGGGCCAAGTGTCACGGCATCAAGGATGTGATGCTTCCTTCATCCGCGACCGATCTCAGGAGAATGTCTGGGATGGTTTCTTCTAAGAAACTCAATTATGTTCCAGATTTTGTCTTGAACGACTTTTGTCAGGTACTTTTATTTATTTTGTCTTACTTAAGGAAAACCCCCACTAAGGACCTTAATTAAAGTTTTCTTAAAGTATATAAAAAAAAACCTCAAGAAATTCGAAAACCTATACATATATGTTTAAAACTAACTACTCCAACTATTTTATAAAAGTCTCTATATTTATATTACAAAACTTAGATTTTGCTCTTTACAATTTTTAAAATCAAACATATATATATATATACAAAAGTTTTTTTTTTGCTTCCATGAATAACATGTATTATTATGCGAATTTCTATTTGATGATGACGCATTAACACTGCCGACAAAAAAAAGATGACGCATTAACACTTTTAAAATAAACTATGATATTGTATGCTATTTTTACAATTTTCTTGCTCTATGTAATTGATTTTATATGAAGGTTTAATTTAGTTGTATGAAGAAACTAATCCCACACTTATTGCTCTCTGTTGTCCTACAAACAACCCACACTTATTGCAAATATTTATACTGTAAATTGTAAGAAAATAGTGGAGTATAAAGACCACTGATTTATTATTAAATCTTTAGAAAGACTAGTGGATGAAAAAAAAAACAAAGGAGTAAGGACCAAATATACTACTTTCAATAATTAAAAACAAATAAATACAGTTATATACTATCTTGTTGTTGAAAAAAGTGCATAGTGATATAACATAGTTTTGAAGACTTTAGAGAAATGAATATAGGACAATTTTGTAATTGCAAATATTTTATTAGAGGAAAAATTTTATTACATACACAATACAAAATGTGGTTTTTACTAATCGTAAATAGTAAATTCATATATCCTATTAAGTTTACAAAATGTACTAATTTGCCAACTTTCTCAATTAAAAATGGTTAATGCACAGACAATGTATTCGGAGAAGAGAGAGAAGAAAGCAGAGCTTCTGGACGGACTGAGTATTGGCAAGGACGACAAAACTAACGTTTCTCCGATCCAACAGGTTCGCCGATCGCTATCGCCACTTTTAATTTTCTCTGGTTTTACGTTATTACTCACGATAATCTATAATTTTGTTAGTTGCTGACATTTATTAGGTATTAAAATAGTGGGGTTTCTGAATATAGTACGAGACTACGAGTCTACGACATTACATCAAAATGTGCAATGATATCTTTGAATTATAAACGTATGAAAAAACCCATCTATAGTAGCGGAAACGCATCTCTAAACCCATAAAAGTATGTAGTATAATATCTTTGAATTATATTACAAGTTGATTGTGGAAATATCGGAAAGTAGGTATAATTAAACCACAACATAATTTGTGTAGCACTGAATATTTTTTTAAATAAACAAACTATATTTGTAATGGAGTAGTAGTATTCTTCATTTTTTCTGACATATTTATGAAAGTAATCATCAACTTTTACAAACATCATGCATAAACAACTGATTTTTAAGAGACACCAGATCTATCCTAAAAACAGCTTCAAATGACATATGTCAACAAGTAATGAATAAGGTTGAATCATGCAGGATGTAATGCTGATATGGGGGGAGCGAGATCAAGTTTTTCCTTTAAAAATGGCCCATGACCTCCTAGAGTAAGACCCTCGATTATTTCTATGTGGGTTTTGATCATGAGTACAATTTGTATACCATGAGTACAATTTGGAACGGTGCTAGGTTATAAGGTAGTAACTAATGACGAGTTATTCATATTCGTGTGGGTTTTTGAATATTTTTACCAGGACGTTGGGGAAGAAGGCGAGGCTAAAAGTGATACAAAAGACATCACATATACCCCAAACTGAAAAGTCCAAAGAATTTAATGGTATTGTCATGTCTTTCTTATTACCTCCCTCTCCCTCTCCATCATTATAAATGTATAACATCCATATATAATGATCAACTATTTTTTTTTCAGATTTTAATTATGTTTTTGTCAATATTTATAAGTTGTTTGTGTACAGTTTCAAATTAAATACATTTGAGAAAATTTGTAGCATGATTATTAACGATGCATGCCAAATTCCATGAGACAAAGTCCAGAACATTTATAAACATTGTAAAATGAGAATGTTCCACTGGATCGAGGATCCCTGTAATGGTCTATGGATCACTTCTTAATTTGTAGCTAATGAGACGAAGGTGGCGATATAAAAATGAATGTGATTAAGTAAGTCAGCAAGGTCAAATTTCGTATGATTCATCGTTAATTTATACATGTCATACTCATATATATATTACACTTTTAGTTATTAGAACTTATCTTCTACTGTTCAAAAAAAAAAAAAAAGCATTAACAAATTGGTGGCTCTTATATGTCATCTGGACTGGGCCTGCGTGGGGAGCCTCTTTAAGATTGCTTATTATATTTAACAAGTATATAGACTTGAGCCATTTATGGGTCTTCTTGACCGTGAGTCGTCTTTCCTTTTTGTCTGGTCACACACAACACTACTTCGAAGATTGACTACAACTCCGCTTAAGAGTTGAGATATTGGAAAATGCTTGTTTAAGCTACTATCTTTTTAGAGTGAGCGCAAGTCCTTTAGTAGTAGTAATTTTTATAACCCAATATTGGATATGTCGTAAGACCAAAGCCCAAGACCTGAGTAAACTAGACTAACTACCCACTTGGATCAAGTGGGTTAGCACATAATTGTCCAGACCCATGAGCCATACTCTATTTCTAAGTTAAAAAAAGGACATTTCATATAAAAACCATTTTTCAAGAATTTATAGTTATTAGTTAAGACCATCTCCGCCGGTGGGAGATGGTGAGAGATTCTAAAAAAAAAGTATATTTATATTTTAACTTATATATTTATATTATATTATTTAAATACAACTAAGCAAATAATAAAGTGACAAGTGTGATTAAGAGTTCATAGTAAGGCTCCAAAATCTCTAATATAGAGATCCATAATTTTCTCTTTCATGTTTTACTAATATTTTTTTTAAATTTTTAGTCTCTAAAAATTTAGTTTAGATACTATCTTTGGAGATGCCTTAAGAGTTAAGACAAGGGTTTTTGAAATAAAACTTTGTGATGTTATATTATCAAGGGATCTAGAATTTCATCATCTTATTTAACTACTAAGACCATCATTATTGGGGGGATCTTAGCCTCAATAATGATGCCCTAAGCCTTCTAATTATACTAGACCTGAACGGCCCTTAGCTAGAATGGAGATTTAGAGGTTCGAAGTTGATTTATGATGCATGCATGCTAGGAGCATTCAAATGGTAGAAGTTGATTTATGACATGTCACGGGGATGTAGTTCATTGTCTTTGAATGATCTCATCTACAGCACTCTGAGAAAGCATGAACTCATGACAACCCTTTGTCTTTTTTTTTTCTTTTCTTTCACAATAACATTTTAACGTACATTCCTCCAACATTAATGTATTCCGAAAAGGCTTATATAAACAGTATTTAGCATCACAGACAGAAGCATTTTCATTTCAACGAAAATGGGAAAAAGACAAAGTTTAAAATAGAGATAGTGTTGGCCAAGAGCCACCCACTAATCAAGCTGATGTTGAAGATGAAGTTGGCACAGTCCAACGTTGATTGTGTTAAAGTGATAAGCAACCAGATAAAAGATGTTTTAGGTATATAAAAGTAAATGAAAAACGGGAAATTGAGGATAACAAAAAGGGAATGAAGGGGTTAGGGAATGCCACGTACGGGACAAGAAGGTGTGGGGAGGCAAAGGCAAGGCAACAAACATATATATTTGAGTGGGGTAAGTGGATATATCAGACACGATAGATTGAACATTAATTGAAAAGCGTAAAGCAAAATGAGGATAAAGAAGGAGGAGGACCCCATATGGCAATGATCCTGATCCTGATATCTTGAGATCCTATGTTTGATACGCGGTTTCGAATTTGAATGCTTTACGCAACTCTAAGCAGCGACTCTTCTTCCTTGTTTTATTTTACCAAAGTATCTTCTTGTTTTGTCTTCTTCTTTCTGCGGAAGATAAAGGTTTGACCTAAGAAGAATTTATAACGTACAATAGAACGTTGATGCCGTTGTTAATTATCAAAATTTGCCTCTTTCTTAAAACTTACAAACAATGTTTTACGTACTGATTTGGTTGCATATATAAACACATGTGGTTGAATTGGATCAAAGATACAACTAATTAACTATATATATAAAAATGAAATTAACGAACTTGTTTTGTGTTATCATCATATATTTGTACGTGTATAGTTTTAGGATTAAGATAAAAAGCATGTAAGTTGGACACAACCGATACGTAAAAGGGCGCACAACTAATATAATTTAAGAATAACAAGTAACATATTTGTTCTTTTAGTTTGCGCGTGACAAGATATGTTGTTGATACTATCGATCGGATTTTAGACAAACCATGTGGTGTATTGTTATATGCATTATAGTGGGTTTCAATAATATGATAGTATTTGGATTTGTTGATGTAAATATGCGCTAAAATAATTCATGTAAATAATGACCTAATTTGTTCAAAACTGATTCAGCTACATCTAAACAATATGATAATGAGAAATTTGCATGCGATCCACCAATAAAAGTAATAATGACAATATATATAAGAATGATAAACATAAAAATCTTCCAAAAGTAGTAAACTGGTAAGAGCAAACAATTTGAATATCCGACCCGAAGGAACTTTTTCATCGAAGAAACAACAAAAGAAAAAAAGAAAAAGAGGGAAATACTGTCGGCTGGGGAAGATGTTTTAAGTGGGTCCCATGTTTTGATCTGTGGATAACTCTCACCACCGTTTCTCCTTTAATTTTTTTATTATTATTACAAAAAAATAAAATAAAAAAAGAAATGACCACCTCGTCATCGCCACGTCACATTCATCCTCGTGGTAGTTCCTATCCAGCCGCAACGGTCTTCATTCCTCCACGTGTCCATCTCCCCATGGTTCTATTCTATCTTCTTCCCTCGATACCCTAATTAAGTAATTAAATAACCAAAACAATTATATGTGATATGGGAAGGAATATATAAAAAGATAACGTATAAGTAATAAATATATTCGATTTACGCGGCGATTTTGTTTTCAATTTACTCCCCTATATTTTTTGCATCTCTATAACTCACCCCTGAACTCTCATATAATATTTTTGTTTGTTTGTTGTCCCTAATCCCTTACTGTGGTGTACTTTTTCTTGAAGAAGCTTAAAACAGTGTAGTATTTTGATAATCATCCAAATGAATCTAACCTGATCTTAACCGTATTTCATCATAATGGAATATTAGTCAACACAAACCTTAGATGTTGAATGATGTGATGCTTATGGGGTTTGAAATGTGAACAAGAAAAGTAAAACGACGAAATTGTAAATAAAGAAAAATAAGGTTTGCATGCAGAGTGCGTGGATAAGGATAAGGTTAAGCAACAGTTTCTTTTGTCCCCCCTCCTCTTCAAAACTTTTACTTACTTATATTATCTTCTCCATTCTAATATTTTTTTTTGGAACGTCGTAAAGTATTAAACAACGTGATAAATATTTAATAATTCATTTTGTTTTTGGTTTTTATTTGTATTTAATGTTACTTTAGGAAAACCACCAGTTGGGCACATAGACAAGAATATCATCACAATATAAAGTTCTCATCTTCTCTTCTCTTTCTTTTCTCCTCTGTGTATTGTGTGTGTTTCAAGAAGAAGAATAAAAACAACAATAAGTTCCAAGATTTTTTACTTTAAGATGGATAATAATAGAGTTGAAGCTTATGTGTTTAATTTCTCCGGCGATAATTCTTCTGATGAATCTCATCCGGCGTTACCTAGTTGGTTATCTCCTTCTGATTCCTCCTCTTCTCCTTGCTCCTCTGCTTCTTCTTCCATCGGGAGGAACAGCGACGACGGTGAAAAGTCGTCGGAAGACGGTGGTGATGACGCCGGAGATAATGAAGTTGAGTCTCCCTACAATGGCCCTCTCCAAATGATGGAATCTCTCGAACAAGTCTTACCTGTTAGGTGAGAGATCTCTCAATTTTGATTCTTTTTGTCTGCGTTTGTCGTAAAGTATCGATTTTTATAACTCATAACTTGCAAAGTATACGAATTTGAGGATTCTGATTTATGTTGTGTGAATGTGTAGGAAGGGGATATCCAAGTATTACAATGGAAAGTCAAAGTCTTTCACCAATCTAAAGGAGCAGGCAGCGTCAGCGTTGACTTCTTCTTCCTCCATGAAAGACTTAGCCAAGCCGGAGAATCCCTACAGTCGCCGTCGGAGGAATCTTCTCTGCCATCAGATTTGGGAGAACAGCAAGACGACTCCACGCGGCGGGATCTCGAAGAAACACGTCATGAGTTCGAGCAGGAGTGCGTTGACGCTTGCCATGGCGGTTGCTGCCGGGGTGATGACCGGAGAAGGATCTTCCTCCGGTGGAGACTCGTCGCCAGGATCGAGTCCGACGACATCTGGATCTCCTCCGAGGCAGAGGGATCATAAAGATCAGATGATGAAGCTTCTGCCTCCGTTGTATCCTAGGAGTCAAGGGTCTTTTAGTAATTTGACTTCGTCTCAGTCGTCGTTGGGTTTTTGTGCCTGGAGATCTTATTCGGTGGCTGATTTTCCGAGGTGTTTTCCGGCGACGGCGAGTGGGATCGGATCTAGTGACTCTTAGGAAATCTATATAACAACAATTGTTTTGTTAAATTTTTAATATTTTGAAGTAACAACATCCCGGAGAATGTATAGTAAGAGTTTCAAAACTTTTGAATGAATCCACATCTTTTTTTCATCATTTTGGTTTTTTTTTGGTTCTATAAATTAGATCTCTACCAAATCTGTTATCTATGTGTGGAAAGTCCAACATTCTTCTTTTATTTTGTTCTTATCCAAGTTTTCAATGCAAAAAGCCTTACAAACCATATGAAATTATCTATATTTGTTTATAATATGACAAGTAGTAATTAATAAGGTTGTATGTTTGGTGATAAGTGGTTTGAGTCTTATCCACAAAGCCTACCTAAGTACATTTATACGAAGAAGCATTTGTGTCCACTCTTTTTAGGCTAAGTTTGGAAGCAAGTGGTTCGGCCTTTATGGCTTTTTATCTCATTCTTCCTTTACCTTTTTTTTCTTTATGGAACTGATCTACTTCCACATTGGAAGTGGATCTTGCTAGTAAGATGTTGTCGTGGAGTTTCACTAAGGGGGAAGAATAGTCGTTTCCCTAAAATATGTTCAAGAAACGACCAAATAATATAGTCAAAGATATGCCAAGGTTAAGATTCTATATTTACATATAATATTGGTATATCCCCACATTCATGAACAACACAAGGTACACAATCGCTATAAAGCTCAACAACAAACAAGCTCCAAAATGTCAAAAGAGCAAAATATACAAAACCTTCATTCTTCTGCTTGTACTCCAAAATAGATGGAGCCCGTCACAAGCTGTTTCCACTTGTTTCGGATTTATGGAGCTGGAGAAGTAATGAATTTGAAACGACGAAGATCGAGCTCAATGCCATTAGTCCACCTGAAAGCATTTTTTATGGGTAAGCAAGCATAATATATGATTAGATTGGAAGTGAAACAAACTGTTTTGTAAGCTGTAATTAAACTAACTGGAATGAGTCCGCTTACCGGAGAGGGAAGGAGTCATTGCGAAATCATACTGAGGAAGCAAGACACCTGCAGCTATAGGGATCGAGATTACGTTATACGCAATTGCCCACGCTAGATTCTGATATACTTTCGACATTGTTGCTTGTGCAAGACTCAGTGCATCTACAACCTACAACCAAAAAGAAAAAATCATGAGTGATGAGCTAATACAGATTTGATTTTGAACGGAGAGATTTTTGTCCCTTGAATGAGGGCAAGTGACTCATGAAGCGTTTACATGAGAAAGTTTGTTGCGGACAAGTATGACTGATGCTGCGTTTGATGCAGCATTTTCTTGTGCCTCAATCTTTAGAGCTATTCCTACATCAGCTTGAGCCAACGAAGGAGCATCATTTATGCCATCGCCCACCTTCGAAAGAAACAAAATGTGTTAATCTAACTTACTCCATTTCTATAATACACCAGTTCCATGAGTTGAGAGTCCAAATTTGTACGTCGAAGATATGGTAAGGTTCTAGAATTCGCATAACCATGAACTTCATGACTTCATGGAAAATAAGTTGAGAAAAATACTCATTCTTGCAATTTAGTTGAAGAGCTCACCATAGCAACACGATGTCCAGAGGATTGAAGATCAGATATAAACTTGAATTTCATTTCAGGAGACAAGGAATAGTTGGTTGATTCACTCTCAATCCCTACATTCTTTGCCACTGTTGCCACTGCCCCTTCCCTATCACCTGATAAGAGAACTGTTTTGATGCCCTTCTCCTGAAGCCTTTTTGATTTGATGAACAAGAATAACTACCACGATTAGATCCCGATAAGGTCCACAAGAAAAGTAGCATGTAATTCATGTTAATATGCTGACTAAACATAAAAACCAGGGTTACTTAGTTTCATTAAAAAAATTGACGGTTAGAGGGAAAAATTACCTGGCTACAGTAAATTCAGCATCTTGGCGCAAGCAATCAGATATTGCAATAGCACCAATAATCCCTTCTCCTTCACGGCCAACATATACCACAGTCTTCGAGTACCTAGACGTTGATGATGTGCTAGATAATTTATGATCCAAAAAACATTCCAGCTTCACCATGTCCGAGGAGTCATTCTTTTTGAGGAAACGATCAGAAACCCACTCAAGTGAACCCACTGCAACCAAACATCCATCTATTTCTGCCAAAGTACCAAAGCCTGGTTCCGTCAATTGGCCTCTTGTTTCTGGAGTTTCCAGATTCAGTGCAGCAGCCTCGTTTACAATAGCCTTTGCTATTGGGTGTGTTGCTGTCTTCTCCACCGCAGCAGCCAATTCAAGAACTTCTTGTTCTTTGTATCTTAGAGAAGCAACACCAGAGACGACAGGTCTTCCTTCAGTAAGAGTCCCTGTCTGAAACAATAACTCGATTTTTTCAACTATGAGAGGCAACTGGAACTGTTCACACCTATCTTATTTTCAAAGATTTTCCATCTTCATATAAAAAAGAGAGAGTGAAGAGATGGGTGAAGATGATCACAGAAAGTCCAACAGATTAGAAATACCTTGTCTAAAGCTACACAATCTATGGAAGCCAGACGTTCTAAGACATCTCCTCCTCTGATAAGATATCCCCGCTTTGCTCCTGGACATATTTAGGCTGAAAGTTTCAACAATCTCGAATTTATTGTTGTTTATCACAATTTTTCAGGTAATATAATGTTTAAATACCCCTATAAACATGAAAAATTACCACAAGGAGTGCACGTACAACACCACAGAACCTAGAAAGGAGTTTCTTCATATTTTAAGCCAGTTTTAGTAATTTTATGTATTAGCTAAAGTCCATAAAAAACAGGAGTTTCAAACCAATAGATAAATTTTCATAAACTAGGCTAGTCAGCAGGCTAACATAGAGCAACAACAATCGGTAAATTCAGTGTCATATTCCAATCTTCCTAATAATTGGAAAACTTTGCACGCAATTAGGTTACTCTTCTCAGCTAGGTTTGCAGACTTTTATGTGCAAGTTAAATAGTATGCTGGATAACATACCAAGAGAGGTGCCAATTAATATGGCAGTTGGTGTTGCAAGGCCCAGTGCACAGGGGCAAGAAACTACCTGATGTACACAAAAAAAAACAAGTTGATTATCTGCTCAATGTTTTTTTTCTCTACAAATTTCATTTCTATCCCTCTTTTATCCTACATTCCCTTCGTGAATTCACATTTTCCTCCTTAATCAAGTTTCGTGAAATTTGAACATGAAAGATATATATTATAATAACTTTGAGATGCCTGCCTGGCTCACTCACCAAGACATCCACGGCCAGTTTTAGGCTTAAGGCCAGAGGATCTCCATCAGGACCAGCAATATCATTGAGTAAAACATCTGGGAATATGTGTGAACCAATGTAATACCTGAAGCAAGAAAGCAACTGGATCTCACTTGGTGATCCTGAAAAGGTAACTGACACATGATGCTCTACTTTATACTATAACTAAATAAACAGATTCCTGCTAGACAGATATAAGAATCTCACTGAAAGTTCAGATGTTCTTTCCGATAGAAATATGAAAAGAGGACCATACCAGAAGGCAAACGTCACTGCAGATAAAGACATTATAGTATAGACAAAAGGTCCAGCTATAGCATCTGCCAGCCTCTGTACAGGAGCTGCATTACCTTGTGCGTCCTCAACCTAACATGAAATGGTGTGAATGAATTAGAGACTCACTAGAGAGGATTGTGACTTCACTTGATTTTATTCATACTTTCCCGTAGGAAATTAGGTTCAGCTACAAACATATGAATGATTTCTATTTGTATGATTGTGACTTAATCATTGTGCTTCTATTTGTAGGTGTCTTTTCTCCTTCCGTTTTCGAGGCGGAAAGTCGGCTACAATTACATAGATTACTGGCTGCATTTTTCTTTTCACATGATGACTTGAACAGCTCCAACTTTTCACATTGTGACTGATGGAACTATCCCTCACACAATGCAACTTTCATGAGATTTCATTGGCTCTAGATTCATAGACACTAACCATTCTGACGATTTTAGATATTGTTGAGTTGGAACCAGTAGAAGAAGCTTTGATCCGTAGAGGGCCATCCTGAAATAGGTAAAGTGAAATTCAATTGTTTAAAAAGATAATGACCACTGTATGTAAATCAAACTTAGTAACTGAGGTAGTGCAGCTACACAGTAAAATATCCCCCTCGGTAATGAAGTGAAGTGAAGTAATATAGTAATGATTGCTGGAGGATTATATCCTAAAGTAGTATGTGTGACATTAGTTGAAGCACTAAAAGAATAAAACCATAAACTTTTGTTGAGGCTCTGTATATGTACCCAGTTTATTGTTCCCGCTGAAACTGAGCAGCCTTCTTCTTTAAACACGGGAAGTGACTCTCCTGTCAGCATAGATTCATCCACAACACTTCTTCCAGCTAGGACACTCCCCTATGACCAAAATATTTATTAAACACGATCACTTCAACAATCAATACTAACGCACTAACCAGTCTAAGGAATAATAACCATACTATATAGAGGAAAAAATAGCATATATCCATTATCAATTGCAGATGAGAATCTGTAATGTAACTGAATCTCAAGAAGAGCTGATAGACACACATGTTTTTTTCCCAGCACTGATGAATCTAACTAAAATTACAGAATGCCAGCCATGTAAACAGAATTTCATAACTTCTTTCCAGAAACCCAAACCACTTTTTGTTGCTAAGATCGGACAGTTCAGCATGGATAAGCAACTAAGTAAATCGCAAACGTTACTTGCTAGAAAGACAGAAACACTTACATCAACAGGAAATGTTTCACCAGGCAAAACCAACAGCGAGTCTCCAACTCGGATATCATCAACTGGGACATTGACGCAAATTGAATCAGAGGAAAGTACAGAATCAGCTGCTGTGTTATTGTCTGATGAAGTAATCACAAGTCTTGATTGAGTGGAGATGAGTGACTGCAAAAGCACGTTTTAAGTCAAAAAGGAGAAAAAACACTACAAGTTAATCTTGGGAGGAAAATCGAGAAGTTTCCAACTTACCAAAAGTTCATTCATATTGCTAGATGCTTTAAGCTTTGCTCTTTCTTCCAAAGAACGACCAAGAAGCACAAAACCAAGCAGCATGACCTGCATACTAAATGACAAGAGCTATCAATCAGAAATTCACCATAGAAATTGTATTTTGCATGCAGTGATAGTAATGAGAAAAAATTTCCATCCCCTTGTAATGTGTTAGAGAAACTCACCGGTTCCTCGAAGAAGGAGGCATCCCACTCCAGTTCTGGATTAACCAGTGAAATCTGCAAAATACAGAATGCAGAGAACTGCAGGTTTCAGAATAGGATACTCACCAGTCAAAAAAATATTCACAGGGTACCAAAACTCACCAGGCTGATGGAAAATGCAGCCATAGATCCCAATCCAACTAACGAGTTCATATTAGGTGATCTTTTCCCAAAAGCCTTTATACCATCAAACAGCAATTCTACAATATACAATTATCTGCTTCAGTCATTTTTGTTTCCGAACAGCCTCAAATATCACTACCTCCATTTTGAAGTGTTTATGAAACTCTCAAAGAATAGTAGGAACCATCACTGTCACTTAAGAAGTGTGAAATTCATCGTTTCTCTCTTATGACAACGACCACCGAATCAAGGTTAACACTATTCATTGGAATCATTGTTTCAAAAAAGCTCAATCATGTAATCAGGCACACATCTAAGTAGGAAGATAAGCCTCAGAATAATGAGTTCCTCATCTCTCTCTTATGATACTAAATACTAAACGTATCATGCATTAGCTGGTAAGTATTATAGGTATTTAAAATTTTTTAAACAAAAACAAACCTCTTCCTGGTCCCAACAAAGCTCCAACTGCCAAACCACCTTTCACGTAAGAGTTGTGTAGCAAATCCCAGATCCCTCCTAGTAACATCAGGTGCAAGAGAAAGTCATAAACTACATTTGTATACCAACAAATGACATCTAGCAGCTCAAATTTGCAATATAAAGCGGCACAATTAAATTCTAAAGTAAAAATTTGTGAAATTTTTTACCATGAGCAATATGAATTCCCAAGGAATGAAGAATATGCGAAGTGTGAGACCCGCAACACAGAGCCACCAGTGTCCACGCAAACGCCACACGGTTCCTGCTCTTAACGAGCAAGTCCTCTTTTTTACTAACCATCTCCTTCCACTTCTTCACATTCTCCGCCACTCCCATCCCCGAGACCCTCCTCTTAGCCTCGAAGCCACTATCAGTCAATCTCTTAGCTAAACTCTCCGCCGCATCCGCCACCACCTCAACCTCCGGTTTAAGCCTCACAGCCGCGGTTTCCGTCAGCATGTTTACCACAGCAGACGCGACTCGGTCATCAGACATCAGAACCGATTTAACCCGGGCGACGCAGCCACCACACATCATCCCACTCACATCGAGGAGAACAGGCTTATCGCTCGTAACAGATTTCACAGATTCAATGGAAGTTTCCGTAGATTCGAACGATTGACTACTAATCTCGATTGAGTTTGATACCCAAAAAACAGGTCTCGAACAGTGCCGCCGGATACGAGCCCGGCGCTGCTTGGGAAAGCATCGGTTCACGTATTTAACTTCGAGGAACTTACCGGTATGAGGAATATGCAGACTCGACGGCGGTGGAAGAGGAAGCCGGAGAAGATTGCTCGCCATTTACTCCGGCGAGACAACGGCGATAGTCACGATTATACAAGTAAGAATCTAGTGGTGTGTATGGTTCTTGTTTAAAAACTATCGAAAGAAACTGACACGTCGGATTTGGATTTGTATATCCAAAATCACCGGTGGATTTTTTGCGGGATTTTAAAAAGCCAGGCTGTCACCAGAAAAGTCAGAACTACAAAACGCATCGTTTAGCATAAGTTTTCATTCGAAGATCTTTCGACTAGGTAAGACCTTCCGAACCAGATAGAGGATTATGGCCTCCGGGGACACAGCGATGCCACGTGTCACCTTCCTGTAATATCATTATTTTTTAGGAGATACTTTATCTTCTTCTATACACTTCTTCTGCAACTCTCAAGCTTCTCCTTCTACGAATTTTATAATCTCAAAGCTCCTCTACTACAATGGAGGCGAGTGCGAACGAACCAGCGATAAAAAGCTTGAAATCGATTCCTTCAGGACCGATACCGAACTTTTTCGTATCTCTTTCGTCGGCATTTACGCAAACACCGCTTGTGCGTTCGAGCAAACCCAATTTGCTACTTCTACCACAAGCTGCAGACTCTGTCAAAATGATTCAAGACTTCCATCGGTCTCTGGTCTCTGCTACTGAGAAATTCTCAGGGTTCGTCCATTCTCTCGCCTCTAAGAACCCTCTATTTCAGGAAGCGGTTCGTCTTTCGTCCGAATTTCGCGTTCTGTGCGATGAGGTAACTTTCCTTTCCTTGCTCATGCAAATTGATAGAATAGTTTGGAGTGGAAACAAGTTTCATTACTCCGCAGTGATTAAGTTAAGAAGATAATTATGTGTTTCCGATGCCTGGTGATGGGTGAATTGTTCTGGTTTCTGTTTTTGAAAAATGGAGCATTTTCAAAACAGCCAGTAGCTCGAATCATATGGGATTATTGTATAGACCACTTAGCATTTGTTGGAGAACCTTTTCACATTGTTAAATATGAGTTATATATGTCCAAGTTAGGATTTTTTTTGGTTATACCCTTCAGTCTTCACTATATTTTTGTAACATTGAAGATAAAACTCGGTGTTAGGATATGTTTTCAATGTGCCTTTGTGTTTCTTTTTTTGGTTATTTAAGATGAAGAACCTTTTGTTTCATTTCAGATTCGTTTGAGAAACACTTCAAGGGTGAGGTTTGCAATGTCTAATCACGGATTTGCAGCGGTTCTGCCGGGGGATTCAGTTGCAGGACTGGTGGTTGCCAATGGGTTGATTAATTTCCTCAACATTTATAACACCATCCTTGTTGTCCGTCTAGTACTCACCTGGTTTCCAAGTGCTCCTCCTGCCATTGTTAATCCCCTCAGGTTATAAGTTGCCTTAGTGTTTTCTGCTTGTTTTGTGAAATGCCACTACATTTTTAAATCTTATCCAGGTCTAAAATATTTAAAAACTCCATGGGAACAAAATCTAGATCATATGTTTCCTATTCGTCATTACTGAAGTTAGTCTATTTGGTTGAATTAGAGAGAGTTTTGTTTAGGAAAAACTTGGTCCTCTACTTATATGTCCAACTCTTGGATTGTTTAGATTGGTTAAAACACTGATGGATCTACTCTCTCTAGTTGATTGCTAATTATGTGTATGTTACCATTGTATCAGCACTCTATGTGATCCATACTTGAACATATTCCGGGGATTCATACCACCTCTTGGAGGATTAGACTTGTCTCCCATTTTGGCGTTCCTTGTTCTCAATGCCTTCACCAGCTCTGCTATGGCGCTTCCTTGTGAACTCCCGCCTGCTGAAGGAGCGGCTTCTCCATCTTCTGGTGAGACCAAGTGGATGAGAAGGAGAAGGTTGAGCAGCCACAAGGACCATAGACCGAGCTCCGCTTCTATGAACTGAACCTATATAAAAAATCTCCTCTTTTCTGGGCTACAAGTGTATCATCTACCTTACGAGTAATTTTATTCTTCTGCATCTTTGGATTTCCGAGTTTTTTGTATAAAATTTTCTTTAGAAAATGAATAAAAAAGTTGTGTTCCTGATAGACAGATATATTTAAAATTTTGCAAAAAAAAGAGCTTTTCTTCTCACTTGTGGCGTCATAACAGCTTGCACTCAGATTCTAATCAGAGGCTTTGCACATCAAGACGAAAACAAGAATGATAAGGATGACCAGCAACCCACCAAACGAGCCACATAGCCTGTGAATCCAGTAAGGATCAAACCTGGTCAAGCTCGGATCATAATATAGGGAGAAGGCTATGGCCAATATCAACAATAGGAGAAGCACGGAGAGCGAAAACATAAAGCTGAAGAGTTCTTCTTCCTCTTCTAGATCTTCCTCTGATAAGCTGTCAATGTAGAGAGGCGAGAGCACGGCTAGTACAGATAAGCTTATTGCCAAAAGCTTCCAGGACGTGGTGAACCTCCCCATCATCGGGCTAGATGATCCGGAGTCCATCGAAAAATACCAGTACAAAATAAAATAACCAACTGGTAAGTTTCTTTACAATCCTCGCTTGGTGTTCATCTGTTTTAAAAAGAAAAGATCTGAACGTAAATGGTTTGTTTCTTATATATGCATATGTTTCAATATAGTTTCGAGAAGCGGTTTGGATGGTATGATAAACTATTTACACTGAAAAAGAAGAGAGAAGGAGATTCTTTGGTTACTGTTGAACAGTAATGACCACACTTGCTAAAAAGATTCCATGGGATCATATGCTTAAATACTTTTCTTTTCTATTAGTTCAATCTTTATACATAAAAGCTGAGCCCAAAGAAAAAGAATAACACTGTTTATATATCACTACCCTTTTTTATAATTATGAACCTCTACAACAGAATCTGGTCTATAACAATGAAATGGTTCATCAACTCAGAGCTATACATACATCCCCAAAACTTGTCCACGGATCAGAAGAACTTGGCACCAACATTTGGATAAGAGTCGTCAATGTGAGCATAAAGTGAAGTCATTTTCAACCCGGTGATATGAATATGTGATCTTGAAAGTTCTTCGAGAGATGAATCCTCCACCTACAATGATAATACCTCCATTTAAGTACTTCACACAGATAGCCTGAGTGATTTAAGCACAAGTAGAAGCTTAATTGCAGGTTTCTCTACTATATCATACCTGTGTCCATCCAAATAGCCTGAGTGATTTAAGTGACGAGCAGCAACTCAAAATCCTTCTTAGGTCCTCTTCTGTAAGTTTTCGACACCACGAGAGGTCCAAATACTGCAACCTCTTACAAACTTTGGCAAGAGAGAAGGCTGTATCTGGACCGACCTGTTGTAACAAAGGTCCTTTGAACACTTGGGAAAACCAGCTTTAAAAATGAATGTGACTTTAGGTACTAGAACACTCACATGTTTGACTTTGTTTAGGCACAGTTGGTTAAGAGAACCTCCCGAGACTTCAAGAAACGCGGCAACACCTTCGTCACTGTCAAATGAAGCAACCATAGATTGACATTAGAACCGTCTACAAAATTTATGGAAATTGTGAGACTTGTGCAAACCTAAATCTGTTTCTTGAAAGTACGACTGCGTTCAAAGATCTGCAGCCCTCAGTAATAAACTCTAATGCCTTATCAGTCAAATTCTCCGAGTCTGAGATGTCAAGAGCTTCTAACTTCTTACAATATCTCCCAATATGCCAAATGCAATCATCAGTCACCTCTCTAACATTACCATAATGAAAAGCAATTAGTTTTCACTTTTCAGCATAAAACATGGAAATGATGTTAGTCTTTCTAGGCCTCAAAAGAGTAACTTACTGGCAATTAGCGAGAGACAGAACAGTGAGATTGGAGCTACTGAACATAAAGAAGGTTTTAACAACAGCATCATTAACGCTCTGGAGTCCTGCAAGCGAGAGATAGTTCAATTTCTGAAACTTATACAGGCTGTTAGTGAAGGCTTTACAACGTTTAATCCCTTGGCATCCATCAATACCAAGCCCTTTAAGGGTGGATCCAAAGTTATCAGCAAGAGTCTTCAGAGCGCGGTAAGTGAGAAGAGAGCAGTCAGAGAGGTTAATAAACTGAAGCAGAGGAGCTGACTTGGAAATCAAGGCCAATGCATTGTCTGTCAAACAGAATGATCCGTGAAGAGAAAGCTTAGTCAACGACGGAAACCCATTAGGTGAACGTTTCAAGAACTCGTTTATCGTGTAATCCGTCATAGCTCTCCCGCAATAATCAAGAATCAACACCTGAACAAAAGATCTGAAAATTACAACGAAAACAAAACTCCAATTCCTAACCAAGGGATTCGAAATTACCTTCAAGCTAACTTTATCACAATCAGAGAAGATCTTAATCAAGTCATCCTCCAGTAAAGCAACACAGTTCCTCGCACAGACCTCAGAGGGAGAATCCTCAATCAAAAGCTGCATAAAACGTGTGTCTACTTTGCCAAAACCACTAACACGATCGGAGAGCTTCGTCCTAAGATGATCAGGAACAAGTTTCAAAGACTTGATCGCTTCAGAGTTCTGAGCAAGAACTCTCACACTCAACTCCGTAAGCGTAGGAGGAGCCTTCCTCTGCATCAAAACCAGATCCACCTCCATATCATCACTTGTAATTCTTGTAGAGATCTTTTCTCTTCTCCTCTTGATCACTTCCTTAGCTTTCTGAAACTCGCTTCTCTCTTCATCTCCCTTAACTCCTTCACCATCATCTTCCTCCTTCTTCTCAACAGTCTTGAGATGATGATCAGAATGCAAACTAAGAGCATACTTTCTCGCGGTATTGTAATCATATCTTCTTTGTCGTCTCTCTTTCTCTTCAGCCCACCATCTATCCCAATCCGAATCGGTGCTCTCTGTCTCCTCCTTCTCCTCCTCCTTCTCCTCCTCCTTCTCCTCCATCTCCACGTCTTGATTCTGCAACCCGAGTGATATTTTCCGACGCTCAACGTCTTCCGCTGCCTTTAGAAGTGCCCTGAAAGCTTCTTCCTCGGCGGTGGTGAGCCCTCGGTTGTTTTCTGGAGAAGCGTTGGGAGGGTTATTGAGAAAATTCATGTTAAAATCCTTGAGAAGTGCTTCGTCAGGGGTAATGATCCGTCGAATTTCTCGAGAATCGTTGGGATGATTGGAAGGATTCGTCAGTTGAATCTGAGTCTTGAGGTTAGGGATGATGAATCAGACCAAAAAAAAAGGAAAAAAATATAAAATCAAAGTCGTGTATTTATACTTTACTGAATTGACCTCCTTAGTCAACGCCTTTTCTTTATTTTTATTTTTTTCCCTATGAGAAAAAAATATTACTGAATATGCAAATATTTTTATTAGTTATTTTTATGACCAAATTTGGAAGATTTTTTTTTTTTATATACAAATTACTCGTGCTGAGATAATTGATGTTTTATATTATTTTAGACATCTAATTTAGGGTTTAAGATTAAGCTTTGTTGTAACAAAATATGCGATGATTAAATGAAGAATAAAATCTTATTATTAATGTAAATTTCAGTTTTTATATGCATATCGATGTTGTTTTGTAGAATAGCAGAAAAAGGCCCATCATGGGCTCATTAGGATTTAAGGCCCATTTTGTAACCTACTTTATTTTCTATTCGTTTAGAGCCCATGGGTGTTTCAAGCAAGCGTACAGCACTCGCATTCAGATTTTTTTTTATTGTTCTTACTTCTTTTTAATATCATTTTTTGCATAATGTTTTTCGATATTTTCGAAAACAAAATTGTGACTGATAAAAGAGAATTTTTGAGAAATACCCCTTTTGGTGTACCCCTTTTTAAAAATACCCCCTTTATCTATTCATTTTCAAAAATACCCCTTTTTAAATATAAAAAGTTATAAAGTTTTCTATAGTTTATAAGGTACTTCTATATAATAACTATTACTGGGAGATTCGATACAAATATTTTAAAATGTTTTAAATAGTTTTAAATCGTTTTTATAAGTTTTAAAAGGTTTTTAAAAGGTTTTTAAAAGGGTTTATACAGTTTTTATAAGGTTTTTATAAGGTTTTTGTAATGTATTTTTACGCTATTTATGAAGGGTATATAAAGTTTTATACACATATAAAGGTAATTTGTGTATATATTTATAAGCTTACACACATATTTGGATAAATTTCAACATTTTTAGTGGGGTTTTTGATCAAGTTTGAAAAGGGGATATTTTTAAAAAGAGGTATATGAAAAGGGGTATTTTTGAAATTCCCCCCTGATAGAAAGCATATATATTATATATGTTGAGAAGTTTCAAGAGATATATATATTATATGTAAAGACTACAAATTATGCTCAGCGAAGTCACATGGAATTTTTCTGATCAGTAGATTTCATCTCAATAAAAAAACAAAAACAAAGATTTCATTGTAGATTGATATTATGATTATTAGTTTTTTCTTTTCTTGTCTCTCAGATCAACTTGTTTATAGTGTGGAGCAACCTACTTGTTTATGAAGTCTCTTTATAGTTTGTACTTCATTTTGTTATTATAAAAAAAATCATAATAAATTTTCATCATCTCATTTGGCTTTGTATATAAAAAGTTAAGTATCGATATTTTTATCCAACATACTAGTAAAACCTTTTAAAATTAATAATATCATGAATCTAATATTTTTATTAATTTTATCGAGATATTGATTTATTAATAATTATTAACATGTAACCAAAAAAATTATTCTATAGTCGAGTTATTAATTTATAGAGTTTTTATTATACAATTAGGTCTTTTTTATTTTCTTACTTTTTTCTTATATATTGAGATATAAGTAAGAAGTTAAGAACTGCAATTAATTAATTAGGAGGGTAGGGACCAAGTCATATCTAGGACTTTGGATGTTTGTTAAATCCAAAATCCACAACTGCAACAATTTGTGCAAGTAGATGACATTCCAAATATGGATTCATTGTTTTGAGAAAATATATTTTTGAAATTTTCATGTAAATCATTATGAGTCATTTTTCTTTGTATATACAAAGTCACTTTATTATATGTTTTCGCAGTTCTGATATTTTTTTTTTACATTAAAAAAAAACCTATTGCCATAAATAGTTTTTTTTTTTTTGGTAAAGGCATAAATAGTTATATTATAATTGGTTTCAGAGACCTTATGCATTTCCTGTTGCTAAATATAACAAAAATATTCTCACGTACAATTTATATTGAATCTTTGAAGAAGAACTCATATTGATTTGTCACAAAAATGGTTTTGAGTGTCTCAAAAAATCATAACTCCGCAAGTTCAACTAAAATTTACAAATAAATGTATGTGAGTAGTGTTTTGTCTAGAGTTAATTACAGATTAGGCACTTTTCTTAGAGGTCCCTTTCAATTTAGGCACTTTCCGAAATCCTTACCAAAATAGGTACTCAGTGCATTGTTAAATGTCGATTGTACCCCTTAAATTGGTGACGTATTCTTCTTCTTCGGTGTATTCTCTCTCATCTTATCGAAAAGGGAAAAAATTGAAATCTAAGCTTTCATTCGATAATGGAGCCATGGCAGCTGCGCGACCACTGTTATATTTTCCGGTCTTGTTCGTTTTTCGCTTCAAGACGTTCGCGTTTGTATCATCGTCTCCTCCGTCGGATTTAGATCTCCATATCCAGTCTTACGGTGGCTTTCTTTGATTATTCTCCAATGATCTTCAATCTTACAAGGTTTCCTATTTGTCTCTCTCATGTTCTTGTTTCTCGGTTTGGATCTGTTTGCGATTGCATACAAAATCAGAGTCTTGATGAATATTTGCTAATTTATTGTAATCTCTACAAAATTTCTGGTAAAATCATGGTAAATGATTAAAGGGTAGAATTAGTTGTATCCGAGGCTCTAGTTTTACAAACGGCTAACATTGGTACACAAATTATTCAATGTTTGAAATATCTATAGAAAATACATGATAGTAAAGTCTTTGAGTTTCTCTAACTAGATATTTACTCTGTTTTTTAGTCACTGAAGATGTGAGAGGAAAAGAATTTATGGTTGGGCTCGAGCTTGTGAGTGACTGGAAACACAAGACACTAGCTATGGCTGAAACAACTATCTTGTTCGAGCAACTTAGTGGTAAACAACATTATAACCAAATGCATCAATTTTTTCAAGTATAAAAGCATCAATTGGTTAATCAAAATTGTGTTGCTCTTTTTTCTCAATGAATAACTTGGCCTCCTCGTTGGAATTGGAGGACTTCATAGGAACGTTTTCAGGATAAAGCCACAAATGTTTGTGGTGATCATGCATGTCTTCTTTCTTTTTTTGTAAAGAATGTTTGTGTTCAAACTTTTCACTGGGAAGGTACATATATATTGTGTTTGGGTTTTCTATTTACAATCTATTAGGGTTTAGTTTTTTTGTATGATGATTATCTTTATAATATATTTGTAATCCCAAAACAATAGTTTTCATTACAATCACAAAAATTTAATCTTTACGGAGAGAATAAAGTAAAAATCTACAATTTACAACAAGATCATCGTCATTCATGAATATGGTAGCAATCCACTCAGAGTTCTTCATCCCTCATCCCGCTCAAGATGTTGGAGGGCAATAATGTCATGTACAGGAGCCTTTTGCTGAGTTGTCAAAGGTTACTGTATTTTGTTCCTACTTCGAAAGATTGAAGTTGGAAAGTGCCTGTTTTGTTAATATTCTCTTTTGTCTATGCATAGTACATACATATACATATATACCGTGTTGGGCATATCACATCACATCATTGTAATGTCGTTGTGGAGAGATAGAGATACGAAGACTGAAAAGTATGTGAATCGAGATTGAATGTGGAATGGTCCTTCCTAAAGAATAGCTGTAATTGAACTCTATATGACATCGTTTTCTAGTGGACCATTATATATTCAACACATATATATACACAAATGCTATTTCGTTTTGTATGTTTGTGGCAGTAAAGTTGTAGATGGAGAGTTTTGTGACTCCATATTATATGCTATTTCGTATTTAACATGTTCTTTAATTGCTTAACTGAAACGTTAACGACCAATCACACAACCATACCGACATCGCAATGGGTATAGATTTTACCGTTACATAGGACATGTATTGATAAATCAAGACGAGTCAACATTTTTCTATGAGGTTTTGAGTAATAGATATGGAATTAGCAAAGTATTAAATACTCTTGTTAATGCCTTAATGGACCTATACGAATCAAACAATGCATATACGACTAGAAATATGTTTATAAATTAGTTGAACGGTGAAAAACGATGGAGTTCATAAAGTAGAGATGAGTTGAGATAATTTTTAATCTACTTATGTATATTATTATACTATCTTGTAAGCATTATACCTTTTATCAGTTTTGAGTGCATGTCTAACATACTTATTTTTTTTAAAAATAATTTTTTTTTATATATGCAGTATTTCGAAAATAAAATTTATACAATAACTTAATTAATTTCATTATTATTATCGTTGAGCGTCTAAACCATAATAACTATTCTATCGGGATATTTCAAGTTCTAGGGTAATTTAGTTTATCTTACCAAATTTATAATTATTTAAATATATTTTTATATTCAAAATAATAATAAAAATTAGACGATAAATTGTCCAATCTTTAAAAAATATATTTGGTAGAATTACTTTAAAGAGATTAGTGGTGGTTGGGACCAATATTGTTGAAAATGTAGGCAAAGAATAGTGTAGTAGATAATAATCATACCTTAGATATTTGATTAGAAAATGAAAAAGGTGCCATATGATTTAGAAAATATTAGTGATTTAAATATTCATACCTTAAATTCCATTTTTTCTGAAGTTGATATAAACATCACTGATTTTAAAATTGGGAAACCTATGGAATTTAAACTAGTATCTATCAATTTTCTTTATCTAGTTGCTATGATGATCACATAAATTATAGTAACGGCAAGTCCGAGGAGGTAAATCTAAAGTATCTTTATGATAATTGTCTTCTCATCGTTGTTCGATTGTGCTCTATTCTTTTTTTACTTTAAAGTTTTCAATATTTTCATTTACACTTTCTTCTTTCTCTCTTTGAAGTTTTCATTTCTTTGGACACTAAAACTTTATCTTTCTTTTCATTTTTATGGGGGAATCATATATATTCTTTTTGGTTAATTAATTTCATTCGCTACAAAGCAAGTTAAAATTCACATGCATAAAGCATCTCCATTCACGTGTCGAACGGAACGTAATTCCATAAAAACCCAACCCACATAAATTAACTCTCTCGATAGAAAAAAAAAATCATCAGTCATGACAACTTTATAAAGAGATCTATTTCACCAAACCATTATTTTATAAATTCGAGTTTGAAATTTGGTCTCCCAAAAAAAAAAAACAGTATCAGGATTTTAACCCAAACATAAATTGTCTTCAAGATACCTTTAATTAACACACTTCAAATATTATTAAATAGTTTTTTTACATATTAAATTAGGTATAAGAAGAACATTAGACTAATCATAACCTACTAATTAAGCCAATTATGTATAAAAGTTTATAGTATTAAGTACGTATGTTTATCCAAGGTACCTTTCCTCGATTTATACAAAACGAAGCTATAAACTAGTAAGAACGTATTTGGCTTATAGTGACCCCATAAAGCAGTAAATATAGTAATTAAAAACTGAAGAACACGTCCGTGCATGCATGGCACGTTTAGCAGAGAACGTACTAGGAATGCTTCTTGCATGGGGAATTCTTAGCCCATTGTTTGTTTATTTATTCTATGCTTTGCTTCTTACAATGAAATCATCATCTTATAATTGCATTATCTAAAGCTGTGAACAAATATATAAAAATTAGAATCTCATCTTTTGTGAAAGAGAAACAAACAGAAAAGCAAAGAAAAAAAAGAAAGAAAAGTTGTTAGAAGAAAAATAACTCATTATTATATGTTTTTTTGGTTGGGAGTGGGGAGAAATCGAGTAGATTTTGGTTCGGAATCCAAAACTTTGAAATCTTTCTTTTTCTTGTTTTTTTTGTCCGAAGATTAATCCACTTATATGCGACAAGTTTTCACATTTTTTCATTTAAAAGGGCACTTTCTTTGTTGAACAGAGATTTGTAGTTCTCTATAAAATTAAGAAAAGGGTGTTATTACATCACAAAAAGATGTTAAAATATTGCCTTCTTTCACCAAATTAATTACCCGATATGTGTCTTTTGTATATACATTTTTTATCTTCATATTATGTAAGACCAAAATCGATTTTGAAGTTATCTTATCAGGAAAACTAATATTAGTGATCTATCTATGCTTGATTTGATTCTAAATCATTTTTAAAAATTAACTATCTTGAAATGTACACATAGAAAAGTTCATTTTAGCTGATTTTATAGAGACAAATACAACAAATAATAATTGAAATCATTTCATAATTGATATCTTCAAACTAGCTTTACGTTATCTTTATGGGCATGTGAGCTTTTTCCCAAAAAGAAAAGGGAAAATAGAAGACAAAAGAATCAGAATCTCTTAAGAGGAACACACGAAACTATATATGATTATCAACAACAACAACAAAATTAAGCAATGAAAAAATATAAATAAATCTTTTTGATAAGATACGTAGAAAAGGTTGGTGAAGCTCAAAACCTTTTTCGTTGATTCTTTTGTGGTAAGAAGAGAAGAATCTGATGCCCCAAATCTACAAATCTTATTCAATTTAAATTTTATTTCTCTTGTAAATTGGCAAAACAAAAAAAGATAGTAATATGGAATAAAGAGTCAAACTTAAACCTGATGATCAACGGATCCACTTTTTTTTTTTTTGTTCTTTTCTTTCAAAACTAATATAGTTCACAAACCATCCGAGAAAATTAAACTCTTATTTAGATTATGTATAGAATATCTAATCATGATTCATGGGACAGTGGTTGCACCACATTAGTCGTTAATTAATAATCTCTTACCAAAATGGTATACAGATTAATTGACAAAACTTGAATCGACCCGATATGATCAATTAATCTCATACTTTCCGTTTTCTTTTAAACCGATTAGTTATTTTTCTCTGTCACTTTCATATGCAATACCACTCGCGTGATATACAACATGGCATTGATATGGACATCATCTAAATTGCTTGCCGTCGACATCTTTATATGTTCAGTTTTAAAATTGCTAGATTTCGCTTTCAAGTATCAACATCACCGAATTATACACGTTACAACAGTACTTAATATATGAATTAGAACTTTGATTGGGAAAGTCTACGGCATGTCACAATTGTATTCATAAAATTTGGAAAAAAAAGGAAAAAAAAAATCAGTTTTAATACTATCATATTTTCCTTTAATAAAAAAAATTGTTTGTCAAATATCATCAAGTGCATAGATTATTTGAACGGTCCAAATCGAATAGTATATAGGACATAAGAATTTAGAAGGAATTATCCAAAACAGGGTCGTCGTAGTCACAATAGTATCATGGACTGGACTGGCTCCAATATGGATGGTGGATGATTGATTTGGTTGATCCATTTATAGATTTTGGATTAATTATTGGGACAGCATGTGAAGAAACAATCTTTTCAATGTCTATCAATTCTCTAATTTCTTATCCTAAAGTATAAAAACCTACGTGGAAATATAGGGATACTTAAAGAGAATTCAAATGTGAAATGTTAAGAAATACAACAGAAACATAATAAGAAAAAAAAAAGTTACGTATGAAATAAAAATGGTAATTATCTCAGCAATGAGTTCCACGTAACCTAACTCTTTATTACAACTCCAATTTTCGAACGTCTCTTTCTGTCTCTTTTCTTTTGGACGTGAGTTTTTAGTTTTTACTAATGTCAACTGAGTATTAAAGGATAAATTAAAATTTTCAAGATGATATTTGTAACCAATATAAGAACGTTTTTCTTGTTGTGAATTCTACATAACTGGACAATGGACATGACCTCATATGCTGATAGGCCACCTTTATAAAAAAAAACAGTTGATTTTTTTCTTTTTTTCTTGGGAGAAAGAAAAATACAATAAGACCACAAAACTCAAGATACAAAAGTAAAAAAAAAATAAGAAAAGGAAAGAAAACAATATGGGGGAGGGGGTCAAGGAGACCTATTGAAAATCTTTTGACCAGGTGAAAGGATAGCCATAGGATCGAACATAGCTTTCCTATCAACGAACCTCGACCACCTGTTACCAAAATGGCGAATCCATTCCTCTTGGGACTTGTAATGAGGAAGATACAATTTGAAATCTATCCCATTCTTCACACACCAATGAACGATCTCTTGGTTTTGAGCTACCATTTTCTCAACCGATGATGCTTTTGCACACGGCGGCACAAACCTAAGCAATGCCACTATGTAAAATATCTCTCCTTCCGGCACTTCCACCGACGTCCGTTCATCCCACCTGATTATTTATATAAAAAAATCCGACCAAACTATTAATTAATCATTCGTATCACAACACCACTTTTGCAATAAATCTTTCTCGATTGGTTTCATTTCTTACGTCAACTAGTGTTGGATAGTACCAGCAAATCTCATTTTCCACATAAAGTAAAAACATATCTAAATATACGAAACTACCCCTTAGGTGAAAATGCAAAGTACAGAAAAAAGCTATTTTAGATAAAGTGAAAAATAAAAATTTACGTCAGTTCATCATCATAGTGGTCTCCATATTTCTAAAAATGACGTTAAACTTATCGACGGTTGCAATACAACTCCTTCACCAACCCAACCGTAATACCTAATATGGTGGTATCTCTCGTATTAGTTTAGTATTTTGATCTCTCGCCTACAATATCTAAACGACTTCACTACATTCCAACTTTTTTTTTGTGTGTGTGTACTACTTATAAAACCCGTACGTGTGCAGCCACGTCCGCAACAATTTTTGTTGATCACACGTCTCTCGCAAGACTTGTGTGTGGTACCTTTTAAAGTTTAGGCATGCACGACTAATCATCACACGTGACAAACACGTGCCATGAAAAAAAACCAAACTGGACTGATACCAAAAAGAAAAAGGAAAAACTCTAAAGACTAGACCGATCTTCTTATAGTATGGTAGATATGTGCCTTGTCGAACCAAAAATGTTCCAGAAAAAGGATTGGTCGCAGTAAAAAAAAAAAGGAGTGAAAGAGAATGTAATATTAACCTGCTTCGCAAGAGTGGGTACACCAGCATTGGTCCATTGACACCGTTCTTGACAAGTTCTTTGAACACCGTCCGGTTGAACTCTCCGATGTCTCGCTTCGACACGAAGAGGTTGAGCCACGGGTGCGGCGTTTCCCACGTGCCGATCTCCTTCGCTATCTCCTCGGACCTTTTGACCCGAAGTAGAAAGTCAACGTACGACAGATCTACCTCGAACCTTAATCCTTCGTTAAATTTTAGCCGTCCGATCAATCTCTCCACCCTCTACACAAAAAAAGTTGCAAAATCAGTCAGGGGTAGTTCGGTAAATTCAAGATACAACGATGGCCAGATTTTAGCCGGGACCGTTTGAAATCAAATCAACCAATGTTCGTTTACATGCTACAGTTACAATTTCATCCCCTTTACGTCCCATACCGCACGACCAATGGACACACCACACGTATTCGGGTTAGCCTAAATAATTGAGTAGCAAAAGCAGCAAAGTGATCTATAAATATGGGTTTCATGAGAAAGACAACAAAAGCAGAAAAGCAAAAAAAGAAAGAAAAAAAAGAGAGAGAGAGAGAGAGACAAATGTCGTTTTCGTAATAACGTGGTTACGACAAGGGCATTGGAGAGAAGAATTTTTATGTCAGACAATCCAAAATCGAAGATACATTACACAATGTCTCGTCAGTTTCATATTATGCAGTCAGACAAGAGACTGTATAATTCCCTTTCCCACCCTATTATATTTCCTTAATTAACATATAGTATATATTTTCTTTTTATTCCTAATTCTATATATATTTTTTTGAATTTTATGTTTTGTAATCATGAAGGTCGAGAAAACTCAATGCGGTCCTATATGAACTACGTGTCGTAGTATGACTGTTATTGATTTATAGAAAAGAAAAAAAAAAGAGGTTCATTGATATGATCCGACGGTCAACTTTCACACTTCATCTAAGGTCAATTTCGGTCAAACAAGGTTTCTAGAACATCAGAAGCTTCGACCACCGTCGGATCTGATCATTAAAAACATCGAACGGTTCCTGAATTTTTGAGAAAATTGTTATGTGTGTTTACCTTGTCGACGGTTGAGTTGGAATCGGAGTCTCTGTAGTGAAGACCGAGTTCGAGGCAGTAAAGAACCGACCCGGATGATTGTGGGAGCCTGGTCGGGTCAAAATAGTGATCCGGGTGTAGTGGAACCGTAGGCCATCCGTTGACCGGGTCATCACCGTTGACGAACACGAACCCTTCCACGTAATCGAACGATGATGACTCGTCCTTCTGACTCACTAGCCACTCGGCGTCCCGGGTGAAATCGTCGAACTCGGCGTATACTACTCTTATCCATCTCACCTATATAATTTAAAATATGTATATATATTGAGTATTTGATTGGATTATAGAAATATATATTATAGTTGAGATTATGAAATAAATATATAAAATAGTTTGTGTTTATATACTGTAAGTAATCACCATATCAGGAGCTGGCTGTAGCAAAACCCTAGCTCTGGTGATGATACCAAACTGGCCAAGACCACCTAGAACAGAGAAGAAGAGCTCAGAATTCTCAACCTCCGAGCAAGTAACGACGTCTCCGTTTCCCGTCACGACGTCTAGCTCCGTTACATTTGAAGTCTGTGGTCCGTAACGGAACGCTTGTCCACTAACGCCGGCATTGGATAACGTCCCACCCACCGTTAGCCCAAGGTAATCAGTCCACGACCTCGGAGCCAAACCGTACTCCGAAACGCACCGTTTCAACACATTTTCCCATATTGCCCCTCCGGAGACGTCCACGAACGCCGCGTCACCACCGTCGGATGAAAAACCAACCTCGAAATGATTCTCAGCCGTGGAACTCATATCGACGACGAGCCCTCCTTCCGCCATGGCTTGGCCGTTGATTGAATGGCCGTTTCCACGAGCAGCCACCGTGAGTCTATCCGACCTCAGAGCAGCTCTCACAGCTCCGGCGATATCCTCCGGTCCAACCGGTCTCACCACGGCAAGTGGCTTAACACAGTTCATGCCGCCGAAATCCCTCGCGGCGATATCGGCGGCAGCGCCACCGCACAAGATTTCTCCTTGGATGTCATCAAGTGACTCAGAGAAGCCATCAGTAGAAATAGCGGAGGAGGTGACGGCGGAGGAGACAGCCTCGGCGTCGTTATCCAAGAAGTATGGTTCTATGTAAGCTATCATTTTTTTTGGTTTGGTGTGTGATTGTGTGAAAATGCCTAAATGAGAGACTCTAATGTAGATGGAAGCTTTTTAGCTTTTGGAAACCAAACCTTTTTTTGTTTGTCTGTGGTGAGAGAGAAGCTTGTGTGGCTTAGCTATAAATAGCGACCGAGAGAGGTTATTATAGCTTTTGGATTTGTTTTCATTTTATTTCTGTGATTGAATATTTTAATTTCATTCGGCCGTTGAAATGCATTACTTTTAATAACGTCTTTAAACAAACAAAAAATTAGTGTTATTATTATTATAAACGAAGATATTGGGGGGTTTTAAAAATGTCTCAAAAAATTGTCAACACTGAGTTAACTAAAGGAGGAAAAAAGAAAAGATTCAACCCCATTCTTAAAAGAATGGTTAAAGGATCCTCAAAATCTGTCCCGTACCGAAAAAGAAGAAAAATAGAAAATAAAAAAGAAAGCAGAAAAATCTATGGAATTAATTGTGTAAGGAAGTTGGTCTGTATGCTTACGGCATTGTAGAGAGATGACGTACTTCTTGTTTTCTATTTTTTTTTTCTTTTCTTGAGAGATCGAAGAAGCTGAGTTTTTTCTACCACCATGTCCATAATAACTAGGAGCATGCACTAGCTGAATTTAACCGGTGTAATGGTTAGGAATTGTTTTGATGGTTAGGAAGGATGCTGTAAAAACTGACAAAAATAAACAATAGTTAAGTTTAAGTTACGGTTAAATAATAGATCTGATTGGTAAAATATTCAGAACTGTGAAAAAATTGTAAGTTAGAGAGGTGAGATTTTACATAATACTGCAAAACTATAAAGAAAAATGGCACTCTATAAAAAGCAAAGAGTGAAAAAATTTAATAAATAATTTGGGAATGCTTTTATGATTGTTAAAAACTAAAGTTGTATCTTTATTTGGTGACCAAAAAACAATAAAAATGCAACTTTATTTATATTCATCAATAAAAACCGTTATGTTTAGTATAATAAAAGCTGTTGTATAATAATGTATAGTTTATGAAGAGAATTATAAATATAAATATATATATAAATTATTGAAAAATGTTTAAACTTATGAATGGTTGCAAAATTCAGCTTTGTTTGTACTTTGTATGGTGGTTTACAACCTCCCATTTGTTTTCTTCCGTCCTTTCTAAAATTACTTACTGTAACTGTTTTTTACTTTGACTTTTTTCATCTCCTTTTGATTGATAATTTTAAATCGGTTTATTTCCAACTGCGGTAGTTGCAATGTCACCAACCAAATCTAATGTTTATGAAAGTCTCATGTTTAATTATGAATTTAAGATTAGCACAATACAACAGTAAAGTTGAATATATTTACTTTATTAAATCGTAAGAGTAAGTATATATACTGATATACATGTTCCAGGTGAATCTTGGCTAATGACCACCAAACATTATTCTACCAGTTGAAGCTTATACAGTATGTTACCGACAAGGCGATAACAACGAAATGTCTCTTTTTTTTTTTTTTTTTTTTAATTATAGAGTTGATAAGAGTATTCATGCAACAAAAGAGTTCCAAAACTGGACCTTTCGTAACATTGATAAATATATAAATATAAGTATTCGGATAACGAACATTTCCAAAAATTGGGTCAAATAGCTCAATTAATTTACTATTGAGAAGAGACACAACATCCAAATACGATCGTGTTCACAACTTCTTCACTTCTAGAAGAAATATACATCCACCTGAATCTGATGAAATCCTTCTTCTCCAACCTTAACAATTACCTACTTACTTTAGTTAAAAGAAGATTAATTAATTTTGACCAAAAAAAAAGAGAAGATTAATTAATAAATTCAAGAAAACGACACTATAGAATCGTTTTGTCGTTATCACCATATACAGTATATACCAAATTAAATCCTTAAGTTGTTTAAACAGTCTAGACAGTAGCTGAACGATGAATCTTTAACTTGACCATGTTCAAGGTTGCTATGTTTCTTCGTTTGGTCATTGCTTCTTTGGATCCACAATCTCGTTTTGGATAATTACTGAAAGAGATAAAAAATTTATTATCCGTAAATAAAACAAATTGCTTTAAATATCAGAATATTCGTGGATATACAAATCTACTTATTACGAAATATACAAATTAATCCCATGTATTAAACTATGTTTTAAGTGAGTGTTATCTCATTGACTTTGATATATATAAAAACATGAGATTTTGTGACGATTCATTAATTAAATTTTAAATATGTGAAAGAATCATTTATTCTTCTCTTTCTTGTTGGTAAATGGTATAATCGTTTATTCTTACTATTTTACTTGTTAATAGTGGTTGACCATAATTAGATATCTAAAATATAAGAGTTGAAGCAAAACTGATTGTCCAATGTTATTACACCGAAAGAGAAAAAACATATATACATGTTGATGAGACTTAATTAGCGACAATAGATTGTGTTTCCGGTAATAAACCATAAATTTGAAACCATTCTTTTATCAAAAACAAAAGTTTTTAAATTATTGCGTAACTTTTTATTTATTTATACAATTACTAATTCTAAGTTCTCATGCATAAAGTAAACGTTATAATGATGTAAGTAAACGTAAAAGAATTGACGACATTAGTCTCACAGCATTCAATAATTGTGGGTTTATTCTAATTGTTCTTTAACAATAATCGTGGGGGCAGGCAATTTAACTTTATCTTATGAATTTCGCTGACTTGGGTGCTAAAAGGGAAAAATAGAAAAAGGTTTGTGACGACCGACTCAACATTTTATAAAATATAAAACATTTTCAAGAGGACAATTCTCAAATTTCGCCCGAATTGAATTATGTAATTCCGGATTGTTGTCCCGTAAAAGTAAAATTTAACAGACATCAAATTAACCCTTAGAAATAATACCTACGGACTTTAGTATTTATTTCTTTAGAAATCGACAAAGAGCAAAATAAAACTAGTTGTTGGTGTATGTGAAAATATGTAAATTGAAGTTCTAGATATTATCATTTTAACTATTACGAATATTCCAGAATTGATTTTTAAGTATTCGTATTCCAGAAACCGTATTAATCATCTAGTAAAGCATTAGTTTTTATCAACCATGATACGGTTTGTGAATCATAAAAACATTCACGACCTTAAAAAAAAAAAAGAAGCCTAACGAAATTATTCACAATGGATGTTACAAGTTACAACGTAAGGTAATCAACAAGGGATATAAGTTACTGCTCGTCTTGCTTGAAGCTTTGTTGATACACATAATCAGTACTTAAGTTGTTAAACAATTGGATAATAGTTTTGTTTAATAAAAATTAATGTTTGCGAAGTCACTAAAGCCGTTGGCTTTACTTCCTTTTCAAAAACTAAAAAAGCTTGATCACACTTGTTTATTCTCAAGTCAAACAGGTCGTGTATAACTTATAAGCTAATTATAATTATATCCAAATATACTGTACGACGGTATTCTTATTTGTATCATCTCATTGACTTATTAATTAACTATTGTATTAAGTCAATAACTTAAAAACATTCTTTAACGTCAACTTAACCATTTAAAAAACAATGTTGATTAATTTATAGATTGAATTTTTTTGATCCTGAACTCCTGACGACGTTTTGTTTGAGAACCATACCTTATCGCTCTCTTCGGTTTGAGATTCTTTAATATAATTTTCATCTCCTTCATTTCCCACGTACGGTTTTTTTTTCTATATTTTTCTTTCATATTTTTTCCTATTATAAATTTTTTAAGTGCTCGGCACGCCCATCTGTAAATGTTTGCCCATATCTGTGATCAACACAAAATGTATTTCACCAAAAAAAAAAAAATGAAATGATATTACAAACAAATGGACAATAATTCACATTTGGTGAATTGGTGTTAATTAGGTCTACGCATATCACTAGGAGGAAATTGGGATACATACATTACACTGTTATAGCATGAAACATCATGTAAGGTTTTACACGTAAGTGTTTATACGGGTAGAGATATACATGGAATTTGAAGTGAGGAAGAGAACAATATAAGAAACATAATTCTTGGCTAACGATTGAATGCAACAGAGAGAGCGATACCAAGGACAAGCCATGCTCCAATGAAGTATCCCAAAAGCCTCGTTGGTCCTACGTCTTCCGGTTCCTATCCATTTCTCCCATATATTTATCATCAGAACCAAATCGAAGCAAACTAAACTTCATTCTTATTCGAACGTTAACAAAAGTTCAATATCTAACCACTAACCTATTTGTTAAGAATGAATAGATACTATTGATTTGTCTACATCTTGATGAATAAGGTTCTCAGCGTGACCAAAACAAAACCGACCAGTACATACGTACCTGAGGAGGTGGCTCTTCCGTGGACGGTTCCATGATGTCAACCTCAAATGGCCAGACGTACCTCTCTGCTTTTTCGCTTCTGGCTAGACTCCAATCGTACATTCTTCTCTCTTCCACGGTCGACAAGATTGTATATGACTCCTAAAACTCATCGTTAATTAGATTCCTTTATGTGTCTCCATGAATCTCCCAACATTGGAATTTATTTTAACAAGTAACGTTAAGAAATACTTTTCCAAAATCATTTCACATTGGGAAAATTGTCTGAAAAAGTATTCGGACGCTACTTTTCCAAACAATAAGGTCAAAAGGTTTAAAAGATTTGGAGTTGGTTTGAGAGAGAAAACTGACTTTGACAAGGTCCATCTTGGTCTTAAGTTGTTCTTCGGCTAGGCCTTGTTCCTTTAGCTTCTTAACTATTTCTTGGTAACCAGTTCTAACCTGATCATCATCATAAACAATAAAACTTCGTGATGATTCTTGTATTCATGATTAATGTTCCCAATTCGTATCTAATAACAATTTCTTATAATCCAAAATTGTGGATATGAAGATCACAAACTACTCTGTATGTATAGTATGAAGAGAAACTGACCTCATCATAAGAACATTTTCTTGAAACCCCAAGGCGTCCATAGTGATCCACATCTGTTATCGCTGCATTCTAATCCAAACCACCATCAGTTTTTTCTACTCCTCTTCCTTATCGAAGGTTCAAACCAAAAATGTTTTTTATAAAAATCGAAACTAGAGACAGAGAGAAAGGGATTACGAAGGCCACGGAGAGCGCGTTCAACGTTGAGAGCTGAGATTAAAGATGGAGATACTTTTGGTGCTTCATCCACGGCGGTGCTAGTTCCACCATCGGTCTCTGTCTCTGTCTCCGCCGAAGCCTCACTGGAGTTCCTCGCCGGCGAGCATATAATCCGCTTCGTGGTGAGTGTTGGCTTCAACGGGAAAGAGCACGTGCTTGGTACGTGATGGAGGACGGATTCGCCTGGAATGTGTACTAACGACGGTTGAGTTATCGTCGATAACGAAGCCATGGCTCCAAGGCTAACACTGAGAACTGACAATTTCGTATTTTTTTTAATTGATAAACGAACTAATAACGGACACAAAAATGTGACAACCATAGAAACTCCTCTTGGTGTGGATAAACTAATATAAGACTACAATTGTCTACGCTATAAATATAAATAAGTACGATGATCGAACATCAAAGTCGTTGTAGTATAGTGGTAAGTATTCCCGCCTGTCACGCGGGTGACCCGGGTTCGATCCCCGGCAGCGGCGTTTATATTTTTTGTTTTTAAACTAGTCTTCAAAACGATGCGTTTTGAGCTTACTTTTTTTACTTTGTACAAGCATGGTTAAAAACTTGTAACGATTTTACATAATATTAGCCACGTCATAGAATAGGTGAACCCAACCATAAAAAGCAGCAATTTCGACAAGATGTTTGAGACAAAGGTTCGCAATTATATGAACACCATAACATTACTGCACATGCTTTGATATGTACAGAGTCAATCTCATGGGTTTTTGTCTCTAATGTTTTTAAAAGAATTGAGTCTTGAGAAAAGAAAGAAAAATGTGCCAGAAAATAAGAAAAGATAAAGCAGGATATGATAAACTATCACATATTTTGAATCAGTCCTCTCCTTACTTGCTCAGACCAGAGCTCTCGCCGGATTTCCAAACAACATCGTTAAGTGAGGTCGACAGCTTCTTGTAGAACTGCAACCAAAGTAGATTGAACAGATTTAATAAGACATTGTCCTCGAAAAAACATTACTGCAGAGTCAAAAAGTTGCATGTTATTATTACCTTATGAAATTCTAATGTATCCCCTTTAGTTTTCCGGACTTCAATCATGTGAAGTGATGGTGATACTTGAAATATCTACAAAACATTACAGATTAGGTCACTTCTTTTGTTCTATGCCAATTTTGATGCTAATTTAATAAAACAAAGAGTCAGTCATGCATGTACCTCAGTAGCAACTTTTAGGTTTCCCTTCCTTCCGGCATTCACGTTTTCAAGTCTCATCTGTGTACAAATGTACCATTTCAGTGAAGTGACACGATAATTAGACTGGTTCGATATCCATAACAAGGAAACCTCGAGGAAATGAAGCAACAAAGGGAACCTATATTTTCTACTCTAATTAGTAATTATTCTATTAGAGGTTTTGAGGATTTCTTCCTGAGGCACACAATGGGTTTACCTTATAGTTTTTCTTTTGAATATCGAAACCGAGAGGCTTAGATGCTTCTTCAATCTTCTGGACTAATTCATTAGCAGCACCTTTAGCTGCAAATCTTGTTTCTCGCTTGAATCCCTGCAAGTTAAACCGTATAGACTTCATTACTGAAAATATAATGTGACAACTGAACCTTAACATTGTCTATCTATATTTTGTCATCATGAGTAAAGTTGGATTTATATTTTACATGTCACACCAAACTACTGCTTGCTCAAGGATTAAAAAAGATAAGCATGTTTAGTCTAAAGGACGCACCTGTTCTTCCTCAAACAAATTCCCAAGATCCAGAGCTCTCGACATTGATATCAACTCAAAGGCATTCATAGGAGTTGGTTGCTCCTCTTTCTTTTCTCTGACATGATGCTCCTGTTCAAAAATCACAGACTGTTATGTACGTTTATTCAAGTACTTTTGAAAATAAGGACAAACAGTCAGCCATCTTCCAGATCTCAGACTAAATAACTATGACTCACTTCTGAATCTTTAAAAACAGCTTCTACATCATCCAAGTTTGCTTCTTCCTTCTCCTCGAAAACAGCTGGCTTGTAATTTTTCTTGAACCACGGATCTTCCAGAACCTCTGAAATTGTGATACGCTGTCATGTAAAATGCACAGTCAAATTAGTTCCACCCTTTCAGATGATCCTCGGATGCTTTAAATTATGCAAACTTTATATAGATACTCCCGAAACCCAAAATACGAAAACACAATAGTAATCCCTCAGTAAAATATCATGATTAAGATGCTAAATCAAACAATCTAACAATATTCACCGAATTGAATATCTATCATAAAGCATGCTATGTATTATACCAGCAGTGGCTCATTTCAGGTAGATATCCTGAGAAGAAAAATTCAGCAAGAATGGAAAATTATTAATTTATATGACACAAAATCTAACACGAAACTGAAAAGAACTTTAATATATCAAGAGCTTCAGCTGCCTTAATAGTTGTTATACGTACAGTTTAATCCAACAAGGCAACACTACAGATATTATCCAGGTCAATAATTATGCTTTTAAGTTGTGACTATCTTAAACGCAAGTAAATTGATGCTCTCTAAATTCTATATATAGTTATACATTTGATTCCAAACCTAATGCTAAAAATAGCCAAAGTAAACAATAAAATGCCACTGTACTGAATATTCGCTCAAGTTTTCCAATAGCGTTCAAGCATAATTTCCCCCAGATCCCTGGTAAGCCCTAACTCGCCTAAGTGTCTAAGAATAAACAAGACGAGATTACTGGGATTCGACAGAAGAAAACAAAAGAAGGATAGAGAAAAAACTTGCAAGCATTAATATACTAAAATATCTTACAGTCACAGGGCTAGGATCCAGGATTCGGACAATCAGGTTCTTAGCACCAGGAGATAGCCAAGGAGGACAATGATATTCACCAGCTATTATCTGAAAAATGAAAAAAATTGTAACATAGAATCACAGATAATGGTGAAGGAAGAAGCATCAACACAAATGACAACACTTCTTACCATTTTATACAGCGTCATGAGATTAGAATCCTCAAAAGGCAAGTAGCCAGCAAGTAGTACAAAGAGTATCACGCCACAGGACCACAAGTCCGCGGTTGCCCCGTCATAGCCTTGATCATTAAGAACCTTGAGAAATGAGAAACAAGGAAGCTAATAAGAACATGGTGCAACAACCACATGAACAAGACACATGACTAAGCATACCTCAGGAGCAGCGTAGTTTGGAGTCCCGCATGCAGTGTGAAGAAGACCATCACCCTGCCAAAGCCAAATAAGTTTCATAAGCGGAGAATCTAGCACCATTAGTGCTACAGAGCTTTAGATATATGTAAAAATATACAATAAAACATAACATTGCTGAAACAAGACAAATCAGTAGGAATTATGGTAAACAAAAGGATACTACGAAGAAAAAAAATTGAGTGGTTACTCTGACTTGTCGGGACAAGGCACTCAATCCAAAATCAGAGACTTTCAGATTTCCATGAGCATCGAGAAGCAAGTTTTCCGGCTGCAATTAGAGAAAAACAAGACAAATTGTAGGCATCAATTTGATGCACTTAAAAAAAACATACTGCAAATTTGGAACCAAGATCTAACAAAAAATCTGGTACCTTTAAGTCCCTGTGGTACACTCCCCTGCTATGGCAGTAATCAACAGCATTGATAAGCTGCTGAAAGTACTTCCGTGCGTTCTCTTCTTTCAAGCGCCCATCATGTACCTTCACAAGTTCACGCATGCATAATGCAAAGGTTAAATTTACATCAGAGATAAGAGAACCTTTTCAGTTGTATAATACAGGAACATCTAACAAGCTTCACTGGAGCTTAGCATACATGAATCAAACACCCAAAGATAGATCAGGTACATATTATAAATCCTCTGGGAGGGATTAAGGAACACTCACAATTTTGTCAAAAAGCTCTCCACCAGTGACGAACTCTAGGACAATATAAATCTTTGTCTTGCTTGCCAAAACCTGGAACGGTAACAATTATTTCCTCAAAAGTCAGCTTCCAACGTATACTTACGAAGACTCATAAGCAATACAAAGGGAAATAGAGACACATTGAGCAAAGTGGTGGGGAATGGAGATAGACCTCATACAGCCGCACTACATTAGGATGGTTTATCAACTTCATAGTAGAAATTTCTCTCCTTATCTGGAAGGAAAGCAAAACGAGGGAAGATTCAGGTCATAGTTATGGATTAATTTCCGAAAAACACCGGTAAATGTGGTAATTAGGAATGAGAGTAACCTGTTCAGCCATCTTATGCTTGAGAACCTTCTCTTTATCAAGGATCTTGAGAGCCACGCGTTCTCCAGTCTCAGTATCAACAGCACACCTGACTTTGGCGAAAGTTCCTTGTCCAAGCGTTTTCCCGACCTCGTACTTTCCAACACGACGCTGGACCTTGGGACGATTCATCACTCCTTGATCTTCGAAAGCTCTTTCTGGAAAATGTAAGCTCTATATACAAAAAAAAAATTCCATGTAAAAGCATTTAACAGAAGAGAAACAATTCACAGAAACTAAAAAAGACAAAGTAACCGTCATATGACACAAAATTCAATAAAGAGAAAGCCGCAAAAACAGCTGAAATGGTGATAAATCTAGCAGCGGAACTTTCGATCGTTCATATTTTTCATGCTCCAATTTAAAAAAAAAAAAAAAAAAAAAAACTAAAAACCCAGAATCACGACTTAGGTAATTCATCTTATTATTTAAACATTTAAATTCTCGTATGTATACAATTGAAGCGAGATTCACGAGTAAGTTAACGAACTCGTCATCCCTCATCATCCGCATCATCAGACACAGATTATTCATATTTTACACTCAAAATTCAAAGCGTAACAAGTGATTTAAACACTCCATGACACCGAATCGCTCATCGAAGCGAAAAAAAATATTTGAGAATCTCGGAACAAACCTGCAAAATTGACCGGAGAGAAAAAGTGAGCAGGCAAGTGTAGCCTTTGCGGAATACTCAGAAGAGTTCAATAATCTAAGGAGGAGGAGGAGGAGATACAAAGAAGAGATAGAGATGCAAAGGAGGAGGAAGAGGACGGTGGAAATAACGAGAGACAGAGAGAGATACGATACCGATGATTTGTATAATTGCAAAAAAAAATTGTGTAGAGACAAACAAAAACAATTTTAATTTCGTGTGGGGGCTAAATATAATGGACACTTTCTTTTTCGTCTGGGACAATACGTTATTCCTTTCCTTTGTTAGGTCTTATTTTTTTCTTAAGAAGTAAAATTATGGTCTTTTTGGTCAAATTATTTTTTTATTTTAGTTAATTAGTTTAATGACAAAAAGATTTAAGTACTGATATTTTGACTAGAAAGAGACCTTACCTAATAAATTGTTTGTTCTTCTCATAAATCTTATATATATATATATATATTACTAAAATATAATTACATGTTTTCCAACAACAATCCAAACTTTACAATATCCTTTACTATCAACATAATTCAACCCTTTTATGATTCAATGTTTTCTAAAAAATAATAAGTGTCACAAGTTAATTGAGATACTCTAATGTAAAATCTTCTATAAAATATGTTTTGAAAAATATATTAAATATTAGCATGTGTATCTAATATTCTCCCTTCTAAAATTATTTGCAAGGTATTAAAAAATGACAACACATATTTTATTGGATTGACTTGATAGATATTTACATCTACAACCATTTTGCTTTAGTGTACCATAGTAACAAATACATATATAATTATGAAAAAATATCAATTATAGATAAAAATTTCATGAATACAAATAATTTATGGATAAAATTTTCATTTTTAATTATTACCCAAAATCTGCGTCATTTGATCTTGAAGAGGCCCAACCATATCTATGTTGGGCTGACTCTTTTATAAAGCTCTTGTAGAATTAGACAAGGCAGATAAATCATTAGCAAAAAATTTCTCGGAGTTCTGAAAAAAAAGGTGGAAGAAGAATGGCGGATCAGCTCACCGATGACCAGATCTCAGAGTTCAAGGAAGCTTTTAGCCTCTTCGATAAGGATGGTGATGGTATGTTCTTATTTTCACAGATCTATGTGTGTGTGTAATTTCCCGATGTTTCCTCCGTTCTGGAATTTGTTTAGCGAGTTATGATCTTCATTCTCATGTACAATTCGTGTTTGTTTCATTTGACTTCGTGAGTTTTTTGCGTGTTCGATAATGATTCATGACTTACGCGGTGTTTGTTTGCTTGTACGCTCGCTCGATCGCTTCGTGTGTTTTTTTGGGTTGATTTGGTTCATTTCCCGTAGTTCACTAGTCAGTGCTAATCGTAGATATGAATTAGGAACAATCAGGCCAGTCTCGTATTGGATCTTACCGGTTCTATACTCTCTAGTTTCATTTGGAGTTTGATTATGCAAAAACTCTGATTGTGAAAGAACTTGCAAATTTATGTTGTATTGCTTCATTGTTAGCAACTTGAGCAGTTTTGGCTTTTGCTTGGTGAGATGTGAGCTATGAAACGAAGTGGCTAGGGTTTTAAACCTAGCTTTGATACCATTTAAAGAGATCTGGATAAGCATGTTGTGTCTTTTAATACACAGTCTAGGTTTGCTAGTAAACTACACATAAGGAAAGATGGGATTAATACGCAATATTAACCTTCATTATCACTTTAGGAAGACTTGGGAAGAGTGTTGATTTCTAGTGTGCATGAATGAGCTGTCTATGTTAAACATTGTCAACTAAGACCATATTCTCTTTTGGTTTCCAGTTCTTCATCAGTTGAAATAAGAAATGCAGTGACTTTTGTTTGTTATGCTTTTTCATCTGGGATATGGACATGATAGTATATTGGTTCTTTTGAATTTGATCATCTTAAATCATACAGTATTTGGAACTGCTGTCTGAGACCTGGCTGTGGATATATGTCTGTCTCTTATGCTTATATCTAAATCTGGTTGCAGGTTGCATCACCACCAAGGAGCTCGGAACCGTGATGAGATCTCTGGGGCAAAACCCAACTGAAGCCGAGCTACAAGACATGATCAATGAAGTTGATGCAGACGGGAACGGGACCATAGATTTCCCAGAGTTCCTGAACCTGATGGCAAGGAAAATGAAGGACACTGATTCAGAGGAAGAGCTGAAGGAAGCATTCAGAGTTTTCGATAAAGACCAGAATGGTTTCATATCTGCAGCTGAGCTTCGACATGTGATGACAAATCTCGGGGAGAAGCTAACCGATGAGGAAGTTGATGAGATGATCCGAGAAGCGGATGTTGATGGCGATGGTCAGATCAACTATGAGGAATTCGTTAAAGTCATGATGGCTAAGTGAGAGAATTTTATCAAAAACGAGATTTATGATTTCCTACAGTGAAGTTTCATCATGACTTGGATTATGGGCGTTCTTTAGGACCTCGTTTGCTTTTTCCCCTCTTTTTATATTTGTTTGCTTTGTTTTGTTTTGGTTTGGTTGCTTAGTGTTATCTGAAGTATGAACTCATATTTGCTCAATGCTCATCCATTTGACAGTTGATATTCTCTCCTCTTTGGGAGATTGAGGTGCTTACTTTCCAGTTTCTACTATTTTTGTTCCTGATTTGGCACTAACGCAACTGAATAACCATTGATTAAAACTCAAAACATTCTAAAAATATTTTTTGCACTAACTTGTTGAACACCGTATTTTCCATTTAACTTTTTTTTAACAATATTTTTGTACAGAAAAATGTACTGTTTGCTTCCTTGTATCTAAAAATTCGATCGACACGACACCAATCCTTGGTTAGCTTCTCTTACCCTTTAATTTAGCTCCATCAATAAAGCAAAACAATGTCTACATGAATTTGCAAATTCTCCCAGCTTCCCCAAACGGTTCTCTGCACAACACCACCAAAACACTCTGTTTCAAACCAAACTGAGACTTGATGCATAGCTTTGGTTTTTCAGGCATTCCCTTTAAGAAAGACGGACTTCTCGATGAGACGGTATGATTTGGGATATTGATTTTGGAGGAAGTTAAGAAAGAAGAGCCCAATGTATCTGCATCACTAGTATTAGAGACACCAATAGCTTTCCATCCATCTGCTATGAGTTGCATAGTTTTCCTTGTGGGAACAACTTTCTTCTCTTCCATGTCTTTCAGAAGCTCTTCCGCTTTCCACGGCTGTCTTGCTTCCCCAAATCCCCATATAAGAGTCTCGTAAGTAGTCAAGTTAGGCGACAAACCAACGATTCTACACATTTTGTTATATACCTGCATCGCTTTCTTCATTTCACCTGCGCTGCACCAACCGCTTATGATTTGTGTGTAGATCACTACATTTGGGCGGACACCAAATTTTCTCATCTGATTCAAGATCTGCTCCGCTTTTTCGGGCTCTCCAGCTCGAGCATACCCTTTGGCAAGGATACTAAATGCGTGAATGTCAGGATCTATTCCTCCTTCCAACATATCTCTATAGATCTCTTCGCATCTTTTCATATCTCCTACAGAGCTCCATGCATTCATTAGAGTGCTAAATGTTACCACATCAGGTTTTACCCCTAATTCTTCCATCAGATCCACCACCTATCATGTTAACATGACCCTTTTTAAGAAAAAAAATGGATGTAAACAAAATTATTGAACAGCTTATAAACTATAAAGTTCACCTCGCCAACTCCGTCCATGTCGTTGATGTCAAGGAAGCCTTTAATTAGAGAGTTAAAAACAAAGAGATTTGGATGAACTCCAAGTTCTTTCAATCTATAGAAAAACCTCAAAGCTTCTTCCATCTTGCCTTCTTCACAGTAGCCATTCACAATGGTTCCACAGGTACGTACATTTGGTTTAACTTTGTTGTGTAACATCCTTGGTATGATCATATCCTCAGCTGTACATGTTTCCCCGATCCGCGCATATGCTCTTGCCAATGTGTTAAATGTTACGACATCAGGTTTTACCCCATAAGATTGCATCTTATATACAATGTTCCATGCTTCTTCAATCTTCCTCTGGTTACACCAAGCTTGTACAAGTATGTTACATGTTCTGTCATTTGGTTGGAGCATCTCATCCCGTAACATCAATTCCAGGAGTCTTGAAGATTCCTCTAGCTTACCAATTTTTCCATATCCTTTAATGAGAGTATTAAATGTACTGGTTGTGGGTTTACATCCACTTTCCTTCATTTTTTCAAAGATCTTCATTGCTTGATCGAGATTTCCAGACTCGGATGATGCGTTGATGATGGCGTTGAAGAGAATGGTGTCGGGTTTGAGGCCATTTTTCTCGACTTTAGAGATGAGGGAGAGGAGAGAATGGAAGTGCTTTTGACGTGTCAATGCAGTTACAAGAGTGGTGTATGTGATGATGCTTGGCTTGTGGCCTTCCTCAATAAGAGTGTTGAAAATGGAATGTGCCTCTTGCGGTCTCCCTCGTTCTATCAACCCGTTCATCAGTTTGGTCCTTGAACGAACATCGCCGCAAGTAGTACCACCTGAACATATCACACAAGGAAATGACCTCAATTGCACTCTCCCATCCTGTGAAGCAAAGACATAAGTTATCTCAATTACTCAAGCTTCTGTTATATTCAACCAAGCAATAATATTATAATTATCATTGCCTAGTGGATCTAGTATTTTTTTAGCGCAATCGTAAACTGAAATTGGGGTCAGTATTAAAGACATTTGATATTGTTGATCAATCAGGTTCTCTACTTTCCACATAAAAAGACTCCCCCTGTAAGTGGTAAGAGCACTCTAAACCTAAACAAGAACGTAACCTAGGTGATCTAACCTTTTCAACTCAATCATCCACCAGATCTCAGGATAAATAAATGACTCACTTCAGAATCTTGAAAAACAGCTTCCACATCAGCCAAATTTGCTTCTTTCTTCTCATCAAACACAGCTGGCTTGTAATCTTTCTTGAACCACGCATCTTCCAAAATCTCTGGAATTGTGATACGCTGGCATGTTAAAACACTGTCAATTAGCTCTACATGCAGGACACAGATAAATATCTGCTTTGAATCATCGAATGAATATGACATGCGCTTATCGATGGGACTAACGATTGCAGGAGGGTCATAAACTTTTTAACATTTTAGACAAACTGTAGTAGCTCTTTTCAGGTAATGAAATGGAAAGAATAGGAAATAGTCAGCAAGAATAGAAACAATAAAACAAAGACAATTAAATGTACACTTTAGACCAACACTACAAATAGATCTTCCAGGGTAATAAACATTTAGATGGAAGTATCTTACAGTTATAGGGTTTGGATCCAAGATTCGGATGATCAAATTCTTAGCACCAGAGGAGGGCCAAGTAGGAAACCTGAATTCAGCTGATGAGATCTGAAAAAGGAGAAAAAATGCAACACAAAAACATGAATCACAGATAACGCGTGAGGAAGAAGCCTGAAAATATAACCAAAAGTTTACCTTTTTGTACAGCGTCGTGAGACTAGAATCCTCGAAAGGCAAGTAACCAGCAAGTAGCACAAAGAGTATAACTCCACAGGACCACAAGTCTGCCTTTGCCCCATCATAATCCTGATCATTAAGAACCTTGGGACAAAGTAACAAGGAAGCTATCAGAATTCAGAAACATGGAGCAGGAACTGCATAACAAGCCACATACGAAGCATACCTCAGGAGCAGCATAGTTTGGAATTCCACATGCAATGTGACGAAGGCCATTACCCTGCCAAAACCAAGCAATTTTGATAAGCTGAGAATCTAGAATGATCAGTGTTAAGGATTTTATTGAATATTTAAAAACATCATTACTGAACTTCAGGTAAGAAATATTCAGAACTTCTACACTCATTAGAATAAGACAGGGACAGATTCGTAGGATCTCAGGTAAACCAAATGATGCTTAAACAAAATCAAATTCAGTGGTTACCCCGACTTGTTGGGACAAAGCACTCAATCCAAAATCAGAGACTTTCAGATTTCCTTGAGCATCGAGAAGCAAATTTTCTGGCTACATTGAGAGAAGTAAAGAAGGCAACATTTAGGCAACAATAAGCTGCACTTATTAGAAAACCACACTGCTAATTTGGGCCGAAGGGTTACCAAAAACGTTTCTTGTACCTTTAAGTCTCTGTGGTACACACCCCTGCTGTGGCAGTAATCAACTGCGTTGATAAGCTGCTGAAAGTATCTCCGTGCTTCGTCTTCATTCATGTGCCCATCATTTTTCTTCACAAGTTCAAATTTAATGCATTGGTTAAAAACCAAAATTAATATATTTTCACCTGTAATATATAGGAACTTCTAAGCTGAGTATGAAGCATATAATGCATGATTCTTAGACTAAAGGATATATCAGACATAAGTTAAGGCCCTTGGGGAGGAAGAGGGAACACTCACAATTTTTTCAAAAAGCTTTCCACCACTGATGAACTCTAGGATAATGTACATCTTAGCCTTGCTCGCCAAAATCTGGACAATGTATGCCAATCATTTCCTTAAAAGTTAGCTTTCCACAGATTTGCTTTGATACCAAAGAGCTTTTAATTCCTGGCTAATCAAAGGAAAAGTGAGACACACAGAGAAAAGTTCGGGGCATTGAGATAGACCTCATAAAGCTGAACTACATTTGGATGGTTTATCAACTTCATAGTAGAAATATCTCTTTTTATCTGAAAAAAAAGTAGGAAAGATCCATATCATACTTCCGGATTGAAGACAGATCTATTAGTAAATCTCTCTTTAAGAAACTACATTTGACTTCCAAGAAATATAAACAGGCATATCACTGGACAAGAGAGGAGACATGAAAAAACAGGATTCAGATTAGAAAAGTGAATTACTTGATTAACCATCTTATGCTTGAGAACTTTCTCTTTATCAAGGATCATGAGAGCCACAGGTTCTCCTGTCTCAGAATCTTGAGCAGACCTCACTTTTGCAAAAGTACATTGACCAATGGTTCTTCCAACCTCATACTTGCCAACCCAACGCCTGACCTTTGGCTCACTCATCATTCAAAGTACACCTCGTGATCTCCACAAGCTGTTACTAGAAAATGTAATCTTGATGTTAGAATCTCCTCTAAATAATATACTAGAAAATGTAATCTTGATTTTCTTCATTTACAGAAACTATAAAGAAAATAACACACAATTTGATGAAGACAGAACGTAACAAAAAGAAAAAAAAAAATCAGCTGACATCCACAAGATGGATGACAAAACAAGCAGCAAAACTCTTTGCCCTGAATTTCAAACCCTTCATTTTCGTTCATGTTACGCCCAAATCCCCAGAGTCACGACGTTGATATGCATATATAGTTCATGTATACGCGTATGTGCACGCACATCCAAAATCCTACACTGACCAATAAAGTCTTATGCAATGCGTATACAACTAAAATATAAATTCCGAAGTTAGCAGCAAAACTCAATCACCGTCCTCGTACACGTTTGATTCTGTACACGTTACAAGGGGCCAAATCCACCAGATTAACTGTTTCGATCGAAGGAAGCGAAAGATGGAAAAGCACAACGGAGCTTCAGGAGATACACACCTGCGAATTGGCCGGAGTATCCGGAGAAAAGGAGGCAACTAGAGTTGAAATCGCATGCAGCCTTCCCAACAAGAGTTGGCTTATCAAAGGAGAATTAATATTCCGATAAGTAATGTGAACTCCCGGCGACAATGCAGAGAAGAGGGGCTCGAGCTATGAGTCATAGCAGCAGCTTCTGCAACTTGACCCGTCTCAATTACTCGGTCGATGCTTCTTCCGCCATACTCCATCGTGTGGCTCGTTTTAAGTCACGTTATTTTCCTTTTATCTTTTTCTTATCCATAGTATAATTTTCAATATAATAGACGACGTGGATTGATGAGGGAGCCTGTTTACACTTTTTCTTTTCATTTTGATTGGCTACCTTTTCCCCAACTAGATATCCCACAAAAATAATTATATTATTTAAACTTTTGTCAAATACATTTTCCACGTCATTTTCCAGGTTTTAGTCTCTATTGTTTTGTGAAGTTAACAAACAAGATTTATACTAGCAGATAAGCTTGTTGTAACCATTATTAACGAAGGAACGTATTTTACAGTTTTTTGCAGGGAACAAGAAAAATCGCAGTTTTATTTTTTTCTTTGTTACAATGAGAAGCTTTGTACATAAGCACCACCAAACCAGGTAAGACAGAGGTCAATAAACTCAAAGTTGGGCACTCACTATGAACAAAGACCAAGTTTCACATAATTGAGAGATTAAAAAGAGAGAACAATGTCGCATTGGATTTGGGTTTTAGGGTTACCGTGTGAGCGGTTTGTAGAGGACAACAGTTATGTACTTAGACTCGAACCTGTGTGTTAAACCCAACGCTACAATGGATTGAGGAGTCCATCCTTGCTCTATGAACACATGGTTAAGCACCACATGTTGAGGCTTTGTGGCTACGGCTGTTTCTTCCGTTGTGCCAAGAAGCGTTAGATGAAGCTGAGGTGGCACCACCAGTGGCTCTTTCGCGTAATCTTCTGCTGCTGGAAGGGTTTGACCGTAGCTATGATCAGGTGACGGTGGCGCATCAAACTCCACTATGCTTTCTGGGTTTTCTGGCACAAAGTTCTGCATAGTGATTGCAGGTACTGTTACTCAGTAAGTTTGATTGGTAGATATAACATGAAAGAGAGACAGGAAATTACTTACATGAACATCGAGAATGTTACAGACATTGCCCATTTCATCTGATACAAAGGGTAAATCTGGGATGTATTTGGATTCACCGTCGACAATCACCTTGTAGTGGTATATCCCAGATGGGAGAACAAATAGAATTGAGTGGTCTTTTCCAGACTTCTGTAGCTTCTTCCTGAAGGATGTAAACATATATATGCTTAGTACACATCAACGTATACACATATACATCTTTACGAAAAGCTCGAGAGCAAATTCCCAAGAAACATATCAACGTATACCTTGATCTCCAATTGTCCCATGATCCTTCCACCTCCACATCATTACCTCCCTGGTTCCATGTAATGATGGTTGGGATTCCTTGCTCTGTGGGATAATCAAAAACTCTTTGAGATTGGTTCCATTGGATGTTATTAGGAGAAGGAGAGGCGTTTGCCCTCTGCAGTGGAGCCACAGGAACCTATGATAAGAACATAAAAATAAAGCCGTGAGATTTTTCAAAACAAAGAGAGAGAAGAATTGGCGAAGGTTAGACAACATTATATCTACCATCTGACACGAAATGCAACCATTAGGTATACATGTTATGCCTAAACAATTGAAGAGGTGACGCATAGGTGAGCATATGCTGTAAGATGTAAGGTGGATTAACAATGTGCGCTGAAAAGAAAAGGAATGGAACAATGAATATAGCAAGCGATAGAATGAGAAATTTACTATAATCTAGACAAGACCTGATTACCAAAAGATATTTTACTACATATTCCCACCAAACCCTCATAAATCAGGTCAATTTTGAAGGTTTTCTTTCAGAGGTGCAATGAATTGTTCAAATTTTTTTTTTTTTAAACTGAAGAATGAAGAATGAACCAAAATCTCTCATTCGTTCAACTAAGTTCAAGCTCTGCGTGTATAAATTCAGAAAGGGCTGAGAAATGAAGAAGCTCGACTTCCCTTCAAAATGAAAGCAAAGGAACATTACACAAAAGACTCACTTTGAGACTTACCAATTAACAGAACGGTATAACAACCAGTAATGGCCGGAGGACAGGAGGAAAATAAAAACTCAGCAATAGACTGGTATAAACTTTACTACATTACGCATGACATAACCAAGGCAATAAATAAGAACTTCCCTAAAAGCATATTTGTTTAGGACGACTAAGCCTCTCACTTTGCCAAAACGAACGAAGAATAACTTGCTAATCTCATTTACCAGAATCTTTGGCATCTCAAGAACCAACAGAAAAATCCCAGTCAAGTCCTCCATTATACAAAAGATTTCACTCACAAAAGTGCTTAGACTCGCAAACTTTCTCTCTTCATAGAGAAAGCAAAGATACATACACAAAATTTCACTAGGAGACATCAAGGTTCAGTAATCATGAGAGCAGTGTCAGCAAGAAAATAAAGAAACAACACCTAGGATACCAAATTAACATCTTAAAGACAGGCAGAAACTTTTCCAGGATTATCTCAAGCTACTTTAACAAAGGTAACAAACAAACCAAAAAAAGAGAGATTCACTAGTACCGAATCTCTAAACCCACCTAAGAAAAAGCCTTAAGAGCAAGAATCTTTACTTTTCCTGCTGATGTTGACAAACATAAGGAAGAAGCACAAATTCTCAAGAACCAACAGGGTAAAACAGATTAAAAGTATACAAATAGAGTTCACTCATAGAAAAGGCTGAAGCTTTTGTTCTAGAATCCTAAGGCAAATCAAAATGAAGAAATGTCTCAATTAGTGAAACATATGGAAAAGTCAAGTGAATATTCTCTAACTCAAACAAAAAATAAATCAGAAGGAGGGCAACTTGTTTTCACCTTTGACGAAACTTGGAGCAATGTTTCAATCAAATCATCCAAAACCCCAAACATCAAATTCAACGATAAGCACAGAGAGAAAGAGAGAGAGAGGGAAACCTGAGGAGCGAATAAGAAAGGAGAAGGAGATCGAGCGGGACTTCCGGGAGGAGAACTGGTCATAGAGTCTGAGGAAGGACGACGATGGCGACTGCGTGCAGAAGGATCGCCGCCGTTGGATCTCGCTGAAGATGAGGTGACATCTGCACCACCGCTAGCGGCGGCGGCGGCGTCGTCTTCTTTTCCGTTTGCATTTCCCATCTGAAAACCCCAAATCAGAGAAGTGAGAGAGTCAGGGAGAGAGAGAGACGAAGAAGAAGAAGAGGAGAGAGAGAGAGAGAAAGAACCAGACGTGAAGAAAAATGGAGGGAGGACGAAGAGAAGGAGGAGGTAAGAAAGAGGACCCTGAAGTTAGGAGCTAATTACGATAAAATGCCATTGATAGTGAAAAGAGAATTTGCATAAAAGAGCTCTGAGAAAGTGAGAATTATTAAAATCCGTACCAAATGGATAAACGAGTGACTTGGCGTCCAAAAGTTGATAATTATCCACTTCCTTTTCTTTTCTGATTTTATTTATTTATACAGATTTATATGATTATATTGCATTTCAGTCAAAATTTGATAACAGTTCAAATACTTGATACATAAGATTCTTATGATAATTGTTAAACAAATAATTATCCAGTTATTCTAATGATAAGAACATCTATACTGTAAAAATGGTTACTAGAAAGATCAAATATGTGGGTTTAATTTGTTTAGATTGAATAATTGGAAATAGTTTACTGTTATATAAACACTTGCCGGTAGAAAGTCAAACATCGTAGATAAATACGTGAGTTCATTAACAATTTTACTTTTCTGTGAATTATATACTCAGTTTGGTGCACATTAATACTTCACACTGTTTTTTTTAGTTCTATATTTCTTTTAGTATAGTTATTTTTATTCTTTTAGTATAGTTATTAAGTATGTTTAATCTTGGTTTAGTAGTAATGTGCTATATATACTGGTCTAACTCCAAAGTAAATAAGATATTGACACTCACAGCTAAAATATAAGATGACATTTTGACGAGAAAAACTCACGACCAGACTTTTTAAAGATGTGAATATTTCAACTCAACAACAAAATGCAATTTTCAAGTATTTTTTACACTATCTAAAATGTATTGTCCAATGTAAATAAAAACATACAAATTACATATAGTATTATATATTAATTTGATATTGGTTTAGAAAAAATAATAATATTATATGTCAAATGTCTATGGTTTAAAAAACTTATGAAGATTTTTTACGTTAACTGATTTGGCGAAAGTTTTTGGATACAATACTATGTATCATTCATCTTCTGTTGTCCCTATGTAGTATCCGTTGTCCATACGTATAAACCAATTTGACTGTTGTAGTGATTAGTGATTAACATATGCATATACAGCCTAGATGAAATTTCTTTGAACAATATGTTAGATATGATGGGTGTAGATTTGGTGAAAGCATTTGTATTCATAAACTTTAATTAACTAACAATATAATATAATTTTAGTGGATTGTTTAGTAGTGAAAAAATACTAATGCTAATTGAAACTTGTAAAAACTAATGCTTGTTGCACCAATCTTGAACCCTCGTTTATGTAAAATATTTATTGTGATCGGTATGGATTAGACGTAGTCATTTATGCAACTCTTACATAGTGATTGTCATGCACTTTTCTTCTATGTTGAATCATTTTCTTATATGTTTTCTTGCATTGTTTATATTCTTCTATTGCTTTATCATTTATTTTGAACCAAGTTTTTCAATTCAACATCATATCTTTTTGAAACAATAGTATTATAACCACCTTTTTTAAAAAAACTTGATTTTAGCACTTGAATTTCATATATATATATCGAAATCTAATATGAAATATTATTGTTAAAGACAAAAAAAAATTATTTAAATCTTTATGCTTCTTCTTCTTAGATTCACATAAATCTCATTTATGCATTTTCGGTATAATTAGAAGAATCAAAATATATTTTTGGACATCATAAATCTTTGCTAATATCTATAACATTAACATTTTTTTTCTATATCATTAACATCATTATCTAATTTAGACCACTCTTCCAAATCCTTTCATCCTCTAATATAACCCTCTATCACTTTTTTGATCATGTGTTCTTCTACACCATTATCGTACCCATCATCATGATTATAGTATACTTTCATCATTAGTTTTTTTTGTTTAAGCCTATGTCTATTCTAACAGTTTCAGTATCACTCCAACATATACAATAATACAAAACCACGTTAAACTCGTCCACAAACATTATGAATATAATGGACACTGGTTTAAGGAGAGTAGTAAACGTTTCAGAGGTTGATTAAAGCAAAATTTTAATAACCCTACATAAATGATGTGTCAAGACAAAATTAAGTGATGTTTTTCTCAGACAAAAAAAAAAAATTAATTGATGTTTTGTAATAAGGGTTTTCCCAAAAAATTTCCTAGACAAAACAATTAAATAAAATAATGTTTATGATTTATTTCCGTTTTTGCCATTTTCAAATAGGAAAGAGAGGAAATTGCTATTTATAAAAATTATAAATTAAAAAAAATAAAGGTAACAACTAGGGTTTTTGGTTATACGTTTCACTGTTTGTTTCATTCCCTTATTCTTAAAGAGTGTCGCCACCAAAACCAACACACACACTTGCCTCTCCTTGGACCTCTCTCTCTTTTATCACATTGCGTCTTTTCCTCCCGATCCTTCAATCCTCGTTCTGTTTTTGATCCAATTGAATTGTATCCGTCTTTTGATTCGAGTTTTAGCTTTCCAAGCTTCTGATGATGGCGGAGAGTGAGGGATCATTGGCTGATGATCGAGAATTGATCGGCCGTGAAAGTGGTCTTGGGACTAAGTCGCCTTGGAAAACGACGGCTACTCCTGCTGAGACTGTTGATGCCCCTGTAATGGGAGCTGATTCGTGGCCTGCGCTCGCCGACGCCGCGCAACAGCCTCGTCCGAAGAATCCTCCGGCGCCTGCTCCGCCGTCTAAAAACATTCCGACCTCTACCCCATCCCCTGCTCAGGTTGGTTTATGAAATAATGTATTTCGTTATTGTTAACGTTGTTGGTTTTTTTGAGCTGAAAGGTATCTGATACTCAATATATGTTGTGTTCGTGATTGGTTTAAGTTGGAGATACACCTGTTTCTTTGATCGAATTGGGTTTTTCTCGAATTTGATGCAAGATGTTTAGCTGTTTAAGTGTGATTTATCTTTACTTGGGTTGAAAGCTTGACTAATTGATAAAGCATTGCATTATAGAGCTTAAACTTAGTCCCTGAAAAAAGGTTTTCTTGTTTTATGTTGTAGGCTAATCCTGGTCAAGCGAAATCTAAAGGTGGTGGAAAGGCAAATCCCGGACACAAGAATCCATCTGGCCGTCATTCAAAACCAGGCTCGAGGAGCAACCAAAATGGTCCTCCTCCACCGTACCTTGTACACGCTGTACCATATCATCCACCTCCTTTTCCACCCATGGGTCCTCTGCCACATGCTGCTGGTCCAGATTATCCATATGTTCCTTATCCTCCGTTCCCGGTTGCTGGACCTCCTGTTGTAGATTCTGGAAATGAGAAACAAGTTCAAGCTTCCCCTCTTCCACCTGTGCTCCCAGCTCCTCAAGGGGATCCTGGAAAGCCTTGGCAGCATCAGAGAGGTTTTGACCCCAGAAACATGCCACAAGGTGGTGGACCAAGAAGTTTTGGGAGACCTCCATATATGGGTCCAGCTCCTGGATTCCTGGTTGGTCCAGGTCCAGGCTTCCCTGGTAATATATTAATTCTTTCTCAAGGTGTTTAAAAAAGGGACTTGCTGGGAGCAGTTGATATATAATTTATTATTTTGCTCTTTGAGTATATTTAGCATTAATATAGAGGATAACTCCTCGTGTTTGGTGTTTGATTGCTGTTGTTTGTTTCTTCATTTGACACAGGGCCTGTATACTACTTGCCAGCTCCACCACCTGGAGCTATAAGAGGTCCTTATCCTCCTCGCTTTGCTCCATACCCTTTAAACCAGGGTCATCCAGTACTATCTCCAGAAAGAATCGACTTAAGGGATAGAGTCTTGAAACAAATAGAGTATTATTTCAGGTAAGTTATGCCTCTCAACATAATCTTTTTTGTGCTTTTAAATGTATTTAGCTTACTCCATATTATACCTTTGGGAACTCTATATTTTTCTTTCCTTGAGTCCATCTTTGCTGATTATAGAATGGCACCTCATCTTACTGTGTACTTTCTTTTCATTATTTCCCTTTTCAGTGATGAAAACCTTGAGAATGATCATTACCTCATTTCCTTGATGGATGAAGAAGGATGGGTTCCGACAAAAGCTATAGCTGGCTTCAAAAGGGTAAAATTCGTAACAAGAGCTTGACTTGGTTTCTTTTGCGTTAGTCTATTCTGTCATCTGTGTTACGAAAAAAATTTGTTGCTTTTAATTTTTCTTTTACTCTTGAATTGCAGGTTAAGGCAATGACCATGGATGTTGAGTTTATAGTCTATGCGTTGGGGTTTTCTAATTCTGTTGAAGTGCAGGTTAGACTACCATAAGCCATTGCTTCTTTTCTGGTTTAAATGCTAAAGTCTTGCTTTTGTGAATGGGTTTGGGTACTAACATATGTTTGCGGGTTTAGATTAGCTTCTGTATGAAAAAATGTTTCTTTGAACACTTTGTTTTCTTTGGTATTTCTACTGTGGTGAGGCTATCATCCCAAAAAAATAGGTAAGAGTTTTGTCTCTGAATAATAGTTTGAAGAAGTCCTCGTAGACCTAACCTAACTCAGAGCATGATTGGTTTTTTAGGGGTGTAAGACCTTCTGTACTTGGTAAAGCAGCAAATATGCTGGTACTTCTTATCTGTTGGATGATAATTTGAAATGCTGCTACTTTTACAGGGTGACAAGATGCGCAAATGTCACAAGTGGTCTGAGTGGGTTCCTGCATCTAAAAAGTCAGCCTCTGTGGAGAAAACTGGAGACAGTGACAAAAATTCCCCTGAAAGTATAGCAAGTGGGGATAATTGTGGAAATTCTTCAAAGGGTTCTTCAAAGCCTACCGTCTGCAACTTCTCTTCAGAGGTTTGTTTTCGTTTAGTAGAGAGACACCGGAAAACTCCCAATGTAATTTCTGTTTTTCCTGTAGTCATAACTTTTCCGTTCTGTGGTACAGGGAGCTCGGTCATCAAAAACCAATAATTATAACAGTGGCAATCTGAAATTATCAGCAGATGAAAAAAGAAATGTGGATGACTTGTCAAACGATTTTTCAAACACATTCTTGCTTGACGAGGAATTAGATCTGGAGCACAGAAGCCCGAGAAAGAGTGGACTGTCTAAAAGGTAGTGCGGGCACGACTTCATTACTCCTGATATTTGCTTTCTGCTCTCTTTGTTTCCAGTATGCCTTCTTTTTGGATATGTATCTGAAAGTGCATATATAAAGTACTGCAGTTGATGCTTTGGTTTATTTGACTTATTGTAGCATTGAGTATGAAGATGATGATATGGTTGTTGATGATCAAGATATTCAGAAACTTGTAATTGTTACTCAGGTATTACATGGAAATTTTTATATATTTCTTTGAACTCTGTTTTGGTGAAATCAGTTATTCATGTTCCGTTATATGCTGGACAGAATAGTGGTAAAAGTGATGGCACTGGAGTCAGTGGGACGAAAGCAAAAAATATTCCTAAGGAGCTTGCGTCTACAATAAACGATGGTCTTTATTACTACGAGCAGGTTAGGAATTTTTTGCTAGAAGATAATATGATTAACCTTTCTGAAGTACAATTTCTAATAACCACCAATAAAACAGGAAATAAAAAAGAATCGATCTGGCCGTAGGAAGAGCAACTCCCATATGGATAGCAGAGATGGGAAAAATAAATCTGGGGGAGGATTGAACACTAAACAAGGAGAACATTCTGCAGCAAATGATGGAGGTGAGGAGCATGGAATCATCACTTCACGGAAGAAGCAAAGTAAGGGAACTCACAAACATCATACTGCCCATGCACGGAGGTTCTTCTCGAGTAACGTAAGAATCCATGGAAATATATCAGAAAGTCCGCCTAATAGCTCCATTGGATTTTTCTTTGGTTCGACACCACCAGACAATCATGGGTTTGTATCCTAGCAATTCATTATATTCCCAACTTATTCATATTTTTTATCTATCACTTTTTCTTATTATGTTTTTATTGAAATTCACAGCCCTAGGCTTTCAAAATTGAGTTCATCTCCACAATGTACACTCCCTGGAAGCAGTCCCCCTGTGGGCTCTTTGCCAAAATCATTTCCACATTTTCAACATCCAAGCCACCAATTGCTGGAAGAGAATGGGTTTAAACAAGAAAAGTAAGTATGGTTATTCTGTTAGATAACTTAAGTTAATTGTATGGAGCATTTTTCTTGGGTGGATAAGATTGTATCTTGAGGCTCTCTGTGCTCATTTCTTTTATTTCTACTCATAGGTACTTGAAGTATCGCAAGCGCTGCTTAAACGAAAGAAAGAAGTTGGGTAGCGGAAGCAGTGAGGTCAATTTCATATGTACCTCCTTTCAATGATTTTTCTCTCATCATGCACTTCGAAAGAAATATGCAAATACTTTTTACATATGGAATTACTCAACTCATTCTTTTACATAAGTCTGATTAGAGATCCTAACCCTAGTGTCGGAATTCTGGCTGTTCTATTTGCAGGAAATGAATCATTTGTACCGATTCTGGTCGTATTTCCTCAGAGACACATTTGTCTCGTCAATGTATGAGGACTTCCAGAAGTTTGCTCTTGAGGATGCAGCTGAGGATTACAATTATGGGTTAGAGTGTCTCTTTAGGTTTTACAGGTAATACATACTTTGTTAGACATGCTTCTGTTTTCCATCTTTTACACTGCGGATCCAGTGTAAAAAACCTAGTCCAATTAATATTTCGCTCTGCCTTCTTTCTTCAGTTATGGTCTGGAGAAGAACTTTGATGAGGACCTTTACAAGGACTTTGAGCAGCTGTCGCTTGACTTCTACCACAAGGGAAACCTATATGGCTTGGAGAAATATTGGTAAGGGATCATTTATCCTGTTTACGGTTACTCAATAACCTAGCTACTGAATTCCTGTTATGAAACTGTGTGATTCGTGGTGATGTCTCTAAAGATGCTTACTCAGCTTCAACGCACATAGAAAATGATTGGTTGGTTGTGCTGTAAAGGACCTAATCCTGTCTTGTGTAGGGCATTCCACCATTATCGAGGCAAGAACGAACCAATAACGCAGCACCCTGAGTTAGAGAAGCTACTGAAGGAAGAATACCGTAGCATAAATGACTTTCGAGCAAAGGATATAGTCACCAACCAAAAAGAAACCAAGTCTCACTGATGATTGTGAAGAAAAGAAGCAGAGATGTATGTTGTTGCTGCTGAGCAAATGGTCCTAAAATCATGACCTAAATGTTTGTGTATCTCTTCTTCTGGGGAAGAGACCCAACAACCAAGGAAGCCATCACTCTGAATTTTACAGGATATTTTCCTTGGTGGTGTTTTCCTTTTTCTGGGATTATTTTTTTGGATTTTGGATGCAGGATCTCTCTCCCTCTCTCTCTCTGCATTACAATACAAACAGAGCTTTGACTGAAGAGGCGTTCATCTACACAAGAGTTTCGCCCTCTCCCCAAAAGTTGTAATCTTTTTTGTACATATAGGGATTTCATTTTCTAATTATTACTCAATTTTGGAGAAAAAAAAACAAAAAAAAAAAAAAAACAAAAACAAAAACAAAAAAAAAGAGGATGTGATCTGTAGTGTCTGTAGAAACAATAAGAGATGTTTTACTTTGACACTTTTTTTTTAGATAGTATATTTTTGTTTGTAAATTTTTGTTTCTTGTAGCTTATAATCTCATATTTGGCATATACTGTATATTGCTTAAACAACTTGTACTTTCAAAAAGTTGTTTAGACGATTTGAACGCACGTGTGTTAGAAAGGATTTTGAATGTTACCAGTAGATTCTACACACTGAAATAGTATGAAAAGTTTAGTAAATAGCATTGGTTGCCCTAAAAAACACCTTGTAACTATTCCAATTAGAGATGTCCAATATGGTCCAAATGTAATTCATGATGTAATTCATAACACAACTATTCAGTAATAATATCAAATTGAGGTTAAAAGAAAAGAATCTCAAATGTCTTAAAACGCCAAATTGGATCATAAAGCTTAATAAGATTCAACCAACAACGCCCAGGAAAACAAACAGAACATAAAGAGTATCAAAGTTGATGGGTCGACGAAAAAAACAAAATATGAGGCATCGAACCCAGAGAAAAGTAAACAAAAAGAGGGGCATTTAAGTTCGTTGGCATCCAATCCAAAAGTCAACCAGGCTTCATCAACAGAAGAACATAGAGGTTGCGACCTTATCATTCAGCTGCGGCATGGGAGGCACAGGGACTGCCCCAGGTGTGGTGATCCCGCCATGGCTTGATGATGTCTCAGACATCTCTTCATATTTCATGACGGTTCCCATCTGTGCAGCTGCCAAATGAGCATAGCAAATAGGTGCAACTGCAAAAGAACAGCAAAAGAAACTTGAGAATTGAGATTTATTGCACATAATGTAACTATTAACAAACAATGCATAAAAGATGTGAGAATTACCGACTGAGATGGCAGTGGTGCTCCTCTGGTAGCTACAAGTATCAAAGCAGACAATTCAAAGATTATTATCAAAGTTTAGAACACACTAAAACCACAAAGATACCCATCAGACAAAGATTTTAAAGTGATCTAGTTCTTACACATAGGATAGAGAATGGACAAGTTCTTGAAGGTCATCTGTTGCAAAACCAATCTCATCGTAGAGCACATGGTAATGAGTTGGCCTTGTAGTTCCCTAACACATCGAATTCAATAGAAAAGTGTTAAGTTTGGTTCATACTGGAATCGAGCACAAGACTCTTGTAGGAGCGCTATACTTACAATCATCCCCGCATGGGCACAGAGATAGAAATCATTGTTGCGTGGATGGCAGATCTGGCTGTCAATTATTGTTCCTGCAGGCCAACACCATGTTTCAGGTCATTTGAAATACAATGACCAATAAAAAATCATGCACTGGTCAAATGGATATTACCTGGTGGAACATTATTAGGGTTTCCGCTCTGAAAGAACTTGGTGTGGTGGTTCTTTTGGGCAACAATCAATGTAAACTTGGGGTTCCAATTCTCATCAAGAAACTTACATGCCTAATAACATAACAACAAAATCAGGCCAAAGATGTCCAGAATATACTAAATAAACCGAGTTTTTGTAACTGCAAAGTTCCAGGACCATAATTCGTACCTGCATCATCTGATCCAGTTCAATATTAAGAACTTGATTGAACTGGGACTCACTCACACCATCCCTACATGTATAGTAGTGAGTTAGAAATTTGAATTATAACTTTTACATGATACCTTATAGATTTAAGTCTACCTGAATATGATGATGTGCTCTGGTTTCCTCTTCTCTGAACTGAAGTAAAAGTCCAGCAAGAGCTCCCTGTAAACAGCAGGAAACAATATTGTACCATTCATAGGGCCCTAAATAGAATTAAGATGGCAAAGCTCTGCCCAAAGCAATGAATATTACCTGAACATTCCTTCATCTTTGCCAGAGACGAGTTTGAAGAGATTATCAATCATTTCCATTTTGCGTGATTGTGTACGTACACATGCTTTATATTTTGAGATGAGTGGCCATTGTCTGGAGCTCACAACCTATGATTTCCAAACACAAATACCAAGTTACCAGAGCTGTGTTATAAAGAATTGAACACCCAACACTAGATGAGAGTTAGATCCTCGCCATAAACACACATTCCCGCCAGAGTTTCTTCAATATACCAAAAAATACAAAACAAAATCAGTATTACCGCAGCAATTGATGGTATATCAGACATGCCAGGGGAACCATGGGATACATCCATCCCAACAATGATGGTAGGAACTTGAGTTACTTTAGGCATTGCTGGCGAGCGCTCCATAGCTAACAAAGAATTCAATCCACCAAGCTACATATACAAAATAAAATTCATTTCAACTAGCCTGTAAAGTCTTTACAATCAGTCCTAATTGATGAAATCACAATTTTAAGAAACTACCTTGGCATTTATCTTTAGGAGAACATTGGTGAGATATTGATCGTTCACTCTTGTGGGAGCAATACACTGAGTCACAATTCCAAGATCAACAAGATTCTTTTTCTTCCAAGGACCTTAAAAATTTTCAGACATGTATATGAGAATTTATGTATTTGCACTTAACAGGCCCAATTAAAGAATGTAAAGAGTGATGTACCATAAACTTCAGAGTTTTTCCTTTCAGAGAGAATGCAAAGAAGGAACAGAGGCTGCCCTGGGAGCTTGGATTTTATCTGCTCAAACATATTCTCCACTCTCTTAATAGCTGGTGCATTTCTAAACTGAGGATTTTCGGTAATGACATCCTTGAATGGAGGCTCTACGTTCTGGGAGTATAGGGGGAAAAAGGGAAGAATTAGGAGGTGTTGTGCATAGGATTTTATATACATAGTAAGCTATGATATTGAAGTTGGCTTACAATTCCTTTCGCCTGTCCACACCTAATCAAGTCGCGGATAAGCCCATTTGTATCACAACGAGCAGAGAAGTTCACAACAGCCCATCTAGTAACTGTAGTTGGCTCCACAAGTTTCTGCATAAGGAATTAAATTAGTAGTAGAGACTAAATTATTCAAATTAAAGCAAAAAATATAAAATCTAGGCACCTTATTATTAAAGTTCCAACGCCCATTGTTTGGGTTTAAGTCCATTCCATTGCCCACTTTCAGCTGTTGGAAACAATAACAAAGATAATCAACATTAAAACACCCAGAAGCAATGAGGAAACGATTCAGCAAGGGAAGCAAGGAAAGTCACCTTTGGTGTTGGAAGAATACGGCCCTCTACTTTGGTGAAGTCAGAGATAATGCTGACACCACTATCTTGCAACACAGGGTCAGCATTATAATTACTGTCTTTTAGACCCTGCAAGATTAATCAGAACATAAATCATTATGAACAGAAAAAGCTTTAAAGTCTCAAGGATAATGAACAGAAGACTTACTTTGATTAGAGAAGCCATTCTTTCTGGTGGCTTCTGCCTAGACTTTTCTACTAGTGCAGCCCTCTGGAAATTGGTAAGCGATTTTGTGTATCGCTGTAGAGACACAAGATTACAGAACTGCAAACATGAAAACCAACAAGGAATTGTCATAATTCGTTACATTAATAATTGAGGGAAAACAGTAAACAGAAAAAAAAATATTGCACTTAAAATTACCTCAATGGGGAAGTACGTGGGACGCTTTGGCTTGCCAACATTGATGCAAGGAAAATCACCAGAATAACGCACTTCAATGTTACGTTCTTTATAATAGTCGAGCACTGTGATCTCAACCTCCTCAAATTCACCCTTGTCGTTAGGTTTCTTCCATGTGAACCTATATCAAATAAGGACAGATATGTTAGAATGTACTCAAAGCAATATAAATGGTGATCAAAGAAAATCAGATACATTTGTATTAGAATGAACATACAATTGATCTTTGCAGCTTTGTTCACTTAGGCCGCTGATCTTGTATTCTCTGTTTGATAGGGTAACTTGGACCCTCAGATTCTTGAGAACACGCCGGGCCTATTAAGAAAAAGCTAGGTTAGTACTTCCCGGAGTTTTGGCCACAAAAAAAAAAAGAAGAGAGGTACTTCTTCAGAGACGCTACTAAATCAGTCAGATATTTACAGCATAAAAGAATATGATATACCTTGTTCCAGTCCACACCATATGGATCTTTCTTGTTCTGGTTTGCAAGGAGGAAGTCAACAACAGGTCCAGGTTGTACTATCATGGTAGTTGAAGTATCTGAAGAAAAGGCAAAGCAAATAATCTAAGTCTAGCAACCAAATGTTACGAAGAAGAATCTAACAACATGAAATCTTAAAAATAGTTACCAATATTCAAGGACAAGCCTCCCTGAGTAGTTCTGAAACTTGAATGGAACCCTCTACAACCACTGACACCTCCACCAATAGGAACAAAGTTCTTAACGTCATTGTGGAAAAATGACTGGCGAACAAGGAGGCAACCTCTGCAAACAGAAATGGTAATGAGAAGATGACACAACAAAAATCAAGCAAATAATATTTTTTTTCAAATACAAATACCCAGAATTTAACTTACTGCCTAGCTGCACTTTGGCGCAAAATAATATCCAGCACTCTAATAGCATCTTGAAGATTATCCGTCTCCTTCCCTTGAAGAGCGCTTGCAATAGCCTGCATGGGGATCTTTGCAGCATAACTTATCTCAACCATGAATTTCTTAGATTGGTTGGGACGCTTGGATCTTTTCCTGTCAGCGTCGTCTGTCTCATTTCCAGTGTTATTTCTGCCGATAGAGAGGATATCATAGCATTACAGACTTTTGAAGAGAAGCAAACAGTAAATAAATTTTACAGATTCAAAACAAAATCAAAAGGATTCAAATTTCACACCTGCTAGAAGGTACGTCTTCAAGAACAACAGAGAAGTCAAGTTTGTTGCTGGGAAGAGCACCAACAGTGAAGAGAGTCTTCTCGCCATCATAAGCAAAGTATTTGGCACCCAAATCACTTCGATAGGTCTCCTGAACTTTGTCAAGAATCTTTCTGCCTATACCTTTAGCCTCCACTGGACGGCCATCTTCATATGAGATAGCAACCTGTATCCAAGACAAATCCAAACATTATCATTAGTCCTAGAGATAAGAGAAAAAAAAAAAAAGGAATAACAATGATAGTAGAGGATACAATATACATACACTGTAATGAAAGAAGTAACCGGTTGGTTTGTTGAACTTGACACCAAAGTGATTAGTAAGAAGAGGAATCTTCTGTCCTTTAGTCCCGCTGCCTCTAGGCCGAGCCATTGGGAGAAGAATGTTCTTTTTTACAGGCGGCTCCACTTCAGGGACAATATTTGTTGGAACGAGAGGTGGAGGAGGAGGTAATCCTCCCTCTTGCCTTGCGCCACTTCCATTCGGATCCTCAGAATCCATCTCTGGGTATACACAAAAAAAAAAACATCAAGCCAAATTTATCACAAAATGCTGAAAGAAAGAAAACCTGGAACAACAGAGCAACTCAGTGGTTCAGATTTCATCATGAACAAACAAAGCAATCACGACACAGTTGCTTAACACCATAAAAATCGCAGCAGATAAAACATGGTCAGGAAAAAAGAAGACAGAAAATAGAATAAAACGAGCAGTCACGCAAAAAGACTGATCAACCCATAGTTTAAGCAGAGATGAACCTACAGATCTACAGAACAGATTCGTCAGGAAACCCATTTACATCTTAACACGAACAAGACTTAGATTTCTCAAAAGTAAACCATTTACATCTCATTACTAACAAGACTCAGATTTCTCAAAGAAAAGAAAAAAAAAAAAAAACCATTAGCGTCATGTTTCAAGCGAGTAAAACCCAAAAAAAAAAAAAAGCGGAAGTAAAGAAACACAAATCATAGATCAACCAGAGAACACCTCAAACAAGCAAAAGGAAGATATGACATCAAAAAAATGGTGAAGAAGAAAGAGATGTACGTGCACATGAAGCATAAAACAAAAAAATCGTCAGCTAAAAAGCGAGTATGGGTGAAGCCAGAAACCAGAGAGAGAGAGAGATTTTGAAAAAAAAAAGCAAACAATAAAACAAAAATGAAGGTAGGAGACAAAGAACTCAGAGCAGGAAAAAAAAACCCAGAAGATTTTGTCTCGGGAAACTTCAAAATAAAAAAAAGCACACGCCAACAGCATTTATTTTTTTTCCAGGTTTTCTCAACAGATAGAGATCAGAGAGAAGACCCAAGAGGAAACACAAAAACCCCCCAAAAAAACGAGATACCGAAGTTTTTGCAGAAAAAAATCCAGTCGAGATACAACATGAACAAACACTAGCTACTACGAACCTTAAAAAAAAAAACAGAGAAGCTCATGAAACAACAACAACAACAACAACAGCCATAAAAAAAGCAGAAAATCATGAGTTTAGAGCGTTTCCAGCTCAACGAAGACGACGTAGAAGACAGATAAACACAAAACGGAAGACGACGAGGAAGCTAAGAACAAAAAAACAGAAGAAATCGACAGTAATGATGCATGGAAGCTAGAAATCGAAGATCCTAGTAACATACATTGAACGATTTCGACTGAGAAACTATCAAAAAAAAAAGTCATATACCTAGTCGTTTCGTTGTAGTGTAAAGACGAGAGACGACTGGAACACAAAAAAAAAAAAAAAAGCAGCAGAGAGAGAGAGAGAGAGAGTTTTTTGAGGGAAGGGGAAGAAGCGGAGAGGAGAAAGGGTTTGTTTTTTGTTTTTGGGATTTTGGTTGGTTCACTCTCCCTATTAAACAAGATTTTTAGACCAGGACCCCACTTTTTTTTTTTATTGGTTTATTTATCGCTTCATATTCTTTTCGTTTTAATGTTCCTTTTTATATTATTATTATCATACCTTAACGTTTTTTATTTTTCTTCTTGATAAATAGGAGGAAAATTACCACTTTTATTAATTATTAATTTGGAGAATTATCCGATAATTGTATAGAAACTAAAAGAGTAGATATAGAATCAAATACTTAGCATATATGTTGTAATTTAGTTTTGGCAAGTTTTTCTTTTAATATATATGTATAAAAAGGTTTATTTACAAAATTTAACTTTATACTTTTTTTTCTTTCCTCCTTAGAAAATAAACACACACATACAATGATCAATTAGTAATTACGGTTATTAGTTAGTTAATAGTACTCGTTTACGTAAAAAAAACCATTTCATTTCACTAGTAACAAAAACTTTGTTAAAATGCCTTCTCCACTTTGTTTTTTTTACTATTTGCTATTATATTTTTTCGATTCGCATTTCTATTTATGCCCTTCTTTAAAGTGTTTGTGTTGTTAAAGATGTTTGTTTTTATTATGGTATTTATATGACGACTGGATCACTTGGTGGTATCATATAAATATAATATAATACGGTTATGTGATCTATCTATATATCTAATAAGTAGTTACTAGTACCATTGTAACATTGTTGAATATATATTGTGGATGCATGGTAGATCAGTTGAAACCTTGCAAGTGTTAGTTTCATTTATAAGTGTACATATCTTTAAGCCAGCCATTGATGCATTGCATTCATTGATGATGGCCACAATGACGAATCGATGATCAAGTCCTCTCTAGCTATCAAAACATAATGTCCTATGTTACAATAAATGAATATATAACGAACTGTATATCATCATTCAATGACTAGTTATTAACCATAAAAACTTACACCGTTGGTTGCGTTACGTATATTTTTAGATTCCTAAAAATGTAATTTTTGGTATTTATAATTTTTATGTAAAACTAAGTTTATAACGTATAGGACACATACTCACAAAACGTCTTCACTGCAGCTCATTCTTCTGAAACTTTCGATAAACATCCAAGCTAAAATTGATATTAATCCCGATGAAAAATAAATTACTATTATACTTATCACACGGAAGCTCATTTTGAAGCGTGTGCAAGGTGATCCGCGCGAATAATATAGAGAGCTTTTTATGAACATTTTGTATAATGTGTGCTGCAAACACAAACCTTGAAAACAATAATCAATATACTTTTAAAGTTTTTAATGTATTATTCATGAATATGCACCGAGAGAGAGTATGTACTACTTTAATTAACATACCACAATTTTGATATTCTTGTTGCCACGTTCATATTACACATATTAAGCGATTAGTTTTATAAATTTTACTGGTTAAGTGTTAGCATTTTGTGTGGTTGGTATGCTTCACAACTGTTGGAACCCTACGCCTAGGGAAGCTAAAGATGAAAACAAAAATACTTGTCACCCCAACTTCTCTTTTTATTATGTCTAAGAAAAAAAGAAAAAATAACAAAACTTTTCATTTATTGAAGAGAAATTTATACAAAGAGAGACCAACGAGACGGGTGCTGAATTGCAGATGTATATACGCTGACTGCTATACGCAGATATTGACAGAGCAAAACAAAACAAACTTTAAATATGCGATGCTGATGGATTTGACTCGCTAAACTTTATAATATTGGTAAATATACGTGAAGAATTCAATATTATTGCCTAAAACTTAAAATAACTATCCACAAATGGTTTTGTTTGACTGATCTCTCTCTCTCTTTGTTTTGAAATTTGAAATGCTTAAATTATTTATATTAGGAAAAAAAGAAGTGACAAACAAGCATACAAAATGGGGTTTGTACGCAAACATATCTCTCTATGGCCTGCAACAAATAACCAAATTGTGTAAAAACAAAATAGTAAGAGCTTTGCTTTTGCTTGCTGGAAAAAAAAGACAAGGGCGTGTTCGATGTTTGCTCTGCTGCGACTGCGATGTGCACTGTGAACCAGACTGCAGTGTGGGAGGGTTTTTTGGCATCTTGCAAAACCTTTCCCATTCCGGTTCCTATGTTCTTCTCTCTCTCTCTCTGCTTTAATTGTATTGGTGCAGGTGGTCATTTTCATGTATATTATCACTTCTTCTTTTTTTTCATTTTTTTTTTTTCAAAATCACGTTATGATCCATTCCCAAACACAACAAATAGTGACACATAAATATTTGAAACTCACTAGTTCTTCATGCCACTACACCAAATTGGTTCGTTTTACTATCATCAACAAATATTTGATTTGACCCGTTGTTTCGTCTTTGATTTGATATGACTATATGGTCAAAAAAGGAGAGAAAAAAAATACAATCGAACACATATAATTAACTATTTAGATCAATTGATTTGGAATTTATAGAAACTGGTTGACCAATTTTTGTGTGTGCTCATTTGTATCTTTTGATGGGTAAGGTTATCTGAATCTCTTTGAAAAATATTTGTTAGTCTTTTGTCCCTGTAGCTTAGATTTTTTTCAACTTATATCTCTATGCTATAAACTAACACATGGTTTTTTCAACTATAAGTTTTTAAGAGCAACTCCAACCATGGATGTTTAACATAAGGTGTTTATTATTGAAATTATACAAATACTAATATTTAATTTGATAGGTTGCTTATTTAGAGAAAAAAATATTTCAAATGTCTTTTAAATCACTTGTTTAAGCAATTTTAAATATAGTTTTTACCTATTTAAGTAACTCCCATAAATTTTTTATTAATAATTTTTCTCTCTCTAAAAACAAGCAATTTGTGTTAACACCCATCAATGGAGATGGTCTAAATATTAGTAACATATCTCTTCAAGTAACAAGCTTATAATATTACTGATGTGACACACATTATTTTCAGTCTACTTTTTATTCATTGTGCTGTGTAAACCTGTAGGGGATGGTGCCATTATCCTTAAATATAGAGATTTGCTTTTTTGAAGTTTTTTTTTTGCAATTCCAACACATTTCACTGTCATATTTGCTAATTTAACCTTAATTTAGGACCACTCTTATAATTACGGAATTACCACAAGAAAACAAGCGCAAAAGCCACTTTTGTGTTTCAGAAAAATTAATTAAAAGCTGCTATTAAAAAAAAAAATTTGCTGTCAAAAATAATTTTTATTACGTCATCGAGTGATACGTTTCCCGCCATCTCTGTCCCTCTCTTTCTCACCACAGTTTCTTTCTCACCCCAAAAAAAAATAACAAAACCCTAAATTCACAAAAATCACTAGGGTTCACTTGATTCTAAAACCCTAAAATTTTCATTCGGCGAGACTGTGAGGGGGGGTCTGAGGATGGCATCGCTAAGCTGGAAGCACCATACGCTAATTCAGGCTTTGATTTCACGAGGTCCTCTCAAAGAGCGAGAATTTCATTCAATCTTCACCGGCGTCACCGGACGAAACCCAGGTTCGTCTTTTTCTCGAATTCGGATGATTGTCGAAGTAACTTTTGTGGGTTTGCGCCGTATTGAACTTTTATTGAATCAAAATCTGTACTTTACGGCAATTTGATCAGCCACTATTTAATTGCTGTGTATCTGTTGCGTTGAATGCGTAATCGTGGGCATTAATAGTCTCTTACGCTCTGTGGGATACGCTTGGATATTAAAGTCCTGTGATTGTTTTAGCTAGTTTTAGTTTTTCGATATGGTGGTAGCGGGTCTTCGGTTTAAGCTTAATGTTGAATGAGTTGACAATACTAAGTTCGAGTAAATGAAATTGATTCGGAATTGAGTTACTGGTTTTGGTAAAGTTGAATGTTAAAGGATCACCATGGAGCATTGTGTTGATCAGTCCTGGTGTTGATTGTATTCTTTGATCTCTTTTGCTGCAGGAACTGTTAAGAAGATATTTGACAAGTACCTTCTTGAGATAAACAAGGAACTTTCATATGTTCACTTTGAGTTGAAGGCTTGTAGAGACCAGTATGATGGCCAAGTATGTTATGGAGTGGTTAATAATGTGTCTGATGACCAATCCAAACTGGGGACAAAATATTCTGTGCCACAGATTGCATTCTTCAAAGGCATTGTAAGTCGCATTCCCACTCTCTCTTTTTGTCTGGCTTGTGTTCTGTTCCTTGTTGATCAAATTTCTTTGTCTCCTTTGTAATGAATTTATCTGTGTGAATTTTATCTCCTTTTCTTACGAGTTTAATGCTACTAGTTATATTACATATATACTTCTGCTTTGTCACTCTCCTTTCCTGCTATGTGTTTACTCAGATGATTTTCGGTTATGTAAAGTGGATGTGTATTCTGTGCTACTTTTCTGCGACACTGATGACTTTAACCTCTGGCAGATAGAAGCAATTGCACAGGACGAAGCTGCTCAAGGTCGCATATCGGGCTTTGATGCACTCAATATCCGATTGGAGAATCAGGTCAATCATAGTCCCTGACTTTTATATATTTTGCCTCTTCACCTACTGACAAAAGTAACCATTCATAATAAATATTATTATTGCTATTCATTTGGTTTGACTAAATAAGTTTAGTGTCTTTGTTATGGTTGACAGATCTTGTGTTAATATCTCAGATATCAGGTGAAGCCAGCAGCAGTCAACAGCAAGTCCCTGCTGCATTCAAGAACTTTTCAATGTCACAAAAGGAAAAAACTCTTGATGAACTTGTAAGGGACAAATGGCTGTGCCGCACAAGAGAAGGCAACATCGGACTTGGTATAAGATCTCTTCTTGACCTGCGCAGTTGGTTCAGGAACAATGATGTTCCTTCCTGTGAAGTCTGCAATGAAGCTGGAATAAAGGTCTGCATTCTGAAGAAACCTTACTGGATTAGAATTCAAATTCAATGATGATAAATATTTGCTGCTGATTTCATATCTGATGTTTTGTTTTCTGACAATCTTATCCAACTTTCCAGGCGGATGTGTGTCCAAACGAAGGTTGCGCTGTCAGGATACACAAGTATTGCCTCAAACAATTGTTATCTCAAAGGGTATACTCCGCACAGAGTTTCTTTAGATTTTCCTCAACCCTAATGGGATTTGAGTCTGACTTGAATAGTACTTTTTTCTTTCTGATCACATCGAAATTGCAGGACGATAAACGTTGCTCTGGTTGTGGCAAGCAATGGCCTATGGGTAAGATTACAAAAACAGAAGCTGTTGAAGAAGCAATGAATAATGATGAGGAAAATGAGACGCAAGCCACAGGTCCAAAATCCAAGAGAAGAAGACAGCATAGCAGTCAAAGAAACTCCGCTGAAAACATTTCTTCACAAGCTTCTTTAGCTTCAACTAGTGGTGCTAATGCGAGAAGAGTGACCCGTAGCGTTGCACACTTAAGGTAAAAAAAAAAAAACCGTTGAAGAACTCGTATGTTAGGGCTTAGATGTATATTTTGATATGCCTGTTTCTATGTCCAAACATCATTAGAAATTTGGTCTGATCTGATAATTTTCTTTTGTGGATCATTGATGGGAGTGTGAAACTCCTCCTCGGTTAAGCCTACAGTATATCTAAAATTTTAAATTGAAATTCAGAGAATTCGATTTCAATTACAATTACTTAGGCATACATGGAAAAATGGGATGCAAATTTGTGAATTTGTCCTTTGCAATTTTGCATATTGTTGATTGGGGCATTGAACAAAAAAAATCCGACATACAGTATATAATGAACCGAACCAAAATATGAAATGCTCATAAACTTATACTATAACATGACATCATAAAGGCATAAATAAAACAAAAACTAGCTCATCATAATTCACCATAACAGGCTCAAACGAGTATCGCAATTTTCCGTTATCACAGTTGCCGATGCCGTTAGTTTATCCACTGTTATTTCGCAATCCACCTTAACGGTCATCGTCCACGTCGTAACGGCGCCAACCTTAAACTTAACCGGCGCTTTGATTTTGATCCCAAACGGTACTTTTCTTTTCTTCTGTGATTTCGTCAGCTCTTCACGCGACGAGCTCGTTAACTGAATACTCGACCCCTTTAACACCGTCTCAATCAACGTTACATTATTCGCCGGCTGCTTAAACGCCGTGAACTCGCCGTTGCCAAGCTTGATCCCGTCGTAAAAAACCTCAGCTTCGCTCCCTAAACCGTAGATTAAAACGAGCTTGCTGTTAACGTTCTGAGATCGCAACTTGACTCCGAACACCGGAGAGATAGGAGACGATGACGTCAGATTGATTCCGGTGACGGTGAGTGTACTCACGGAGTACCGTGGCTTATGCGGACCGTAAACGAGGAAGAGAACTCCGAGGACAAGCGCCGCGAGGAAGAGGAGGATGAGTAATGCAGCGAGGGAGTAACAGAAACACCGCCGGCAATGCGATTGTTTTGTTTTCCGGCGGGAGAGGTACTCATAACGGTGAGCATTTTCCGGCGGTGGAACGCGGTAAATCTCATCCTTACGGATTTCGATGACGTAAGTCCCCGGCTGTGGTCCGGTTCTTGGTTTGTCAGAATCGACCGAGTACCTACTCGAAGAGCTATCGTTTGTGTCTATCGACGGATGCTTTGTTCTGTTGACGTCTTTGTTCTTTAAATATCCGCCGGAGTTTATTTCGCCGGTCATTTCTTGTGGTTTCTCGACGGCCATTTTCTTGAATTGAAGCTGAGAAAATATGAAATGTTTTGATTTCTTTTTAGTCAGTCAAAGGATTTGTGGAGTAATTTTATAAATTGCCAAATTATCTTTCGATTGGTCCATTTGTGTGCGTGTGTGAGATTAGGAAGACGTGACTGCATGAATAATCATATCATCAAGTATCATTATTTAGAGGATTCTCTAAGAGATAATTACATGATTTTGTTGATAATGTATAAAACTTCCCATTCGTGTCCACTACGGCAACAAGTTTGAGAAAGCCTAGAAAGGAAAGGTTTATTTAGAAATTACTAAAGTCAAAATATTTTTTGGTCTATGGAAAACTTCTAATTGAATGGCTTTAGCCTAAAAGGTACATTTTTATTGTTGACTAGAGAAATCTTGAAAACTAAAAATAATAATTTGACCTTAATTTTAGAAAAGAAAAAAATGTAACTATTTTTCATAACAACCGGACCTGGGCCTGAGTACAAACGCCTGCTTGGTTCACTTGAAGCCGAAGCCGAACACAAATAACAATCTTCTACGTTTCTTGTCAAAAAAGAGAGTGGCTCTTCAAATCAATATAGAGAAGTTTACTTTAAATGGGTTGTTAACTTATTACGAAACCTAATCTTCTCCAATGGCTACAAAAGCTATGAAATGGAGAGATCAAAAACTGTGTTCAATGAAAGAAACAAAGCAAGAAACAAAAGCTATAAAACTAGAAAACATAAAAAGAAAACTCAAGAAGCTTTTTCTTTACTGCATCCAAGATGTGGGCAAGCCTTGCCCTTGATTCTGCAGATTGTTCTCCATTCCTACTGTTTCCGCATGGTCATTGAAGTCAGTAGGTAAGACTAAACCAGGATTATGATTCACCATCGACGGAGAAGGACTCTGATCATCAACCAAGTCATTGTAGCTGTCTCCTCTTTGTTCAGCTTTTGGTCTGTAGGGATTGTTGGGTGGATTAAACTGGTCTTGAATGCTCTGAACCTGCTGCTGCATCCGGTTATAATCCGGACAAGGAGCCATCAAACCGGACATACCAAAGTGTTTAGCGGGTTGGTAGAAAGAAGTGACTTTATAAGGACAATTCATTTGGTGATTCTCTCTTAAGTTCCTGTCATAAAATCCCATGTGTGGTTGGCTATAAGGACAGAGACTGTTCTCACATGTAAGGAGGGTTGGTTGATGCATTGACATCCCCAGATCTCCTTCAAACTTCCTCTTGTAAACACAGGTATAGGTGTTGTCAACTTCAGGATACTGAGGACTGAACCGATGAGATCCACCAATCCCTTCTACATCATAATTTGCAGATTCAGGAAACAGAACATCTGTGTCGCCAGTTCCGGGAACAGGAAAGTTACAATTGTTGTTGTTTTCTGTAGAGAAGGTAAAAGAATGATGCATTTGATCAACAATAGCCTTTTCTTGGTTAAGAGCAGCCAGCCATAAAGCGCCTTCTCTTGAAGTCATTTTCTCCTGCAAACTTCTAGACCGTCTCACAAGATTCGGTATGTTGCTAATGTCAGAAGCCATATGTCTGATCACAGCAATCAAGACACCAACCTTCCACAGCTTCTTGAGATCGTGAGGCTTCTTGTAAGGAGGAGGAAGACCTCGACAATCGTCAGGTAAAGAAAGTTGACTCCACCAATCTTCTTTTCCCGTTGGCCACCAAGGCGGTGTCACGCCTTTATCCAGCGGGAAACGCCTCTGTGGAGGCTTGCAATTAGGCATCAACGCCGACAAAAGAGCACCAAGAGTTGTATCTTGAAGCTCAAGCAACTTATGCGCAGTACTCTCCCCAACCTCAGACCCTATTTCACTTGAATCAAAAGGATTGCTGTCCTTGTGGTGCTTGGTTATAGCAGCTGGTCCGTTCCTATCAAACCTGACTTTGTCTTTCCACCATTCACGGAGATTATCAGAAGACCCCGCCACAGTTTTCCCGTTCTCCAACACGATCCCGTAAACGAAACCTTGAGCTTTACAACGATCCATTGTCTTGGACATGTACTTCAAGATCCCATCTTGAGCCTTGTAAATGGTTCTCTTACTCGAATGCTGTAGAAACTCATCATCAAGCTGATTGGAAAATCTTTTTCCTACCCCGCTCTTGGCCATCTCCCTGAGATACTTTAAACGCTGCTTGTCTCTCCAGATCCTCTTCTCAAGCTCCTCTATGTCCATTTCTTCATCACTACTCATATCGTTGAACAAAGCAGTATGCGCATCAGAACAAGCATCTCCCTCGCTAAATGGAGGCACCACCGGGCTACAGACTAAACCCCGGAAAAGCCCTCTATTGTTGTTATACATATCCATATATATTGTAAGCTGCAATATAATGGCATCATATGATGAGATTGCGTAAATATCACACAGTAAAGCCATATCAATCTAAATCTAAACTAAAACTATATATTAGCAACCGCACACACACAATAACATTCATATGAACATATAATTTCAATTGTAGTTATGCTTTACATCGCAATATACTACCAAGAGATTAAATACCATACTAAAGCAAATGATTTAGAGATAGGTAACACAGATGCACAGACGAGACTGAATGATCTATATGAGATAATACAATATTTAAAGCATCGAATCTTTTATTTGATTATAAAACATTCATTTTTGAAGTGTTTAATGCATTTTCTCCGGACAGAGAAAAAAACCCATCGGACAAGATAGCACAGAGACAAAACCCAACAAGTAGAAAAAAAAAACAACCATGATAGAGAGATTATTAAAACTTTTTTTTTTTTTCTTTTGCAAGGAGACAAAGATACGTAAAGGTAGGCAAAATTGAAACAGAATCAAAGGAAGAAGAAGAGAAAATTACCCAGAAATTTAAGAAAAAAACTCTTGGGAGACCTTTGTTTGTTTGTGTGTGTGTGTGTGTTGCTTCGGCCACCAACTTCAAACCAAAGAAGCAATTGGGAGCCTCAGAGAGAGAGAGAGAGAGAGAGAGAGAGAGAGAAGAGACAGAGATAAATGTATGAATGTATGTGTTTGTGTAATCTTATATGTATTATGAGTATTAAATAAGAAGAGACTGTGAAAGGGGGTGGTAATGGTACCTACTGGCCTCCCAAAATGCTCATGCGAAGCGGCATATCACTTTTTGTAATTGTAAGGATATAGTAAAAAATATCATAATAATCTTCTCTGAGTTTCATTCCATTTCTAGTCCAGATTTTTTTTTTTTTAATAAAAGGGTATATTTTTCAATATATATATATATATTTAGTTTGCTCATGGTAAATTTGAAAATATAATTTTGTCTGCTTCAAAAATCAAGTACCAAATGTATTTTTATTTTTTTTTGTCATCATCAAGTACCAAATGTATATAACATTTTAAAGAGCTAAAATTGTAATTTCACGGTAATCACTCGTTCCTAAAAATAATAATTATTTGGTCAATAGACAGATGATTTTTGCATACTTGTTATGGTAAAGATTGTTATGTCTGATAAAAAAAATATAATACCCACTAAAGATCTATTAAAGCGCGTAAAAATAAATTTTCAAAATGTTTAAGTGAAAATTTAACGCGCATATTTTAAAAATTTTTGAAATCAAATACCACATAAATATAGTTTTACTTCTACATTAATTTGGCACATATATTGAAAATTTTAAAATAACTAAAAGCAATTAAAATTTTTTTAGTAAAACAGTAAGTGTCACCGTACAATTAATAAATCTTATACAATGGACATCAGTTGAGTTTCTTATAGGCCTAACTACAAATAAAAATGCATACACAATAGAAACTTATAAAATTACAAAAATACACATATTAAAAACTTATTTACTCTTTTATTTTCTAAGTTGAATATATTATTATCACTTAAAACAAAATTTAACCAATGATAAGCAAATGAAATATATAAATTCTCATAAAACATGAAAATAACTTTTATTCAAAGTGAAAGTGAAACAATATTTGGCTGAAACAACATTTAATGTTGAGAGATATCAAATACCATAGTAATAAATAAAAAGGCTGGAAGAGTAGGGAAAAAATGTTACCAGCACACAATAATTATGTATAATTAGTATTTATTAATTTAATAAATTCCTTTAAATAGCTCATATTTATGGTGTGATTTCAATACAAAGTTCTCAATTTTCCATCTTAAATTAATATTAAACATGAAATAGCATAAACCTTTAATTTTAAAACACTAAACTCTATTTTATGATAATTTAAATGTTTTTAAAAACTCTATTTGAGTACCAATATATATGACATCTACTATGCTTACTGCGTCAAACTAAAGAATTTGGAAAATCAGTCTGAAATTTTATTTTATTTAGATTTTACCAACATATGTTTATGCTAATTGTTTCGCATAACCATTTCTAATGCATAAGTTCAAAATGTTATGATGATTGTAATGGGACTTCGTACCCACGTTATGTTCACTTGTAGTTCTTTTAAATTTTTCATAAATTGTAGGAGACTTTTGCTCCAACCTCTCACCAAAAAAAAAAAAAATTATAAATGATAAGTTTCATATATAGTAAAGTATTTTGTGTTAAAAATTGTGTGTTTATGATATATTATATACATTTAATCCCTATGGATATTGACAATCTGATTTTGACTAGCATTATTGTCTATATATAATTTTCCATCTCCCCTTTAAGCATTCCATAAATGTATTTTTAATCTAAAATCAATGGTTCCACACAAAAAAAAATTAAAAAAAATTTGTTAAAAAATTAAATAAATGAAAAACCAAAAAAAAGAAGTGAGATAATAAGGTGTTTAAAAACACTATTTAAACCAATCCTTTTTAGCGTATTGTATTGTTTTTCTATGCTCAGTTGCGAAATGTGATATACAACGAGTATAACGACCTAAATCACATTGCCTATATGTCAACAACAACAACAACAAAAATCACATTTTCGGATGGACATTTATCATTTTTTATGTAAATTGATCAACATTTTGACAGTGGTATTTATAATGCAATGCTAACATAATCAGAACTATACACATTAACAAATTACTTCAGGGTAGCTTCCCAACTCGAACTATACCGATCTCTGGTAAACCAACAATTATTATTCCTATACTTGAAATTGATAACTTCAAGTAAAAAGAAAATGTTGCAACACAATTTTATTATTGCAAGACTTCAAATTAAACTCTTACTTGATATTTCATAGTCTCGGCGCCATACTAACAAGTGACATCTATAAATTGTCGGTTTCTCATTGCAAGATGATGTATAAATTAGTTAACAAATCAATGAAAGGTTGACCCTTAATTATTCGATGATATATATATATATATATAATCATATATCTAACAGTTTGCATATATAAGGGTCAAAGTGCTAAGATGGGCGAGATAGTTGGTAAAGAAAACAGGTCATAATATTCATATATTTTATGGTTATCTTTAAGAAAATGTCAACTAGTTATCTAATTCTAAATAACATATATGATTTTTAAAGTTCAAATGAGATACGGTATATAGATAGACAACTATAAATGATTCGGAGTAAACCTATTTCAAATCAAAGAGAAACAATACGAGCATGATGTTTAACATATGATAATATTGTGTTGTTTGAGAAAATGTATAAGAAGAGGCAACGTTAAATATATTAATTAACCCCTTGTTCAAAAAAAAAGAAAAAGAGAGAGAGAGGTGCAATGAACATAACCCTATATGACCAATAGGAAAGTACACAAGTGCCACGCAGGCACGTTTCGTATGCCAGCAATGATTCTACAAACCTGTCTGAAACGTGTCTCCCGGGATCTTTTTGTCGGCTACTCCACAATTATTGGAACTCTCGTCGTTTTCCTGTTATGTTATGTATGGGTTATATATACTTTATACTATGATTAACTAAGCAATGTTTATTATATAGTAATGTGACAAAATATGAAACTATCTTTCGTACACCTTAACCAACTAACGACCACTCGTAAATTGTTTTATAACCTCTTTTCTAAGTTTGGCCCTTAGTCCCCATGTGTTCTGAATGGTCGTCACCCCAAATTATTCAAAATTTCTAATTATAAAACCGTAAGAGTTCATATATATATATAACCATCGGTCTGATGTGTTTTTTTCCTTCTTTTCGCTTTGCTTAACAAAAACATTTAAAAGATGATGAGTGGTTTTTATATATCCATAATCATTAAAATACTAATTATGGTTTGTCGGTGCCTTATAAACTTACATCTCCTATAACGTCAGATGTTTTTCTTGTTGATGGATCCAATTTGTTCTATTTTGCATGCTTTCAAAGTTTACTTGTCTATTGTTTTAGTTTACCTTTATTTAAAATAATACTATTACTTGCACTATCTTCTTTATCCAAGACGGATCGACATAATGAAACATATCTCAAGGGCTCGAACACATTTATATATAATAATGAACTGTTTGACAAAAAAGATGGCCGTGTTTATCGATTGCGAGACATGGTGTAATCTAATTTTGATTTGTGAAATTGCGTGGCATGTCGAGGATATATTAGTTGTGTTCACCACATTGTAAGGAACAGTTATACTCATGAAGTCATGTTTGTAGTTTAACGGAAACAAACGTCCAAAGTACAAAAGACTCAACGGCTGCCTTGTAATGTCTTATTACAAGGCCCAAGCCTTGCCTGATGACATGTAAGCCTCTATGGCGGTGTTGTTCATAATTTTAGGTTTAGATTCAATTCACACTTTCTTAAGAATAAGTCTAATCAAAATTGTAGAGGTAAAAAAGTCATTTGAAACTAATAGTATTATAATAAGGGGAATCAAATAAAAGAGAACACTTAATAAAATGAAGTTATTGCATATAATTAACACCACAGCTGTTCTGAAATCTGGCAAAATCTTCATACTTGATGACTAAATACTTATGCATCTCATATCTAATTATCTACAACTACAACTTGTTTATATGTATATCTAAAAACTTGCATACTAGCACATGAACTCAAAAGTATTTAATAATTAATATTGTATTTGAATAAGTACGATTATAATAGTTTTGATAAATATGTTTTCAAATAGCAATTGCAATAATATCCAACCCAAAGAATATATATATTTTGTACATTTTATAATTTTAACGTTGAGTTAGCTTTTGGTTTAGTGTAACGAAATGATTTTGTTTCGATTTATTTATCCGATACTCCCATTGCCCTGATAAATAAAAGTTGCCGGTTTCTTCACCATACATACTATTCTTAAACCAATCCAAATCAAAGTTCACTACAACCGACTAACCAACTACACCAATAATACGAACCAACAATCTTCGGTTTACTAATAATACAGAACACAACCAAAAACGCAAAAGCTTTCTCTCACACTCAAAATACTGCCACAAGACAAAATAATTACTGAAGTGATCATAACAACTTTACTAACCCCTGTGCCGGTTCATGAGATATTGTTTGGTTAAACCACAACCAAGCGCCTCATCAGGTATCTTACCAATCCGGTTTAATCCCTCAGCAAAAACCACACCCATACCCATATGCAAATGCGGTTCAATATGACAATGAAAAAACCAAACCCCGGGATTATCCGTCACAAACCTTAACGCCGTCCATCCATACGGATACAATATCGCCGTATTCCGTAACGGCGGGTTCTTCAGATTATACGTCTTCTCATCAACCCCCGGTTTAAATTTCCCATCTCCGTAACCCAAAACCCAGAAATCGTGGCCGTGAAGGTGCCACGGATGAATCTCACTAACCACACCTTTCAAAACGTTCGAGTTTTGTAGAATCACGTCCACCGTTACGTTAAACGGGAAAACATAAATCCCGTTACCCGTAGTGGTGTTAGGAAACGGAGGCGGGTTCATAATGTCGTAATCGAACCGGTACGTCTTCGGCGGCGATTTCCGGTTAAATCCGAGTTTTAAATTGTATTTAACCGAACCGAGATACGGAGTCGCCGGAGTCATCAGAGACACGTTGTTGATCGCCCATTTCGTGTATCCGTCGATTAGATTCTGAGTGTTGAGGAGGATCAAACGTTTTCTGTATTTCTTCGGCGGCGGTGGTGATCCCATCGCTGAGAAGATCTTCTTGGAGAAGTTTTTGCTCCGCTCGAAATCGTCCCACCGTGGAGTCACCGGCGGAGGAGAAGAAGGGAGTTTCGAAGCGGGGGCGGTTACGTAGTTTAATATAGTGAGTGCTTGATTTGTGTTTGGTTTGCGGCCACGGACGCCGACGGAGATGTAGTAGTTCTGTGAAGGGTCTTGATCAGTAGTGAGAAGGACAGAGTAGCTCTCGCCGGAGTATATGTCGATATCGTCGGTGGTGAACGGCGTAACGTAGTTGGCGTCAGCTTCGACCACCACGAGCTTGTGTCCCTGCATGTGTAAAAGTATCAGCACACGTGTGATCAAAACGTTTATCTCTTATTGGACTGGAACTTAAAAAACCAGGCCTTGTAATAGGCCCATTAACAATACAACTTGAGAAAATCTCATTTTCTTTTTTTTCTTCTTCTTTTTGTTAGTTTTTATTTTTTATCGACAACATGCATTTTATGCGTGTTTTACAACCGACCGTGGAGTGTGGAAACTTAAGATATAAACTAGTAATTTAAATATATAATTTTTTTTTATTTTTTTCTTTAATAATTTTGTTACTGTAAGACTCAACATATTGATATCAAGGTGGCTATTAAAATTGAATTTTCGCTTGGATAAAAATATTTATATCTATACAAAATAGCCAAATAAAAGCTTTGTCTTTTCCAGTATAAGCAAATATGAAGTGGACATGAGATTGGGTGTGTCAAAGTCTGAAGTAAGGATCAGTTTTTGACCATTAAGACAAATATCTAACTAAGCTGATTTGATTAAAGACCAGGCCACTCCATAGAAGAATCACGGAAAAGGTCCCCACGGAAGGTTTAACAATGCACACACCTCAATACATATATCTATAAATTTAATTTCTGGCGTCAAACGTTACACGATACTAGTGTATATGATTTTAATATATTTTCTTCTTCTTAAGTGTGGTCCTAATACACTCCATCAGCTAATCCCACCCCAAGTACCACCACACAGCTCATACAACTGTGTATAGTCCATCTATACTATAAAAAAGAGAGTATAGGATGGTGGCCCATCACTCGTTCTGATTTTCCAAAACTCCCCCCACCTCTCTATGATACTAGCTTTGTTGGTGGGTTTTTAGACTAATTGGCCATCTTTTATTGACTTTCTAGCCAGGGAAAAAAAGCCTCGTCGGGTTATGTAATTGCCAAAAGACTCCATTTAATTATTTTTGTCGATATACAGAAATAGATCCTATTTTCTGTTTTTGGTTTATAGCTAAAAAAGTCTATTTATTAATATTTGGCGGGTTTTCTCTTCTAAAGTTTAGTTTTTTTGTTCTTATTTGATAATTTTGTAAAAAATAAATAAAAGAGGGATAAAATGTGAAAATAAAAAGAAACCTGAATAGCCAAGTTGAGGGAGGCGAGAGCGGTGGTGCTGGCGAGTCTGATTCGGTAAGTCTTGTTAGGCTCCACGTGGAGTTTCTGTGGTGCGCACTGGTCACCTTCTTTAAACGTGCACATTGGTAATGATGATGTGTTGTTGTTGTTGTTGCTAAACTGTGCCGCCAATGAACAATTGAATTGTCCCCTCCCATTTATCAATATGCTCTTCATTTTTTTTTCAGCCAAAGACAATTATTAGAAAAATCTTTTAAGGCAAAAATGTATAATTCAACAGTATACTAGAAAAGGTAATTGCGAAAAAAAGAAAAGAAAAATATAGTGGCCAACCAATGTTGTATCACATTCCAGCTGTATTATTGCTTTTTATCCCAATGAATCAACCTCCACTTTGGACTACTTTTAAAAATTCTATTTTAAACCAAAAATTTTCAAAGCTTGAAAAAAGTAAAGAAATGAAACCTGAGCTTCACCGATCCAGCGCATAGGTTTGGAAGAAAGACCGAGTTCTTGGGAAGATATAGGCTCATGCCACCAGTCACTTAGCAAGAGATTAAACTCTCCATCGTATCTCAACCTCTCTCTCTGTCCTTTAGCTACGTCCACTATTAGCGATCCATAGAGCCCGGCTGATCTCTGCATGCCGTAGTGTCCATGGTAGAAGTGCGTTCCCGGCTGCACAGTATCATTGTTCCCAAATTTGTTATTCGGAGTCTATAATTTTTCACAATAAGGGAAATAAAAAAGTTACCTTCTCAACAGTGAATTTGTAGGTAAAAGTCTCTCCAGGATTAATGGCACACTGAGTAACTCCTGCTGCTCCATCTGCCCATGGACTTCCCAACTATGTTCACAATACACAGTTTAATTAATTCCCTAAACTACTTTTATCTTAATCTACTGACTTTACACTGAATTACGCATGCAAAAAGAAGATAAGATATAGAGTAGTGTCAAAGGCCATACCAACTTTTATATATTTTTTTCTTTGACGTCTAAACTGAATTTTATAAAGAAAAAAATAGTTTAAAAGCTTGCTTAGTTAAACAGTTGTGATAATTTGAAGGACAATAAATAGAGTGTTTGGAAAAAAAAAAAAAAAAAAAAAAAAAGACAAACGTCGTAAAATGTAGTGCTTGCATCGAGAAGAGACAAAGTGATCATGCATGGCATGTGCTTCAAAATCCATTATTTCTGCAACTCTCCCATTTTCTTTTTTCTTTTATCATCTTTTAGACAAAACCAATCAATATTACTTTATACTACTAGTTTATACAATGGACACAATTAATTGATACTGTGAGGATAGTCGAAAAAACCAAAACAAAAACATAAGATCTGAACAAGTTCATATGAGAGTGATGACACTTACGTGTAGCCATCTTTATAAACATTCCTCTACTGTTTTTAATTATTCGTGATATTATAGATCTATGATTAGATTAGATTTCGGTTCGAGATTCTAGTAATAATTTTTTTTAAAAAAAATGAACCTGACGGATTCCATGCCAATGGATGACAAGGCCTTCGGTGGTGAGTTTGTTGGTGAGATGGACGACGATGGTGTCTCCGGCGACGGCTTTTATGGTCGGGCCAGGAAACTGACCGTTGACGGTCATGACGGCGCCTTCATTACAGTCTGGCCACCAGAACTTATACTCAACCTCCCAATGATATTCTCTCACGGCCGCAGACGCCGTATTAGCCAAGACGGCCACCACCACTATCCACCACAAACCCATATTGGCTTCTGAATGTGAAATGTGAATGATGATGTATGCGCATCATGTATGATATATATAGAGGGAGAGAGGAAAAAAAGAGAAAAGATAGATAGTGGGCAAATTAAACCACAGAATGGGGTTTTTTTTGGGTCAAAATAAAAAGATATTTATTTGTTTTTAAATATTTTATGGGGTTTTAGATTGGTCACAACAAGGTTGGTTAATTATGGACATAATTTGGTGATCGTGTAAACAATCAAATTATCACAAGAAGATTCGGTATAGCAAGTAGTGATCTCATGTTACATGTTTTTAGGGTGACAAGGTTGAATTTGTCTTAGACGGTGAGATCACGTTCACAATCTTTATAATGCCAACTTTATGAAAGCTCACTTTCTTGCTAGTTTTGAACATTTACGTAAAGTTAACTATCCACACATAACCTATACTTTAGGTACATGTCAAATTTTAATACGTCTTTTCTTTCTGTATATATATATTGTTGTATCTTACTTATAATCGAATATCGATCATTTGATTTTTTTTGTCAACATGATTGATCGTATCAAATTTTAAACAATATACTAAGTACTTTACAACCAGGCATCAAGATTCACGTCTATAACTTTCTTTCTACGATGACATTTTGTCTTTCCCCGTCCTCCGACCATCATCTCATTGACAATTCATGTTTACATAATAGCTAAGTTCCTAAAAACACATTTACTTTTGAATTAAAGTAGTTTACGAAAATTTGTTGATATGCTTTGAATCTTGCCAAGGGCTAGTAGCAGTATTACCAGAGACTATTAAAAGGATGTTTTCTTAAGGGTCCGAATGGTGACAGCGGATTTGGTTTTGCGGGACAAGCGATTTGATAGTGCGGTACGGTTCAACTGCGGTACGTGCGGGACAAACATATTTGCGGGACAAGTGCGGTAATTGTAAAATAAGCGGTACAAAATAATGTTTGATTGGTGAAAAAAACAATTAGCGGTTCATACATATTAATAATATGATATTATAATTAAAAAGCAAATATATGATATAATTAACTAATTATAAATTTAAATTGCTTATTTATTGTTAGTGAAATAGATTCTCAACTATTGTTTATAAACTTTAAAAAATCAAAACTTATGTTGAAGTAATTAGGTAACTTTTTCTGTAAATTTTATTTTGTATAATAGTGAAGAAATAAATCTAATTTTTATATATGCTGTAATGAAAATTACTGTTTATTTTTTAAATATTAAATCTAATTAAATGATATTTTTCAACCTCTTCAATAATCATACAGATTTATTATTATAAAATAATATTTATTATTTAGTGGATGCGGATTTGAAGAAACCACTGGTTATTAGCAGTGTTGTAAATTGAAGTGCGTTTTTATAGTATGACATGTAATACACGTTACTTTTGAATAACGCAAATACATTCACTTTTGAAACTGAGAATAACGCATATTGATCTAGAAAGTTGTGATTGGTGTTTTGTTTGCGGTATTACAATTTTTTTTTGAAATCCGCAAATACTCTCGTCACCATTCACTACCTAAATAGGAGTATAGGACATGGTTTTGAGTTTTTTTGCTTGTAGGGACCAAATCCAACTAAGAGTTGGTTAGAGTTTTTTTAGACCATGTTTATTAGTAGGTTCTTAGACCATCACCATTCGTTCATATTAAAGTGAGGTACTTAAAGGATAACAAAAATATTATTTTATTTATTGAATTTATTTCTTATTTTTTTAACTACTTTAATTTCTAAATCTTTGACATCTGTCTCTTTTTGTTTAGTACTGATTCTCAAAGTACTCTTTTGAGTACCGTTTCTTTATTTTCCTTGAACTTTTTTATTTTTTTATCATTTATTTTGTTGAGAGTACCGGTAGAAAAACACCAGTGGACATGCCCTTAGGCTAAGATTTTGTTAAAAAAATGTTTTAGACGAAGACACTTGTTCTCTCTAATCTAGTTGTAACTGAAACAATTAGTCATTACACTTCGAGTAGTAGAAACCAATTTCATTTGTTTGCGGACGCAATGATGAACCACTGTAAATCTGTGTGTTTATTTCTGCAATTTTCTTTTCTAAAACAACCATTCCAAGTTCTAACAATTTTTTTTTTTTTTTTGTTAAAGAGTTCTAACAAAATTTAATAAAAAGAAACTGTAATGTAATAGTTTATACTTTATAGCAATGATGGTATTACATCACATTCGAAGTAAAAGAGAATATGAGTGAAATGATGAAAAGGAATTTGATGAAGCCCCCACGAAAAACTCGTGAAACTTGCTTAGTATTAAACAAGCAAAATAATTTGCAACCTTTTGAAGTGTCTTTGTCCCTTTGTAATCTGGAAAGGAATGGGTATGATCCTGCGAATTTCAAATTTGGATGGCTCCATTCCATAAGAACATTATGGACTGATGAACACCGGCCACCACAATAATTCCATACTTTAGACTATTTTTATGACACCAATGTATTGTTTTTATCTCTCGTAAATTCGTAATGTTCTTTATTCCGAGTTATATTCTTTTAGCGCGAGTATAATCTAAGTGGGATGAAAAGTTTGTATGCCCATTTAAAAGTTCTGTATTTGGATATCCTCGTCAACATACTAACAAAATTTGGAATTTAAGTCATGTTAAACATCGTTGAGTAAGTTGATGTAGAGACTTATAATATTCATACGTACTATGAATTATATTGTTAAGGAGACGTAAACCATGTTAGAGCTCACGTGAACACGAATTAGAAGATCCTAAGTAGAGCTCTCTGCGACTGATTTCTTAAGCAATAACTACCCTTAGCTTTTGTCCGAAACAAAAACATGCATTATAATTAAAGTTTGAATTTGGACAGTAATTAAACTCAAACACGACACTGAAACAATCTTGCCAGGTAACAACACACATATAAAACACAATGCATCAAAAGAACATCAGATCAGTAATATGACCATTCTTTAAATTTAAGGCCTAGCTTGTTTAATGAGCCATTCCCTAGTTAAGCCACAGCCGAAGGCCTCGTGCGGTATCTTAGACTTATCGATCTGGTCAACAGCCTCAGCGAAAAGCACACCCATACCCATATGCAAATGCGGTTCAATATGGCAATGAAAAAACCAAACCCCAGGATTATCCGTTACAAACCTTAACGCCGTCCACCCGTACGGATACAACACCACCGTGTTCCGTAACGGCGGGTTCTTCAGATTATAAGTATTCTCATCCACCCCCGGTTTAAATTTCCCATCTCCGTAACCCAAAACCCAAAAGTCGTGGCCGTGAAGGTGCCACGGATGAATCTCGCTGTCTATCTTGTTCAAAACGTTAGCGTTTTGGAGTATCACGTCGACGACTTTACCTGACGCTAAACTGTAAATCCCGCTACCTTTTATGGTGTTTGGATTCGCCGGCGGTTTCATGATGTCGTAGTTATCCATCGTGAACATTTTCGCCGGCGATTTTAGATGCTCCGCCGTCTTTAAACCGTATTTGATAGATCCGAGGTACGGCGTCACCGGCACGGTCAACGAGACGTTGTTGATTGCCCATTTAGTGTAGTTGCCTATTTTGTTCTGTGTGTTGAGGAGGATAAGCTGGATATCTGATTTCTCCGGCGGAGACAGAGTTCCCTCCACCGCGAAGATCTTGTCCGTGAAACTTTTGCTCCGAACGAAATCGTCCCACTGTGGAGTCGCCGGGGGATGGTTAGCTGGGCGATCAGTTTCAGGGGATTTGACGTAGTTTAACATGGTGAGTGCCTGAGCTGTGTTTGGTTTCCGGCCACGAACGCCGACGGAGATCCAGTACTTTCCTGATATAGAGCCGTTGGTTCGAAGAAGAACAGAGTAGGTGTCGCCGGAATAAATGTCGATGTCGCTGACGTTGAACGGCGTTACGTAGTTGCCGTCGGCTTCAACTACCTCTAACTCGTGTTCCTGCACGTGACCAAATCAAATGCACGTGTTAATTATTACTAGTCGTCTATTACCACAATTTATTTCAATGTGGTTTGGTTATAATACTATTTGAATTAAAATTTGGAGTTGAATGTTATAACCAAGTGGAAAGAAGAAAGTAACTAACATCAATGGCCAAGTTGAGGGAAACAAGAGCAGTGGTGCTAGCGATACGAAGACGGTAAACTTTATTGGGCTCGACACGTAAGGTATGAGGTGCGCACTGATCGTTTTCTTTAAACGTACACTGATTATTTCCATTGGTAAGATACGCCGCTTGAGAACAGTTAAACTGCCCTCTTCCATTGATTAACAAACTCTGAGGTTCACCAATCCAACGCATTGGTGCAGAAGAAAGAGCCAGCTCTTGCGCGTGAATGCTTTGGTGCCACCAGTCGCTTAGCAACAGACTGAATTCTTCATCGTATTTCAGTCTCTCGTTTGGTGATTTCACTATCATCATCCCGTACAGTCCCGCCGATCTCTGCATCCCATAGTGTCCATGGTAGAAGTATGTACCCGGCTGCACATCCGTGTCATATATATATTCCCCAACTAAAACGTTATTCATCTTTTTATTTTTTGTAAAAGTTTTTAAAAACAAGAAACTAAAGGTTTACGTTTACCTTATCGACAATGAAACTGTAAGTGAAAGTCTCGCCAGGGTTGATAGGACATTGTGTCACACCCGCTGCTCCGTCTGCCCATGGAGTCCCTTTCTGTTCCATAATCACAAATTGTTTAATTTTTTCTTTCTTATAAAATGTTAATCCGTGCATATATATATTTATGCATGTGATGGAACAAAAATTAGATTAGATATAACAAAAACCTGATGTATGCCGTGCCAATGAATGACAACACCTTCAGTGGAGAGTTTGTTTACGACGTGGATGGTAACGTTGTCTCCAGCATCGGCTTCTATCGTTGGCCCCGGAAACTTGCCGTTAATGGCCATAACGATGCTTTCTTTACAATCCGGCCACCAGAACTTATACTCAACTTCCCACGTGTATTCTTTTACTTCAGCAGATGCCGAGTGAACGGCCATCATAGTTACTAGCCACCACACAAGTACCCGAATCATCGTGGACTTTTTTTTTATTTTTTTGTATGGCTGAATATTGGTGCGGGTTATAGAATACCCTTATGTCAGTGTATGTAGATAGGGGATGCAACATATATGTAAAGGAAGCATCTCATTATATAGTTGGTTTTTGTATTCTAATAAGAGGCAGTTTTAGCTTTGTGTGGATATCAGTAGTTTTAAATTTTACATACGGAAAAATTCAACGACGACGATAAGTTCTATGGGGCATCATCGGGACCTAAATATGTTTGGTATTTATCGTATTGTCGAAGGGTAGGACATTTTATCTTTGGCAGTTTCGTATTGAAGTCATTTGGAGTACTGCAGTACCTAACGAAGATGTGGGGCTGACTAGTTATATCGTAAATAAAACGTGCAAACTTTTTTTTTTTTTTTTTTTTAACGATCAGTTTGTTACGTATGAATACGCGTGCACATCTAATAAGTGCCAAATACTCAATTCACTGCTATTATGATTGCTATGAATTTGCTTCTTCTAAAAAAGTAGTTTTTTATATAAATATTTCTGGACACAAAGATTTTAGCTTCGTTCTTTGGTCGGTTGCCTCTTTCAAAAATAAATTATAAGAAACTGATGATGTTTGTTCCAAAAAAAGGAACTGATGATAAATTGTACCATCAACCAACCTAAAGGTTTGTAAATACTCAATACCATCGAACAAAATCCAAAGATTTCTCAATCACCATATGGTGAGGGGGGAGTAACCAACTGTTGAAGAGTTATTGAACACAAGTTTCTTTAATATAAGCCACAAAACTCTCAAGTGGTTATATATAGACAAGTAGCTTTGCCGGAGCTATAAAAAACTAGGGAATCGATAGGTCCACCAGTCCTTGGAAAGCTATTAGGGCAATCCTCAATGCATGTGATTTAACACAAATATTAAATTCTTATATTTGTTAAATCCTATGTATCGAAGATGGTCTTAAACCAACATTATTTCTAACTAAGATTTACATAGGAGGGTATAAGATACCCTTGATAATGTTGGTCTAAAGATTTTACACACATATGACAATTTTACTAGCAAATTCCCAAAGTGGTTGTGAACACAAGAATAATGTAGTAACTTTTTTAACAACCCCATAAGACCATGATTAATGGCAACCTCTTAGGTGGTTCTTAAGTATTAAACAGATTAAAATTAAATGTTTAATGTGTGTAATTTGTAAGAAACGTCTTTTAGCTAAGAGAAAATATTAGCACTAAGAGACGGACAGGTGTCAGTGTCTGACTGGTCAAAGAAGAAAAAAAAGAAACAACACACAAACCTCTCATTTTGGACACGTGTCAGTGTTTTCAAATGATTATGAACCTGAAAACTTAACCTAAATCAATCGTCCATATTATGTTTGGTTATACATCTGGATATTAAAAATTATGAACACGTATTTTTAATTATTCATAATTTAATTTAAAATATTCAGAAAAGACTTAATCATATACATGTTGACAAAAAAAGACTTAATCATATACATAAAATATGTTTATACTTTATAACAATTTAAAATCTTCCCATTGTACCTCACATGAGGATAATTTATTACTTTAAAAATAAAACTTGATTAAAAGTTGTAAATACAAAACAAAATTCTGTATTATGAAATATTTAATAAATTTGTAAAAAAAAACTATACAACACTAAAATAGTATAATAAATATTTAACAAGGAAAAAATATGAGTAACTACAATAACATCGATTACTTTAATATCTATATTTACAATTTTATTGCAATAATTATTAAGTTTTTTAAAATTAAAAAACTTTAATTTTAATTTAGTTTTATTTTTTAATAAATATTTATTCGCTAAGAACCACAAGTTAAGAGTTTACCAATAAACACACAAAAACCTAAAAACAAAAAAATAATTTCTCAACTCTTAACATTTAAATTTTAATACTAAAACATGCTTAAGAACAAAACCTAAGGTGCTACTAATAAACATGCTCTAAGTAGCACAACACACATACATATGACATTTTTACCATACTACATTACAAGAACACCGGTTAATCTAAGGACGTCCACGGTTCATGAGCCATTTCCTGGTTAAACCACAACCGAGCGCCTCATCTGGTATCTCCATCTTACCAATCCGGTCTACTCCTTCCGCGAAAACCACACCCATACCCATATGCAAATGCGGTTCAATATGACAATGAAAAAACCAAACCCCAGGATTATCCGTTACAAACCTTAACGCCGTCCATCCAAAGGGATACAAAACCGCCGTGTTCCGTAACGGCGGGTTCTTCAAATTATACGTCTTCTCATCAACCCCCGGTTTAAATTTCCCTTCACCGTATCCCAAAACCCAAAAATCGTGACCGTGGATATGCCAGGGATGTATCTCACTCATCACACCTTTCAAAACGTTGGCGTTTTGTAGAATCACGTCGACGACGATTCCTAACGGGAACTTGTAGATTCCACTACCTTTCGTGGTGTTAGGATTCGCCGGAGGTTTCATGATATCGTAATGATCCAATTTGAACTTCTTCGCCGGAGATTTTAAATCGTACGCCGATTTTAAACCGTATCTGATCGAACCGAGGTACGGCGTCACCGGTACGGTTAACGAGACGTTGTTGATTGACCATTTCGTGTGATCTTCGTATAGGTTCTGCGTGTTGAGGAGGATGAGCTGGTCGTGTGATTTCTCCGGCGGTTTTGGATATCCTTTCGCGGCGAAGATTTTGTTCGAGAAGCTTTTGCTCCGATCTGTGTCGTTCCACGAGGGAGTCGCCGGTGGTGGATGAGACGGGCGTGAGTCAGTGGCGTCGATGTAGTTTAGCACGGTGAGTGCTTGAGGAGTTTTTGGTTCTCGGCCACGAACGCCGACGGAGATCCAGTACTTCTTGGATGGAAGTGCGTTGGTTTTGAGAAGAACGGAATAGGTTTCGCCGGAATATATGTCGATGTCGTTGACGGTGAACGGTGCGACGTAGTTGCCGTCGGCTTCAACCACCACTAGCTGGTGTCCCTGTCACGTGCGCAATCAAAACACACGTGTTAACTTAAGTACGTTATGTATATTTTGGTTTCTCATCATTGATGTAAATGTCATTAAAGTAAATTAGATTTGATTTCAATGTGGTCATACTAGTTTTTAAACAAAACATGCTTGAGCTAAAAATCGAAACATGACTAAACTTAATAAGTTAGAACAAATTAGGAAATAGTGAAACACTAACTTGAACGGCCAAGTTGAGGGAAGCAAGAGCAGTGGTGCTAGCGATTCTAAGGCGGTAGACTCTATTGGGCTCGACACGTAGAGTATGAGGTGCACACTGATCATTTTCTTTAAAGGTGCACACATCTGTCTCTCCTCTTTTGTTAAAATAGTAAGCCGCTTGTGAACAATTGAACTGTCCTCTTCCATTGATCAACAAGCTCTGTGGTTCGCCGATCCAACGCATAGGACGAGAAGAAAGAGCGAGTTCTTGCGCGTGAATGCTTTCGTGCCACCAGTCACTAAGCAACAGATTGAACTCTCCATCGTAACGTAATGTCTCTTTCGGTGATTTTACTATTAACATTCCGTATAGTCCCGCCGATCGCTGCATCCCGTAGTGTCCATGGTAGAAATATGTTCCTGCCTGCACCGTATCACAACCAAAACGTCGTATTTTTTTATTCCTCCGTCAATTATATACTTTATATATCCAAAAAAAAAAAAAAGAGAAACAGAAGAAAAAAGTTGAAACCTTATCGACAATGAACTTGTAAGTGAAAGTCTCGCCAGGGTTAATAGGACACTGTGTAACACCAGCTGCTCCATCTGCCCATGGAGTCCCTTTCTGTTCCATGGTTATCGCATTTTTTAATTACAATTATGTTGTGTTTTACAGAATAAGCTGTTTTGTTGTCATATTTTATTTGTTGTTAATTAATGCTTCTTGTGACATAACATTACAGAAGTATATAATTTGTATATGAAAGCACGAAAATGATGCATGGTAACTTAATAAACCTGACGTATGCCGTGCCAATGGATAACAACGCCTTCGGTGGAGAGTTTGTTGACTACGTGGATGATGACGGTGTCTCCGGCGAAAGCGTCTATTGTTGGCCCCGGAAATTGGCCGTTGATGGCCATAACAATGCCTTCTTCACAATCAGGCCACCAGTACTTATACTCAACCTCCCACGTTGATTCTATCACTGCTGCGGAGGCAGAGTGAAACGCCACTACAACCACCGTAAGTAGCCACCACACAATTACCGCCATGGAATCTTTTACTTTTTATGTGGCTGAATGTTGTGAATTACAAAGTAGAGGTTACGTAACGTACTAGTAATGAAAGAGGCTTTTTACAGTAAAACCTCTATAAATTAATAATGAAGAAACCAAGATATTTTATTAATTTAAAGTGATATTAATTTATTTAATATTTATTATTTTATAGTGTAAATTAATAATTATTAATTTATAATGATATTTCTAGTTTTTCAAAATTTCAAAAAGTATGAATTAATATAATTTTACAAAAATAAGACTAATTTTTTAAATTTTATAATTTATAGTATTTATTAATTTATAGAGGTTTTATTGTATATAGAATGGGAATCGTTGTTTTCTCAAAAATTAACTTAAAAAACAAAAAAAAATCAATCGGTTTGAAGTTGAAATATGTACAAACAAAAAAGTAAAGATGACAAGATCGATGGGGACATATACCTTGGCCACTTGTGTATAGAGGACACTGGTGTATTTAATGATGATACAAATTGACTGACTAAATTTTGAAAATCATACAAAGCAATTATTTACGTATAAATTTAATATTTTTATACATGTATAATTGACAAAAGAAAGAAACTGACAATGACAACTTGACAAGTGTTTACTGGGAAGAGCTAGCTACTGCAGTCGAGATAAATGTTGGAATCCACCAACCACTTAAGAGAGTTCTCATCAGTTTTTAGAAACAGAAGAAAAATAATTGTAAAAAATTTAGTCAACAATGAGACTTATCCTGCAGAAATGGTGATTTTGTTTGAGAAATTGACAGAAATTTAGTCACCACCATATAAGGTAGTTGTTGTTAGCAAAAGACAACACTCGGTAAGGCAAATAACTTGATACCATACCAATACAAATGTTACATTAGGAGAAACTCGCATTTAGAAATTTTACATACACAGACCTGAGTCTTTTGGGTGGTCTGTCTCAATTGAGACCGCTTCATTTTTTTTGACTACATATATATACTTATTACATAATAGATGATGTGATATTTAGATAAAAAGTGGTGAAGTGTTCTTACAAGGTCACCCCCCATTTCTTCTTTTCAGGGTTTGCCAGTTTTTTTCCTCAGGTGCAGTTAGTGTCGTAGCTTGCAAGACCGAGTAACTCGGGTCCCTCCAATCGCGGGTTGTTCTCAAAGCTGCACAATTTGTTTCCCGTTATTAACAACAAATGCTCATATGAAACTTTATTGGTTTATACAAAACATCCACTTATTGGGATTGTTCCACACAAAATCAAAATGAAAGAAGAAACTTACTTCTGGAGAGGAATGTGTGCAAAAGGTCCACTTGTTGGGATTGTTCCACACAAATCATTGCTCGAGACATCACTGAGAAAAGGATGACAAAGAAAATATGTTTTTGATAAGTAAAAGCATGACGCCAATAGGTTTGATAAAAAGGGTTCAAAGGCAGGTAATTCAGAGAACAGCCACAGAGAATTTAACAGACAAACACAAAATACAATACAGAAATGAAAAAGCTGGACTTACACAACTTTCAGGCTTGGGATTGCCGTGAGTGCTCTAGGGATTGGACCAGTCAATAGGTTGTCATTAAGCCGTCTGCAACATTAAACAATTTCTTATATCGACATTGTACGAAGACACATCACTAACAGAATCAGGTAGTTCTAGCCACATGATGATCAATAACAACCCACAGAAACCATCTTGTTCTTTTACTTAACAATTGATTAACCGAATTGCAATTTTGAAAGATTTGAAACATGTGAGCATTTGGTGTGTCCATGTCAGAGTTTGATAGCAACTTACAGAAAGACGAGAGACTTCAACTTTCCCAAAGAAGTAGGAACTGTCCCCGTAAGATTGTTGTTATACAGATCCAAGCTGATGAGGTTCTTCAGATTGCCAAGTTCAGAAGGTATAGTTCCTTGAATGTTGTTTTTGTAGAGCTCTCTGTTTCAATCATAGTACAAGTCAAGAGTTAAAAAAAACTACACTATCAATTACATAATGAATGGCGTAACGAACAGTTTAGGTGCATTATATATGGTATACAACTTTAAAGAGAAACTTTTCGGACAAACAGAAGTCAAAAGAGTGATGACATACAGATATTGCAAATGTTCAAGCTTTCCAAGCTCGGGGGCAAGATGTCCAGTGAGGTTTGAATTACCCAAATCCCTGCCAATATACCAATACTTATACTGTTAGAAAAATAAAACAATAAAGCACAAAAGATAAAACATTTTATATACTCTATTAGCTGTTCTCTTGATCTATCAAACAGTTGTGAGAGTCAATCAGATGTAATCAAGTACAAAGAATCCACAATTCTTCTAAAAGCGTAAGAACTCACAAAGTAGGGAGCAAAAAGTAATCTAGATCAGTAACAAAGCATTGAGAAAATGAATCAAGAGGTACAATCAAAATCTAACTGCTTCATCAATGGAACAACTATTGGGGATTCTTTTCAGACTTTCAAGGAATCCAATGACACTAGAAAAGTCTACACTGTGCATTTAGATTTTCCCCTTTTTCAAAACTGAAAAGTTGAACAAGAAAGTGTTTATTTTTTTTTCTTTAACTACCGTACTCTGCATTTGAAGCTGCGAAAAAGGACTAAATCATATATAGTAGACTCATGAACCTTAAAAGAAACCAAATTAAAGTTACCTCAAAATCTGATAAACAAGTGTTCCCAAGGACAAAGTTAAAGCTAGAAAAATCATCACAGCACAAAATTAATCCACATTTGACATCTACTAAGACTAATCAATTCCATTTTCAATTGTGTTTGCTCATAAATCCCCAATTTTACATCTTTCCCAGTGACCATATAATAAAAATAACAGCTTCCAACAAAAAAATGTCTGCATATGAGTTGAGTCGAGTCTAATACAATCAAATAAACTGAAGTCAAGAAAAGACAAAGTATCTAAAATTAGAAACTAAACCCAGAATTTATGTCCTAAAAATAGAGCTAAAAATTCCAAAAGAGACGGTAACAATTAGAAGAATATGTATAGATTCTAAACGAATCAAACAAGTCCAAAACAGGAGGTAAGAGAAGAGAGAGAGAGAGAGAGGATCTTACACACGAGTGACGCGGTTGTCTTGGTTACAGGTGACATGGAACCAGGTACAGGGATTAACAAGAGTGGGATCCCAGCTCTGGAGAACACGGTCCGGATCCGTTAGACTACAGCGAAGGGCGTAGAGAGCATCTCCTTCTGAGTTTGCTTCCGCCAGGTGAATCAAAGCTAAAGTTAGGGTTAGTGAAGCTGCGACGAGGAGCTCCCACCGACAGTTTCGAGACGACATGGTTAGAGGAATCAGAGTCTGAAGACGGAGGAATCGGGAAATGGAATTTGAGAACGAAGAGAGCAAAATTAGGGTTTTGTTGGTTCGTTTCGTTCGTTCACCTCTTTGTTGAGAAATGAAGAAGATATCGATTATGCGATTGGTGTGGGGAATGACCAAGAGAAATACCAAACACTTTTTCACATTTTTTTAATTTCCCATTACTGTTTTCTTTTGATTATTTTTTAAAAAATTCCTGTCTTTTTTGTTTTTTGTTTTGTTTTGTTTTGTTTAATCTATTTAAAATCGAGCGGTTCTTTTATTCCACTACAAAGGAAGTACAATATTCCAAGTGATAAATTGATTTTTATAATTTTTTAAAGGAAAAAAAATATTTTTTAAATTAAAAAGTGAATTATAAGCTCATTCTGAAACAGTTAAACTTTGAATTTAAGAGGATGAAAAATGTAAAAAAGTCTTACTTGTAACCTTTTTTTTGTTTTTGGTGTTTTAAAAGTCTTGTAAACTAGTTGGTCAAATAAGTTAAAGATTAGTCCAAATTGGAGACTTTCATAGTTCGTTCACGCGGAAACAAACAGTGTTTTTTACATTATTCTTGAGATTTATATCATTATGAATAATGTGATATTTTTTCCGCTTTTTTTGTGTTGTTTAATTTGGTACGACTTTAAAAAAAAAAAAATCATTGATGATGGAATATACGAGTAGAGAGCACTAACGAGAAGAAAAAGAAGAAATAAACATAGTTAAAGTAAGTGCAAACATAACAAATTAAGATTAGAAGAAAAGTCAATGATATTCGGAGGAACAATAAGATAAAAAGAGAAACTGGAGATGGAATCTGATCCGACAAACACGTAACTACACTTATATGTCGGAATAATAGCAACTCCACTCTTCCCCTTAGATTAAAAGATAACACATGACGACAAATAAAAAAAAAAGGTAGCGACCGCCTTTTCTTAAACTACAACACCGACTCCTCCACAACGTTCGCCTGAAAATTATATCTTTAAGAACCGGTGAGTCACTACCTACGCTTCCGACCGGTCTTAGCCTTTCGTATTCCGCTGGGTTTCTCTAAAAGCCTGAAGTTATAGTGACCTGTTCAGCCCAAATTATGTAGATCCCCATCTCTTATTGTTGGCCCTTAAAACAACTATAGGCGGGCCTTCCTTAATAAACCTACGGCCTTTCTATTATGTTGATATATGTGTGTGTATTATTGAAGTTCCTACTTCCTAGTTCTTTTCTCAGACAAAAACCCCTTGTAATTTGTAAAACCTTTGCATTTGTACTCGTAGGTTTACTAGTGTTTGAATAAGGGAATTTTACCCATAAAACACCTTTTTTTTTTTTGGCAACCTTTCAAGATTTTTTTACTTCTACTGTACAATTTGGTATGTCGTAGGAGTTTGGAAAATGCGATTTGTATCTACCCAACCTATCCACGTTCCTCATCATTATTCGAAAAACATACACATACATGATACATCCTTCCTCAAACATATAATTTTGGTGGGGGGTATATGTATGTCATGACAAGTTCAGGCGTCTCACTAACAAAAACGACGTCCATTAATTTATTATTTCTTAATTCCTATAAGATTCTTTTCTTTATTTTGTGTGTGTGTGTTTTTAATATCATCAAATCATTATGGCCCAATTAAAAAAACACAAAAATAGTAAATGGAATGCCATTAAAAAAAAAAAAAAAAAAAGCATTTGAAAATATGGTTTTGAAAAACATCCGCAATTATCTCCTGTTTTTTACAAAACAGCTCGTCGGTTCTCTTCTCTTCTTTTCTCCTTCTTCCTAAAATTCTCTGATGGATCTCTGTTTTGTTCATCCTTCGTTACACCAATCTCATCCTTTCGCTTATGTTTGATCCATACATTGATTTCACGGTTATCATCATGTGTCTGTAATATTTCTCCTTGTTGGAATCTTTGCGCGGAACAGAGATCGATGGGGGTGGTATCAAGAACCGTGTTCCCTGTCTGCGAAAGCTTGTGCTGCTTTTGTCCGGCTTTGCGAGCCAGATCGAGACATCCCGTCAAGAGATATAAACATCTTCTCGCTGATATCTTCCCTCGATCCCAGGTCCGTTTTGCATTTCCCCTTTCTCTTCCCCTGTTATTATCACCACGCCATTATATCCCAAAACGTGTTTTTATCATCCAAGTTACATTGCCTTTTAAGTCAAGCGTTCGAATTAGGGTGAGATTAGTGTAATTGAATTGTTGCACGTATCCAAGTTCAAGCGACAACGATGGTGGAGTTTGATTCGTTTATCAAGTGTTCAAGTGTTCTCCTTAGTGTCTTCTCCTAAAGATTTGATACTAAACTGCATTCATAAATTATCTGCAGGATGAGCAACCTAATGATCGCAAAATCAGTAAATTATGTGAATATGCTGCAAAAAACCCTCTTCGTATCCCTAAGGTGATTGCCATTAACATTCTATGATATTTATTATTTAGATCTTTTTTTTTTTTTTTACTTATATATAGATATACTTTTTCTTAAAAGCAACGATTCTGTATACTGTTTTCTTCAGATTACAACCTCTCTTGAACAAAGGTGTTACAAGGAATTGAGAATGGAGCAATTTCACTCTGTAAAGATTGTAATGTCTATCTACAAGAAGCTACTGGTTTCCTGTAATGAACAAATGTATGTTTTTTGTCTTCTATTTTTTCCAGCATTACAGTGTTTAATGATAATTTATGGCATTTACTTATAATGAATTGTGTCTTTTTACAGGTCGTTGTTTGCTAGTAGCTACCTTGGTCTTATTCATATTCTACTAGATCAAACTAGGTATGATGAGATGCGCATTTTAGGTTGTGAAGCTCTCTATGATTTTGTTACCAGTCAGGTGCTTGACTCTTGTCACTTTTACTTTACCTTATACTAAACAATATCAGATTTTAGAGCCTCAAAGTCTGATAATCTATATCTGTTACTTTTTTCTTTTTTTCCAGGCAGAGGGTACCTATATGTTTAACTTAGATGGGTTAATCCCAAAAATATGTCCTTTAGCTCATGAACTGGGAGAAGAAGAAAGGACAACAAATTTGTGTGCTGCTGGGCTGCAGGCTCTCTCATCCTTGGTAGTCATATACTCAGTTTTTTATTCAGTCCATTTCAATTGTTATCTCTAGCATTGAATATGATATGTCTTATGACTCTGAGCTTGTATGGTATTAATACAATCATGTCTATTTTACACAGGTTTGGTTTATGGGAGAGTTTTCACATATATCAGTCGAATTTGACAATGTAACTTTTCTTGGAAGCTTGTTTACGAAATCTACAATGGCTTTATTTTTTTTTGTAACTCATGATCAAAAGTATCCTCTGTTTCTCTTGTTTTCAGGTAGTTTCTGTTGTCTTAGAAAATTATGGAGGCCTAAGTCAATCTTCCACTGCTGCAGTCAACCAAGAAAACAACAGGAATGCTTCTGCTGATAAAGAATTATCTCCTGCAGAAGCTGAAACAAGGATTGCTTCTTGGTCAAGAATCGTGGATGACAGAGGCAAGGCAATTGTATCTGTGTAAAAATCCTTCTACTCGAGCTTTATTTATGCATATGCTTCTTGTTTTTTTCTTAGAATATATTTTCTGATTAAAGAGACACTACAGGGAGGATGCTAAAAACCCCAAGTTTTGGTCGAGGGTTTGCCTGCATAACCTGGCAAAGTTAGCAAAAGAAGCAACCACTGTGAGGCGTGTACTCGAGTCACTCTTCCGCTATTTTGATTTCAATGAAGTTTGGTCCACCGAGAACGGTCTTGCGTTATACGTTTTGCAGGACGTTCAGTTGTTGATAGAACGATCTGGTTTGTATTGTCTCCATTTGTTTATTTGTTTTTGGACATATCTAGTCAGCTTGTTAGAAAAATACTAATAGTGTGAGTAACTGTCCACAGGGCAAAACACGCACTTCCTGTTGTCTATCCTCATCAAGCATCTCGATCACAAGAACGTTCTAAAGAAGCCTAGAATGCAACTTGACATAGTTTATGTTGCTACTGCACTTGCCCAACAGACTAAAGTTCTGCCATCCGTGGCTATCATTGGTGCCCTGAGTGATATGATTAGGCATCTGAGGAAGAGCATTCATTGTTCACTAGATGATTCGAATCTTGGGAATGAGATGATTCAATATAATCTGAAATTTGAAGCTGCGGTTGAACAATGCCTCGTGCAGTTATCCCAAAAGGTAAATCCTATTTTATACCCAAGACGCTCTGAATAAATAGCTGATAGTCTCTCGAAATGTAGGTAGGAGATGCAGGTCCTATCCTTGACATAATGGCTGTCATGTTGGAAAGCATGTCAAATATTACAGTCATGGCAAGAACCCTGATAGCCGCAGTTTTTCGCACAGCGCAAATTATAGCGGCTATACCAAATTTATCATATGAAAACAAGGCAAGATGCACAAAACTTGAAGTTTCTATATATTTCCCCTTCAGTATGTAACGCTAGGGAATAAGAAGGTAACTTGGAATCTTTTTTGTCTCAGGCTTTTCCAGATGCACTTTTCCATCAACTGCTTCAAGCTATGGTGTGTGTTGACCATGAATCCAGGATGGGGGCTCACCGTATATTTTCTGTAGTTCTGGTCCCATCTTCAGTTTGTCCAAATTCAGTTCCCAAGTCTAGAAGGCCTGCTGATATGCAGAGGACATTGTCAAGAACTGTGTCTGTGTTTTCTTCTTCAGCTGCACTGTTTAGAAAACTGAAGTTGGAGTCAGATAGTTCCGTTGATGATACTGCAAAGATGGAGAGGGTTTCAACACTTAGCAGGTCAAATTCAAAATTCACAAGAGGTGAAAGTTTTGACGATGAGGAGCCAAAGAACAATACTAGTTCAGTATTGAGCCGGTTAAAGTCAAGTTACAGTCGAAGTCAGAGTGTGAAAAGGAACCCGTCATCTACTATATTAGATCAGAATTCTTTGGGAGGTTCTCCTGAGAAACCAGTATGTTTCACATTTGGCCATAAGTAATAAATCATTAGATTAATGAAGTTATCATTTTGTTATAATTTTGGTCTCAATGGCTTCTGAAACTTTTTCAGGTGATACCTTTAAGATTAAGCAGCCACCAGATTTGCCTTTTGCTTTCATCGATTTGGGTGCAGTCTTTGTCTCCTCACAACATGCCACAAAACTATGAAGCCATTGCTAATACTTTTAGCTTAGTACTTCTATTTGGGCGGACTAAGGTACAGTTGTAAACTAGGTTCCTACTGCACTAATTCATGTTTTACAATAGAAGTCACCTCATTTCATTTAGTAATCTACAAACTTTTGATAAATATATGTAGCACTCTAGCAATGAAGTCTTGGTCTGGAGCTTTCAGTTAGCATTTTCTTTGCGGAATCTCTCTCTTGGAGGTATAGTCCCCTGCAGATAAACTTGGAAACCATCTCTTAGTGTTACTGTTTCGAGCTAAACTAGAAAAACAAAGAAGATTGCTTCTACATCTTTCTTGCATTAAGATTTTAGTAGATGCACACACTGTTATAAGTAAACTCTTACCTTTATTCATGGATTAATTTTTGTTGCCAACTTTTAGGACCATTGCAGCCATCGCGGCGTAGATCCCTCTTTACTCTGGCTACATCAATGATTATATTCTCAGCAAGAGCCTTCAACATCCCTCCTCTTGTTAATAGCGCAAAAACCGCACTGCAGGAAAAAACGGTAGTTCAAGAATTTACTAATGTTCTTCCTCTGGCACTCTTCTATTATATATATACAACTTGATAGAGTATAAACCTTGCATATCAGGTAGACCCGTTTCTTCATCTGGTGGAAGATTGCAAGCTAGATGCTGTTTTCTATGGACATGCAGAGCAGCCGGAGAAGAACTATGGATCAAAAGAAGACAATGATGACGCCTTACATTCACTTGTAGTGATTGAAGAAACTACTCAAAATCAACCTCGAGAGCACTACGCTTCCATGATAATGAAGTTTCTCGGAAAACTATCAGAGGTACTATCAAAATGTTGATAATTTTTTTTAATAATTATGTTGGAGTGTCTAACTACTTACCTGTGATGATGGTTTAATTTGCAGCAAGATTCATCGTCTATAAAGGAGCAGTTAGTTTCAGATTTTATACCTATCGACGGTTGTCCAGTAGGAACGCAGTTGACAGAATCTCCAGTTCAAGTTTACCGGTGTGAAGAAAAAAACAACAAACCTCGAGAAAATGTATTGTCTTGCGATCAATTTCTGAAATTTGAGTTAGTTATTTATTTTTCTAACATCAATCTGTTTCCGTTTACTTTCGCAGGCTGAAACTCAATTGCTTATACCAGAAAACGATGCAGCGCCAAGTCCTCCAGAAGATCAGCTTGCTCTTGACACACAGCCTAACGCCAAAACCGCGTTTCTGCTGAGCATCGATGAACTTCTAAGCGCAGTGAGTTCTTTATCTTTATGGTTCTAAATGAAAGTGCAAACTCGTAGGCTGACAAAAGGTGAAAATGGGTGCAGGTGTCTCAGACAACAGCACAGTTAGGAAGATACTCAGTGTCTGATCCACCAGACATGACATACACAGAAATGGCAGGGCATTGCGAGGCTCTTCTGATGGGGAAGCAAGAGAAGATGTCTTTCATGTCTGCAAAAAGTAACAAATTCAGCAGCAGCCAAACCAAGGAACCTACTGCTTTGCCTAGTGGTGGTGGGAATCCGTTTGTGGAGCATGGGAGTTCGTGGGAGATGGTGGGGATGGGTGCACCTGCGGCTTCTAATGTATGCCTAACAGAGTATCAAAACCATCCTCCTTTCTTCAATCCTCCTGCCTCTACTCCTTTCGACAACTTCCTTAAAGCCAAGCCGTTGGTTCCTCTTGATTAGTTAGTGTTAAATTTATCCACAGTTTTTATATTCTACATGTGTTCCACTTCCTTTCTCATCAATACTTATTATACACGTTATCGGATAATTTCTTTCGTCGAGAAAATGCAAACGTTGAGTTGTTTGCCCAAACAATACTTTCTTTGGAGATGAAAAATCAAACATATGTAAATATAGTTAATGTTATATTAGCTTGTGGATTGGTGTCAACCATATTTGTTGGCAATGCCGACCACTTGAGAGCTTAAAATCAAAAAATATATCCAAAGAAAACTATGTTTAAACACAAGAATCAACGGAACAACTACAAAATCATGTAATAACTACAATAGACCTGCAAAGAGTGTCCTCTTAAAGATATTTAATGCTGTCATATGTTTTTTCACATGAAACGGAGAGCGTTACAACTAGTTATAGACATACAACGCATAACAGAACTTAGACCCTTAAAGCCGCTCTACAACAAACAGACATGGCAGGCAAAACAGAGAAACTTGAACAGTCTCTAGAGAGTAATTATTTTCCTGTGGAGTTGATGTGTTTCATGACCACCATGGTCATGATCATGGAAGAGAAGGGTTAAGATACCTACCAGACACAGGACCGAACCAACCAGAAGTTTGTCGTACCGCTCCACCCAGTGAAACTTGAGCTGACTTGCACCATAGAATGATAGAGCCACTAGCGATGTCATCACCAATATGGTGCTGTCAAAATAATACCAATCATATCATACATATGCCTTCCTTTGTAAAATCATATCCAACTTTCCCTTGTAAAGTCATATCTAATTATCATAAGATTGACTATTCAGAGAGATGTTTATTGAAGCGTCAAAATGTGACAAAAACAGTAGACTTAGTCTCACCTGAAGAGCAGAACTATGATGGCGAGAACCATCATTGACTTGGAATTTCCAACAGCGAGGAAAACTGGGAGAGTTGTTGCACAAGGAGATAATGCAGGAACAAGGACAAGCCCAGCAACAGCCATTTTCTCCATGGGTTGGTTATGAGAGTGAGTGTGACCACCTTTACCAGCTAAAAACAGCAAGACATAGCTTCCACCAAGAAATACAAGCAAAAGGGAAGCAAGTTTGTGAACAGTCTCTTCACCGGCAATTGTATTCGCCATTGTGATCGCTGTTATACCAAGAAGGGAAGTCGAAATGACATGCAGGACTGCTCCAAATGCAGCTGAAATTCAGTGATACTAGAAAAGATCAGAAAAGAATGTGCAAGACCACTTGACTAAACAGAAACGGAAACACTGAACCATATACTTAAATAGTAAGGTGGCTGTCTTTAGACACTTTTCCACAATAGACGAATGTGATCAGAGCAAAACCAATCACCGTGACTTAATATATAATTGCGTGACATCGTTATCTCTTCATACATTGTAAATAAAGAACTGATCTGAGATCAGAATTCTTTGAAAGCCTAATCCCAAGTCATCATTTCAATCTACTCTACGCAACTCTCACTTCAGTGTGAAACCCATCATCCAGGAATCACATCATTCATATACAGAAGACACTAAATGAAACACCAATGACAAACATCATCACAACATATACACGTAATTAGACAATTGAAGCAGCAGTTGAATCCATTCATGCCTTTATAATCCTAATTACCCATTTCTACCTTAATCAAACAATGCCTTAGAAAAATTCAAAATTTCCAGAAACATCAAACGCGGATGAATGTATGCAGAATCCGAAATTAAGGAATCAGAGATGGAAACATACTGACGAAGAGTGTTCTAGAAAGCGTCCATTTCTGAGCACGTCCAACGATAGAGAAAGGTAGCCAATGCGTAGGAATAAAGGAGTGAAGGAGCGACACTGTCGCTATTCCACCGATCGTCGATAGATCCTCCGCCGTGAAAGTATCCATTCTTCTAGTACCGGAATATAGAAAAACAGGATCCGAAAAATTGCAGCTCAATCTGAGTCTCCGATTAAGCGAGATATATAAGTAGGAAGGTAGATTTATATTTGAATCTTCTCGGATTCCATGGGGAAAGAATAAGATCTGAAAGGTTCTGTGAAGAAGAAGAAGAAGAAGAAGAAGAAGAAGAAGAAACTCGTGAAACAAATCAGTGCACTGTGTAATCCCAATAACCAAACTAGACCGGGTAATTGGATCATCTGATGGGAACCGGTCCAACATGAAACCAATTTTTTTTTTTTCTTCTTATAAAAGTACTAATTTAGGAGATACACATGTTTGGTCCACTTGGGCACAATTTGCTTGGAAAGTTTCAAATCTTGGAGAAGGAAACAAATAAAATACATTTTACAAGTTGAAAGTTTCAGAATTTGGAGTTTTATGATGATGAAGCAATGTCCAAAGGAACAAGACTTCCTCCTGAACATAATTAGATAACAAATCTTCCCAAATCAAAGGATCCGAATCAAGTCACCATGACTTCCTCCACGATCCAAGGTGAAAAGCAAATAGCCTTCTTAACTAATCGTCTTTTTATATATTAGCAATCTCTTAATACTTTGGTAAAATGCGTGCGTGCAGCTCCACCGATTCAAACCATGAACTCCGAAGAAGACGATCAAACAAAGACAGCAGACGTTTATGCTTCATGTTGTCCAAACTGGTTTGTACATATACACATTATAATTTGATTTTTGATCGAATATTACCCAAAGTTACTAATTTTTGCTCCAAAATTGATAGCATTTCCTCGGGATGTGAATGTGAATGTGAATGTGAAGGAGGTTGCCCATTAGAAATTGTTGTATGTTTTGAAGTTTGTTCTTCGTGTTATGAATGATCAGATGGAGTTAAGCAAAGTGCATCAATGTTCCGTTTGTTCTTCTCCAATGTTTTTTCGAAGTTCATCTCTAATGTTTTTAGTGTTGTGTATTTGAACCTTTTGTAATCCTTTTAACATGTAATGCAGCATTGTCCCTTCATCAGTCTACAAACTTGGGTTATATTACCTCCATTCCATTTTTTTAAAAATTTTTAAACTAGAAATTCGATGTCTAGAAACCATAAATTTTTTAAAAATAATCGATAGAAAAAAGATCGGAAAATACAAATAGTCATAACATACTAAATAAACATAAGTAATGCATAAAAATTTAGAAAAATCTTATGAAATGGAACAAAAGAAAAAAGTTTAAAAATCTAATAAAAAAGAGTAAAACTTAGTAGAAAACATCAAAACAAATTAACAGCAGAAGTTGTTGTTTTCCCATGTTGTCCAAACGGGTTGGTATATATATCATCAATATATACATTAAGTGGAGCGCTTATAATAAATTTTTTCGAAACTTTTTGTGTACATTCATCAAATTTTGTATTGATTGTAACAATAACTTATGAATGATATTTTTTTTTTGTAAATTTTTATATTTAATTGTAAACTTTTATATTAATTGTAACCTCTATATATTTAAATGTAAATTTTTAGAAATGGTAGATGTTAAAAAGAAATTTTTTTTTTTTAGAAATGGTTACATTTATAAAGTTTTTGTTGTTGTTGATAGAAATAAGCCATTGATCCACACGAATAAACAATAAAATCGACTGCAAAGAAATTTACCAAAAGAATATAAATTACCAAAATTACATCCAACCAAACGGAGCGAAAATAAAAATCGATTTTAATGAGACAAAATAAAAAAAATGTTCATTAGTCCATTTTAGTGGTTTTTTTTTCTTTTCTCAAGAAACGAAGAAGGATGAAGAAGATCCCGGTGCTTCTGATGGGCTGTGGAGGCGTTGGTCGCCACCTTCTTCAACACATCGTCTCTTGCCGATCGCTTCACGCCGATTTGGTTTCTTATCCTTACTCTCGTCTCTGCACTTACTTTATTCTCCATAGCTCGTTTTCTCAGTAATGCGAATGAATCCTAAACTCAATATGGTTTCTTAAATTTTTGCTTCTTGATAGTCTTACTTCCATGTTTGTAGAGGAACGATTCTTCATCGCATTATCATTTTCATCTATGTTTTTTTTTTGTTTTTTGCCACAAATGTTGAAACAGCTGACCCTAATTTGCGATTATTGAATTTTCTTTCTCACTAGTGTCACTACTCACTAAGATGAAAAATTGAGATAGTAGCTTAGCTCACAAACGAAATCATGAACCACTCGTCTTTTTCTATTCGTTTGATAGGGAGTTCATGTACGGGTGGTTGGAGTAAGTGACAGTAAATCCTTAGTTTCTCCAGTTGATGTGCTCAAAGAGGAGCTGAATGATGAACTCTTGTCAGAAGTTTGCAGTATCAAATCAACTGGTTCTCCATTATCGAAATTGGGAGCTTTAGGTGATTCTTTATCCTACCATTGTGTTTCCTCATGAGTTTGTTTTATGGATTATTACCTGAATAATATTATGTTTTCGATCTCAGGAAAAGGTGGATGTCAGGTGTTCAATGGATCGGAGGCAGTAAGAGAAACAGAGGAAATTGCAAAACGTCTGGGTAAATCTACAGGTTTGTTACCAAACATAGCCAAACGTGTGGTTGAACTACAACTGTTGCTGCTGTCAGCATTTTGATAGATAAAAAGTCATGTATTTGCTATAGGCTTAGCTGTTGTGGATTGCTCAGCCAGCGTGGAAACTGTTGTAATTTTGATGAAGGCAGTTGACTCGGGTTGCTGCGTTGTCCTGGCAAATAAGAAGCCTCTTACTTCTACGCTGGTAACTTTTTGTTACTAGTAAGCATTTTTTGCATGTTCTGCTTATGCTATGAATGTGCAGGCATATAGGCATCGAACTGTTAACTGTAGCTGTTTCTCTTCCCCTTTGGTTTTATTATGGTGTATAATTAGTATGAACATGTATATTCAGAGACATTATAGAGTTTTAAACCAGTATTTTATGTTGTTTCAAGAAGAAGAACTTGCTTTGTTAGTTAGGTTCTTTTTGGAAAAAGATATTTAGACCAGTCTAGTTTCTACACATCTATCCAATTTTTAACAAGTGGACATACCCTAGATAGTAGATGAAAACTAGAAAAAAGATTCTCAGCAAATCTGTGCTATCGAAATGACTCATGTTTTCTTTCACCTTGTCTTCTGCGCAGGAACATTACGATAAATTGGCTCTGCATCCGCGATTCATCCGCCACGAATCTACTGTAGGTGAAACACAGCTTGTGTATAGAGTAACACCATTAGTTTACATTTAATAGTCGTTTGAAAGTGAAACTAGTTGTAAAATGATGTGTTATGGTTGGCTGTATATGGTATTGTAGGTAGTGAATTTTGTAAAGCTTTAGCATCTGACCTATGTTTATTTATAGGTCGGTGCTGGTCTACCTGTGATTGCATCCTTGAGCCGCATAATTTCGTCTGGAGACCCTGTTCATAGAATTGTCGGTAGTTTGAGCGGTAATTACACTTCAGATGATCATGTTACCATGATAGTGTTGTAGATGTTTATCGTTGCTCTTATCCTGATATATGCATTTATTATGTATTAATGTTATCTTTCTACTTGTTTTCGATTAATGATAGGTACCTTGGGATATGTAATGAGTGAGCTTGAAGATGGCAAGCCTCTAAGTCAAGTTGTTCGAGCTGCAAAAACGCTGGGGTACACTGAACCAGGTTTTTCCAGCTTTATTTTAGTCATCATGTCACATATTTTGTTTTGTCTGATTGATGGTCAACTGCTTTCTTTAGCAGCAATATATTTAGTAGATATCGGTTTATCTGCCTTTCTATACTCCATCAGCTGTTTCGTAGCTCGACAAAAATTCTCCAACTTACATTGATCTTATAAGACATCATACCTGGTTTCGCCTTGGAAAAACCTACCTGCTATAGATGAAAAGAAAAATCATTTGAATATAAATATTATGGTTGTTTGACATGTTATTTTGCTTGCTTCTCAGATCCACGTGACGACCTCAGTGGCATGGATGTTGCTAGAAAGGTATGAACAGATAGATGTAATGTCTCTTGCTAGAGTTTGAGTGCACATGTGCCTTTTGTTAATATAGGGGAGGTTATCTTCATTCAATCCACATGGCTGATTGCTTTTTGCATCTAATTCGAGTAATGTACAAAAAGGCAGTCATGATTTGTCTGGTGTCTTGTGAACAATTTTTTTCTTTCTTGAATCTGATTTCTGGATGCTAGTGGTAGGCAATTCCTCCGATTGTTCTGTTTTGACAACTCACAGCGATTAAAAAGACTATGCTTTGAAGCAAATTATTTGTTGATGAGAATATATTTAATACAAATTTTGATGTTATTATTACTCTTCTTGTTTCTTTCGTGATAGGGTTTGATTCTTGCTCGACTTCTTGGAAAGAGGATAATTATGGATAGCATAAAGGTACCACATTCAAAGCTTTTTATTTTTATCTTTTGTACTCGGTGCTGTGATTTGTGTTTGGTGAACCAACTCTCTTTGAGTGTCCAGTTGAATTTTTGGCTGCAGAATTCTAGTTCAAATTTGTCGGTAATGATGAAGTTTGAATTGGAATGTAGACATGTTGATCTCAGTCTTGTCTAAATTTTGGTTCTGCCTTTTCGATCTAAAAAAATTGGCTCATAGCTAGACTCCTTTGATCCTTTTTCTCATGTACGTAACATTTATAGTTTTTATATTGTTACTCTGTAGATAGAGAGCTTGTATCCCCAAGAGATGGGACCTGGAGTCATGTCTGTGGAAGATTTCCTCCATAATGGAATAGTAAAACTTGATCAGAATATTGAGGAGAGAGTTAAAAGAGCTTCCTCAAACGGGTGTGTGCTTCGTTATGTCTGTGTGATTGAGGGTTCAAGGTAATAAACGTTACCTTTACTCTATCTATGTTCAAATCCCCACTATTTTTGGTACATTCAACATTCAATACCTAAAATAAATTTGTTTCAAGGCTAATTTGATTGTGGGCTAGAGAGAACAATTGTTTCCTAATCATGTTGGTAAACATATGCAACTGAAATCACCCTACCCATAGAATGCTAGTGTACAACTGTTGGCTAATACGGTCTCTCTGCAGCGTTCAAGTTGGCATTCGAGAAGTTCCAAAAGAATCGCCATTAGGACGACTAAGAGGCAGTGACAATATCGTAAGTTGTTATAAGGATTCGATTTGATAGATCTTTTTCAAACTGTCTCATGGAAGAGAAAATGAACACATATACTATGGTTTAAACGGCTTACCAGTGTCTAGTGCAGAGATTCGCATATATAATATTGATTGGTTCATTTGGCTACTATCTCTAGAACGGAAACACAATATTTGCGCCTTTAGATTGTCTTGTCAGTAAAAATGATTGTATTGTTTGGGAAACTGCAGGTAGAGATATATAGCCGTTGCTACAAGGAGCAGCCTTTGGTGATTCAAGGTGCTGGAGCTGGGAATGACACGACTGCAGCCGGTGTTCTTGCAGACATCATCGACTTGCAAGATCTTTTTCCTTGAGCTCTGTTTTTTTTTTTTTTTTTTTTTTGTTGGTTTTATCAAACAAATAATATCAAACAAATAATAACAAGGGCCTCAACTTCATAATGACCTCTTCTGGTAGTAAAACACAAAAATTCATTGTTTCTTTTTTTTTTTTTTTATAGAAATATTAGCCAACAGAAACGTAGCATCTCCTTGCATTTTTGTTTTGTTTGACAAAATCAATCAAAGCTGTTTTTTAGAAGCGTTGACAAAAAAAACGTGGTCAGACAGTGAGAAGGGTGTCGTTTGAGACCTCAGTGTGATCGATTTGGTTTTTAGGATCAAGAGCCATCTCCCTTAGCCGGAGAAGACTTCCGGTAGCCAGAATCGCCTTAGGATTGATATCGTGAAGCGATCGGAGATACAAACTTTGACAAGCTTTACTGGCCGCCTCCGATAATTCCCTATCTTCCACTTTGAGCCCGAAGAGACAATGTCCCAAGATCCTCATAATCGGTTGCAGAAGCTCCCATGGCAAGGGAATCCTTCCGCTATCTCTCTCAGATCTTCCTCCGATAGCAACATCCTCTTCTTCTCTCCACGAATCATCGCTCAACGTCGGAATCACCGCCCGCGAAGGTTGCTCTGTTTCACCGTTTTGCCCCGCCCATTTCTCACACGACTCGCAGAAATTGAGCTTGGATTCGCGTGGCATCTTCGGGATTTTGCTATAGTAAAGCTCCAACGCGACACCGACGATCCTCGCTCGGCGCGTGGATCTAACAGTCCCGTGCGGATCTAACGTGGAGGAGAGCACAGCAATGTTGAGGCACGTTGAGTTGTTGTTCCTTGTGAGACCTTTTGATTCGTGGTAGATACTGGGATGTGATAGATCGGGGATGTTGACGGTGATCGCTTGACCGGCGCGTGAGGTAGTTTCGTGAGCGTAGAGTGCGAGTAACACGGCTTCGAATCCGGCTTGTGGTTGACGGAGAGGGACACGAGAAAGGTAGAGACCAGCGATCAAAGGAACGAATCGGAGAACGAGAAGCTGAAGCGATGGCTCCGCGGACTGGAATGTGTCGTAAAGCCAACGGCAGAGGTTGTTGTCTCCGGCGCCTGAGTCTGGACGTTGGAGGAGAGAGGAGATCGCGGTGGAGACGGCTTCGTCGTTGAGGAGGTTAGAGATTGTGGAAGGGATGTCTGTGGTTGTGACAATCGTGGCTAATGATTGGATCGCTGTTTGACATTTCGTGTTGGATTCTGAATCGTTTGATACGGTTGTTTCTGAATCGGCGTTGTTCGTCGGAGGCGGCGGTGAGGAAGAATCTGACATTTTTGAGGAAGATGATCGCTTCAATTGTGAGAGGAGGTGAAATTATGGAATTTTGAAAAACTTTGAGAAAATAACGCAGCAAAACTAGGATCAATTATTAAGTAAACCAAATATATATACCGAACGATCTGGAACGCTTGATTTTTTTTAATTTGTTTTTTCATCCGACGGTTCATATAGCACCGTCCCAGAACCAGGAAAAAATAAAAAAATTGGTGATTTTTTTTTAAACATTCATTGCTTGGTGGGTGTGGTTCTCCATCTTCAATGTCCATCAATCCGATTGAAGAAATTAGGGTTACGTGATTTGGGCGAAAAATCTCTCCTTTATTACGGTTTAGTTTGTTTTGATTACTAAAGGTACTAACTTGTCTCCAGTTCTGTTGATTTGTTTTAGGTTTGATCTCTGTTTTTAGGGATTTCTCGTTGTTCCTTTGTTTCGTTTTAGCTAAACTTTTACGAATCTCAAATTGTTTTTTCTTTGTTTATGATGTGTAAGGTTTGATTGTAAGCGTAAAAGTTGAATTTTTAATATAATCTGCTTTGGCTGAATTGATGAATTGTTTTCTCGTTTTTCCTCAAGCTTTAGCTGGATTCGTCTCTGAGGCCTTAGATTTTCCAGATTCGGTCAGGGTCGTTTGTGAGAAGCTCTCTGTTTCGGGTGTTTCGGGCTGCATCGGTTGCTGGGTGGCTTTTTCATGGCATTTGAAGTTGCGATTGATTCATCGAATATTAAAGAGACGTCGAACGAACAAATAAGTGAGTCTGTTTCTCTGAACTCGAGGTTTGAAAATGGGTCTGTTGAGATTCCAAGTGTGAAGTCGTGTTGTCAGCAAAAGAAGGTAACTTTGGCACCCAGTGGCTCGAAACAGTTGCTATCTGACAAGGATTTGTCTACTACCATTATTGATTTGCCTCACGCATTGATATCTGAGATTCTTAGTTGCCTTGACCCAAAGGATTTAGGTTTAGTGTCCTGTGTTTCAACTAGTTTGCATAGGTTAGCATCAGAGCATCATGCTTGGAAGGAATTCTACCGTGAGAGATGGGGACTCCCTGTAGTTTTCGGGGCTACAAGTTCAGGATTTTCTGATGAGAGATCATGGAAAGAGCTGTTTGTTGAAAGAGAATTTAGGAGTAGGACCTTTTTAGGACGTTATAGTATTGATACCCTGTATGGTCACACTGAAGCAGTCCGGACTGTTTTTCTCTTAGCTTCTGCCAAGCTCGTTTTCACTTCTGGATATGATTCCATTGTTCGGATGTGGGACATGGAAGAAGGCTTGTCTATTGCTGCATCTAAACCACTTGGTTGCACAATTAGGGCAGTTTCGGCTGATACAAAGCTGTTGGTAGCTGGCGGTACTGATGGATTTATTCATTGCTGGAAATCACTGGATGGTCTCCGGAATTTGTTTGCTCTCACTGGTTTTCAGAAAGAGAAGACTGAGTTTCGGCTTTGGGGACATGAAGGTCCCATTACATCTCTTGCCCTGGATATGACAAATATCTTTAGCGGTTCCTGGGACATGTCTGTCCGTATATGGGATCGATCTTCAATGAATTGTGTCAAAACCTTGAGGCATAGTGATTGGGTTTGGGGACTCACACCTCATGAAACCAGCCTCGCTAGCACGTCAGGTTCTGATGTATATATTTGGGACATTAGCAGTGAGACTCCACTGGCAATCATCCATGATGCTCATGAGGGTACCACTTACTCTCTGGCTAGAAGCCATACTGGGGATTTCCTGTTTACTGGTGGAGAAGATGGAGGGATTAAAATGTTTGAGATCAGAAGATCTGGTAATGAAACAAGCGTTGTACTCATATCTCAGTGGATGCCGCACACTAGGCCTGTCTACTCTCTTTCTTTTGAGTTTCCCTGGCTTGTCTCAGCATCTGGTGACGGTAAACTTGCCCTTATCGATGTTAGGAAGCTGTTGAAGACTAACCGTCATGGCTATTCCAAAAGGGTTTCTTCGAGTACTGTGGAACCGCCACAGAGAATGCTGCACGGGTTCGGATCAAATTTGTTCTCTGTGGACTTGGGTTGTGACCGTATAGTGTGTGGAGGTGAAGAAGGCATAGTCCGGATATGGAACTTCACACAAGCGTTGGAGATAGAGCGAAGGGCTCGAGCTCTTAAAGGAACGAGGCTTGAGAACAGGATGAGACGAAGGCGAATGCAAATTGAGATGAATGCAAAGAGTGGAAGGCCTGACCAATGCTCCACTGCCGCTCACAAGAACGCCATCAATGGCGACAGGAACCGAGCCTGGCATAGTAAACGAAGAGCAAGCGGGAAGGCGAAGGCCTAAGCAATGTTATTCGATTTTTCTTTGATATATTCAGTAAAGTAATTTTATAACCTTGGCACATGTTGGCTTCAAGCTAACTAACAGAGTTGGGTCTTATGATTGGTGGAAAATGAGAAAATTGCCTTTTTAGCATTAATTGTTCGATTCATATGTTTTGGAAACTATATTTTATTTCAAGTTGGGTATTAAAAAATGCAAGATACTGAGTCTATTGGTTTGTCATTGAAACTTAAAGAATTTGATATTTGTATAACCGTGACAGAATAGCAAAGCCTCACGAGTTACGATCATGGTTTCTCGTTTTTGAATTCCCAAATCAATTCATAGTCTATTCTGTTCGTTCTTAGAATTTAAAGACTAGTAAATGTTTGATACTAGCATAAAAACATTCTTAAGAGTTCGGTTTCTGTTTCACTGTTACCATTAGCAAGCAAATGAGGTGTATGGAAATGTTCCCAAGTCTTAACTATACTTAAAATTAGTTAAATGATCCTACTTTTGCTATAAAGTATAAATAAATTCACAAAATAATCAAACAAATATATATTTTTGAGAAATACCCCTTTTGGTGTACCCTTTTTAAAAATACCCCCTTTATCTATCCATTTTCAAAAATACCCCTTTTTAAATATAAAATATTATAAAGTTTTATATAGTTTATAAGGTACTTCTATATAATAACTACTACTGGGAGATTCGATACAAATATTTTAAAATGTTTTAAATAGTTTTAAATCGTTTTTATAAGTTTTATAAGGTTTTTAAAAGGTTTTTAAAAGGATTTATACGGTTTTTATAAGGTTTTTATAAGGTTTTTATAATTTATTTTTACGCTATTTATGAAAGGTATATACACATAGAATTTGTGTATATATTTATAAGCTTACACACATATTTGGATAAATTTCAACATTTTTAGTGGGTTTTTTGATAAAGTTTGAAAAGGGGGTATTTTTAAAAAGAGGTATATGAAAAAGGGTATTTTTGAAATTCTCTCTTGTTTGTTTGGATATACAAACACATAAATATTCAATTAAGTAATAACAAAATAAATTATTACAAACTTATTATATCAAATAAAGAGTTCAACCCACGGTAAACCGTGGGTTAGTACCTAGTTGACTAGTAATTTTGTTGAAGATCATATTAAAACATAAAACTTATTTGTTTTCTTAAAATATTATTATTCAAAAGACAGTGAGCAAAGAAGTTGAAAATTTGCATGGTAAGAAAATAATTTGGTCAAAATTATTAAAAGTTACCATTTTTATAATAATTCATTTTAAATAGGAATAAGAATTCTTAAATAAATAAAAAATTTGAAAAATGGAAACAAAATAATATAATTTGGATATCAAAATAATTAATATCTGGTTTTATTTTCACATTTCTATTTTTTTGTTTGTTTCATCTACACGGAACGGATTATAAAAACATTTAAATAAATAACGCGCGAACACAAGGATCCTAATCTATCATGACCTAAAGTTAATTTAAAACAAAGAGAATAATAATAGTAAATACTTTTGGGAATCTTATCCTAAAAGAGGAAAATGTAGAAGGTTTGGATATATGTTATCCTAGGGGAATCTTACCTAATTTAGTGCACGTAGGTAAGAAAATCAAATCACTCCTAGTTTTCTCATATATTTCATGTACGAGAGAAAACATAAAAATGCTCTAAAAAAATAGTTTTGTGTTGCTCTCACACTGACGTCTCACCGCAAAACCCCTGACGCCGCCTTCTTCGTCTCCTCATACATAACTCCGTGCGATAACATCGTCTCTCTCCCTTCACAGCGAGAATCGAAGTAAGGACTCAAAACGACGTACACATGCATACCAAGCAAGACCTATCTATTTGGTGTCATATCTTCTTCTTCTCTTACGTGACAAAACTTTTCTTGATTAGATCTTTAATTAATATATATGTTTTGTGTTGTGGGGTTTCGTTTCTTCTTCTTCTGTGATATTCATCTGATAGATCTGAAAATTTCTGAGCACTTTTTTTGTTTAATTATCTTGTGTTGATCTGTATTTTATATATTCAATCCTAATCCTAGGGTGAATGATCTCTGTTGTATGTTACAGATCTCCTGCTAGCCTTCTTGCATATATGTGTACTATGTTATAAATGATTCGTCACATTTCTTGCTTAATTGTATTTTATAATGTCTTATGGGTTGTATCAGAATATATTCGTATATTCTTACAATTACACGATAATGTACCGATCATGTATCATGTAGAATTTTGGTTTTCTTACAATTTCAATGCTTCGTTGACTCTTTTTTTTTTCTCATGAGAAAGAATTTAATGGACTGGTTTTGACTTTTGAACCCAATTACCTTCTTACGCATCTCTTAACTTAACAATAGACTTAGAGTTACAATATTTTTCAGCATCTCTTGACATGATATATATAATGTGTACGTAGTAATAATAGCTAGAACTAGCACAGCATCTGCTAAGTTTTTGTTATAAATTCTGACCTTTGAGGGATTTGCTACTCTAGAAATGGATACGAGTTTACGGCTTCCTCAACCCTTGGAACGGGGATCAGCGAAGAGCAAGAGTAGTCTTCTTCCATTATCTCGGCGTGGCCACGGTTCCAACGGCCGGAAGATTAATCTGCTCACTAATCACTTTAGTGTCGACTTCAGTATTAGAGAACTAAACTCTCAATATTTCTTCCATTACAGTGTACGCTTCTTTGTTTCCTTTTACTGTCCTGTCTCCGATCCCATGGGGTGTTTTGAAGTACGTACTTTACAGTGGGTTTTGTCTCTTTGATCTTTGGATATATATACAGGTTGCTATCACATATGAGAATGGTAGTCCAGTTATGACCAAGGGTGTTGGCAGAAGGATTCTTGAAAAAGTTCAACAGACTTATCAAACTGATTTGGATTTCAAACACTTTGCTTATGATGGCGACAAGAGTCTTTTCACTGTTGGCCCTCTTCCCAGATCAAAACTAGACTTCTCTGTTGTTCTTGAAGACGTGCCTTCTAGGAGAAATGCCGAGAAAAGACTAAAGCTTCCCCACCAATCCGAGAAATACAATGTTGCAATCAGCTTTGCTGCAAAAATCCCAATGCAAGCCATTTCACATACTCTTCAAGGAAGGGAAAGAAATCGTATTCAAGATATGATTAGAGCGATGGATGTCATTTTGGGCCAAAACGCAGCTAGACAGTAAGCAAATATATTCTTTGATCTTGCTTGATGTTTTTGATGTTCATGTACTTCTGTTTTGCGCAGAGGTTGCCTTCTATTTCGCCAATCTTTCTTCTACAACGACGCAAAGTACTTTGCGAATGTTGGTGAAGGTGTTGTTTGTTGCAAAGGATTCCATTCAAGCTTCCAAAATACTCAGGGAGGCTTGTCCCTCAAGATTGGTAATTTCTTTAAAATATGATCTTTAACGTGATTTTAAAATTCTTCTTCGTAACATTTCGGTTTTTTTTCTTAAATCAGATGTTTCGACTACGATGATCATAAAACCAGGTGCTGTTGTTGATTTCCTTATTGAAAATCAAGGTGTGAAAGATCCATTCTCTATTGACTGGAAAAAGGTAACTATATAGAAAGAATTCTCCAAATTGGTGTTTTAGCATATCTTTTGAGGTGAAGTACTTCACTTTCTGATTATTCTCATCTCTCATATAGGCTAAAAGTGCTCTCAAGAATCTAAGAGTTAAAGTCATCCACTCAAATCGAGAATACAAGATAACCGGACTAAGTGAACTACGCTGCAAAGATCAACCGTATGTTGTGAATTTGATGACTATATTCTTTAAACATATATACAGTATATGCTTTTTTTATTTCTTATCAAGAAGTCATCTATTTTTCTTGTATGATTTTTAGCTTTACTCTGAAGAAAAAGAACGCAAACGGGGAAGCTGAGGAGGTTGAAACGACAGTGTTTGATTACTTCACTAAAATGCGTGATATAAAACTGCATTATTCAGGTGACTTACCTTGTATCAATGTCGGTAAACCAAATCGTCCTCCTGTTTACTTTCCCATTGAGGTAATGTTTTGGTTTGTTTATTTTCTTGTTTATTAATGGCTTATATATGATAAATAAATACTTGGTTTGGGTTTTTTTTTCTCCCTTCACATTTGACAGCTCTGTGAGCTTGTATCTCTACAACGCTATACGAAAGCTCTTACCAGTTTCCAGAGGAGTAACCTAGTGAAAGAAGCAAGGCAAAAGCCACAACAGAACATGGATGTATTAACCAAAGTAAGGTCTTTAATTATTTTTCCATTTCTACTCTTTCTATTATCATTTATATATATATATATATATATATATATATATATTAAGTTCCATGTTATACAGGCTTGCAAAAACAGTAACTATAATGATGACCCCATGTTGCAAGATTGTGCTGTTAGAATTGGCTCTGGCCTCACTCAACTCCATGGTCGCGTGTTACCAACACCAAAGGTGCTTCTTCTTTAAGTCTTCTATCATATATATATATATATTTTTGATGTTATTATTAATATCTCTGATCTTTAATCCGTAAACAGCTAAAAGCTGGCAATGGAGCAGACATATTTCCTAGTAACGGGAGTTGGAACTTCATTGACAAGGTCCTTCACTATAGTGTTCTCTGTCTTCTCAACTCATAGTTGTTTGAAAACTTGTGACACTGATCGAAAATTTCATCTGCAGAAATTTTTTGAGCCAGCTACAGTGACTAGATGGGCTGTTGTGAACTTCTCTGCTCGCTGTGACCCGCACAAGATTATTCGTGAGTTGATCAGATGTGGAAAGATGAAAGGAATTGTAAGCTTTCATTTCTTCAGGATCATTGTTTACTACAAAGAACACTAATCACTCACAAAGCCCTTTCTTGTTTTGTTTTTGTTTGTTTGTTTCCTTCAATACCAGAACGTAGATCCTCCATACCGTGTCGTGTTTGAAGAAAATGCTCGGTTTAAGGGTGAACCTGGTTCTGTAAGAGTTGATAAGATGTTTGAATATTTACAATCAACACTCGGCCAAAGTCCTCCAAAGTTCCTTCTATGCATACTCGAAAAGAAAAACTCTGATGTTTATGGTAACACTAATCACTTAACATAAATACTTAGAAATATATAGTATACTTTTTTTTCTTTTCTCATATGAATTAACAAACTTGTCCCTTAGGTCCTTGGAAAAAGAAAAATCTTGTTCAGTTTGGAATCGTGAATCAGTGTATTGTTCCTCCTCAAAACGTAAAGGAGCAGTATCTCATAAATGTTCTCCTCAAGATAAATGCCAAGGTGATCTCATAGAATCAATCTTTAATTTCTAGTTTCTGACCCATATTAATTATATATTGTTTTAACTAATTAATCTCTGCCAACTTCTGTATAGCTTGGTGGATTGAACTCAATCTTGGATATGGAGCAGACACGAGCAATGCCTTTGGTAATGAGAGTTCCTACCATCATTATTGGGATGTCTATATCTCATGGCTCTCCGGGACAGTCTGATGCACCATCAATTGCTGCGGTAACATTATTGTTTTTTTAGTTTTTTTTTTTAATGTGTTGTTATGCACTACTGATACCTTTGGAATGTATAGGTTGTGAGCTCCAGAGAATGGCCATTTATCTCAAAATACAAGGCTTGTGTGCGTACACAGACCCGTAAAGCTGAAATCATTGAAAACCTCTTTAAACCCGTCTCTGACAAAGATGATGAAGGTATCATGAGGTAATAATATATATTACAGGACTATTTTGTACTCTTCTTTATGCAACCGTATCTGATTTTAGAAAAATTGCTGTGTGGTTTACAGGGAGCTCTTGCTTGACTTTGAGTCAAGTTCTGGAGTGAAACCAAATCACATTATCATTTTCAGGTATGCATGTGTTTAATCTACATATTAAACAGTCTTGTGAAAGTAGTTTATAATACAACTTTTCAAACTAAACTACACTGTAGGGATGGTGTGAGTGAGTCTCAGTTTAACCGAGTTCTTAATATTGAACTGGATCAGATGATGCAAGTAAGGGTTTTGGTTCTGTAATCTTTCAAGCTCTTTATATTAATTTAGCCTACATGTTGGACATTTTTGGAGTTATTTTTTTTTTCTTTCTCTGTTGCATAATTAGGCATGCAAGTTCCTGGATGAGAAGTGGGAACCAAAGTTTACAGTGATCATAGCTCAGAAAAACCACCATACCAAGTTCTTCCAGACCAGAAGCCCTGATAATGTTCCTCCAGGTAAATAGTTTTTGATTTTGTTTGTTGGTGTTGTTGAAACGACATGGAAACGTACGTGTTCTTTGTTTACCCGCAGGAACAATAGTTGATAGCAACATCTGTCACCCACGCAACAACGACTTCTATCTTTGTGCTCATGCTGGAAAGTTTGTAAGTAGAAAGTATTTTTATATATGCTCGAATCCATTATGAAGGGAAAAAAAACTTTAGAACCCTTTTCTATTGATTTCCATGTGTTTAGGGAACTACAAGGCCAACACATTACCATGTGCTCTACGACGAAATTGGATTCAATACAGATAACCTCCAAGAACTTGTGCATTCTCTATCCTATGTGTAAGCATCAGATCAGTTTTTTAACCTCTTAATATGATGCACTTTGATTCTCTGTCACGAAGTAGCCAGTGTAACCTTTTACATTCTTTGGTTTTGATCCAATTGTAGCTACCAGCGAAGCACATCTGCCATCTCTCTTGGTAATTCTTTGGCATTTGATATCTCTCTCAGCTTTTATATGTGTGGAATTGTTGCATATAAGTAGTTTTAGATGCTGTTAGATTATAGTTTGCTTACGTTCATGTTTTTTACAAATGGGAAATGACACAACCTTCAGCGATGTATGATGCAACCTCTCAAATATTTGCAGCTGCGCCTATATGCTATGCTCATTTGGCAGCTTCACAGATGGCAACTGCAATGAAGTTTGAGGACATGTCTGAGACTTCACCGAGCCATGATGGGATCACAACAGCTGGAGTAGTCTCTGTGCCACCCATGCCGAAGCTGAACACCAAGGTTTCTGGTTCAATGTTCTTCTGTTGAAAGAGATAAATAGGCACCATTCATTGACTTGGCTTTTTCTCCTGATTAATGAACAAACCAAAGACACAAGATTCTCTCTCTCGTTCTATGACTTTTCCTTAGATTCTATTTTTTTTTGTTTTTATAAATATATTCACCGTTGACTTGGCTTTTTGTTCATTATGTGGCTGACTAAGATTGATATGCATGGGTTGATACTTATTATATATAATAACCCAATGACATAAACAACAACATTACGTGAAGTTATTATATATACTGAGGCTCAAGGAGATATCAATCTTTAAAACATTGTACAGAGGAAAAAACTCAAAACAAAACGAAGCCTTGAGTCGATGTACAATTCCGAAGAGCCACTGTACAATGTTGTATGGTTGATTACCAGAAGGGATTGGTGTATGGTTGATAATTTGATCTACTGCCTTAATATGAAAGGGAGTATATATTGGTGTGAGCCAGATGAGTTGGATTTGCGTGAGCCAGATGGGATGATGGATACAAAGGAGGTCAAGGGTTTGGGCCCTCTCAAATGGAGTCTCTTTCGTTCCAGAGTGATCCACTTTGGTGAGCATTTACGTCATCGGTGGGAGGTTGATAAGATCAAGCATGGTATAACCCCCCAAACGAAGCCCATGTTTAGTATAAGCCACGAGTTGGAAGATTTACTTCCAGGGGCAAGACTGAGCAACTCTGGTGGTGGGAATATTATGCCTTTCTGGGACATCATTGAGGGGGATCACCTCGAGATTTGGTGTGCAGAGATCTCTTTGGAGAGACGCCAAGGAGGCGATGTTTGGGGCAACATTGAATGGTCTAATGCTGTCATGATCATTGATCCTTTCTTAGATCGTTATAAGGTTTTGTATTCTGCTTCTGTAACTCTCTGAACTATCAACTTGTTTGGGTTTTTCTTCTGCTTCTCCGAATTGATTTTTTTTCTTGTTATAGTGGTTGCTATCTATACAAGATTAAGAGAATAAGAGGGTACAAAAGAAACAAAACTGAAGCAGAATATCATTGTCCCTTATCTGTCCACCTGTGGCACTCTGTGCTATGACCTCTTCCTTGTCCTTGTAAATGGTGCTGCTGGAAGTAGAGAGATACGGCTGCTATTGTTTTGTTCTTCTTGGCCTGCAGATGCATATTGACTACTTGCAATATAAATGAGTTTTGTAAAAATAGTTCTAGACTTCTAGTTCAATCACATATCCCTTTCTTAGTCCACCTCATCCGCCTAAGTTTCCCAATACTCACACGGTGTGACTCACACCCCTAATAAAAAGACCGGTTCTCAAGTCCCTTGTGTGATTGCAGAAACTAACTTGAAAAGTTTGATAAGAAAACGACCTGCTTCGTAATATATAATTTGGTTAATGAAACCTAGCGTCATCACACATCATCTTGCTCACAAAAATGCACTCCTCGAATACTTAAGTAATGTTAGAAAAGAGGAACATTAAAGCCTCAGCTGCAACAACATCCCCCAAACCAGAATGCAGCTGTAAAAATGTCACATATATTATCCTTTTTTTTTTTTTTTTGGACCAATATTATCCAAATTTTCTTTGCTGAAAGTAACATGTATTACAAAAGAGGGTGACAACCACATAAACAATATCTACGGTACATCCATGATCCTCCAAAGTAGATATACCCTGCATTGCCCATTAGGAATGTGAACTAGTGTCACAGACTCACAATCACGGATAATCACTAAGGAAAATGCGTCATGGAGGAGAAGACTATAGTTTATCCATCATGAATCATACCATATAGAAGCTATTTTAAGATCAGTTAGACTAGATAGAATCTTATGAGATTTAATGGGATTCAAAATACTTTAAACACGAAAAGAAGATACATCCAAAGCTGTTACTGAGGTGAAAATTGAAAGAGTTTACCTATCATAGAGTTAGGAGGACTTAACATCATATATATATATATATTTTTGAATACAGAAAAGAACAGCAGCTGTATATACCCTCTCTATGGCTACTACCTGAGAAAATGCATAGTGAAGCTCTAAGTGGTTCGTTGTCGAACATGTCGGCTGCTAGTATCGCCACCACCGTCAGAAAGTTGGGCCCACACGCTCTGAGACTTTGCTCCTCCAGTACTGTTACTGCCTTCCTCCTGACCAGCCACCGCCTTCAGAAGCTCAGACTGAAGGGTCACACATTCATCCTTCATTTGTTGATAAGCCTCTGTGTCCAGGACAGCTGTAATATCCAAGTCCCCACCAAATCAAACACAACAGATGATCCATTAGCTCTAGCGATACCATCATATACTTTGATTTCGTAGTGTCTGGTATTAAAAACAGTTTTAAAATGCAATACAGAAGCATACCTGCAAGGTTCTCAGCAGTAAATGTTAGGCAAACACCTTTTAGTTCCTTAGCATTATACCTGTCGGCCAACGCTAAGATCTTGGCGACGGATTTGACTGATACACCCTTGCAGATGTGAGCTTCACACAACAACCTCAGCCTGTTCAGGTCGTACTTGTCTGCTGCTGCTAAAATTTTTACAATCAATGTCTCATATATTTCTGACAGCTTTAAGCGCTCAAATGTATGAGTTGTCGCAGGCTCAACATCTTCTGGAAGAGAATCTTTATACATAAAATGTAGCAAAGCCTGGAAGGAACAGAGTATAAATTTAGGATACAATCTGAACAAAAGGGAAAAAGTAAAGAAGAACCACCAATGATGTACCTTAAATACCCTAGGTTCCAAATCGTTAATAGTAACCTCTGAATTGTTTGCGTCAAACTCACTGAAAAACGTCGACTTGAAAAATGGAGATCGAGCAGCCAGTACTAGTTTATGAGCTAGAAACTTCTCGCCAGCAATGTCAAAAGTTACATCAGAACCTTCCATGCTATCCAGTAAAACTCCAAAATGTGCTCCAAGTTCTGAATCAGGGACGTGAACAGAGTGTAACTGTGGGCAGTGTATTTCTGAAACCACAACCCCAACTGTACAATTGATTATCAAGCAATCATCTTTGAGAAAGTCAGATGTCTCAAGCAGGGAACGTCTGAAGAAACGTTTGTATCCCCTAATCAAACCACAAAAAGTAAAAGAGGATAAGGGGAGCTTGAGTTAGCAGAACGTTTGCCAAAAGACAAATGTAAAGAGAAGATCAAGTTTATCTCAGATTCTCCACTGAAATAACCTCCCAGTTAAGACTTAAGCAAAGGCTATGCCTGGATACACTTAGTTAGCAAAACATCTTAGAAATTATAGATTTCCCTTTCAATTTTCTTCCCAACATGACCATTATAAAGCCACCCACATGGCCACATCTAATCTCTTTTGCCATATTATTCTTCTCACAAAGAAGATTAGGAAATGGGAGCAAGAATCCACCTCACTCATAAATCAGAAGAATATTACTACACTTACTATGACTACTTTTTTTTAACGCCAAAACACCATATTTCATTCATTATGATGACACTGACTACGGCTAGCTACTTTATCCATTTTCATTCACAACATGGAACATCATGCAACACTGAAAGAGTTCAAATTCAGATTCCTCCTTAGCAGCTCACAAGTATTAAGTACACCCAGCAGCTATAGCTCTGTCTCTTCCAAACAAGTCCAGAATTCCTCAAAAGACAATCTGAACTCTGAGCTACAAGTACCCTAACATTAACATGATATGTACACATCTTTCTCCTATTTATTTTGCTGTCACAACCAGTAAACAAATATCTACCATAGAATTCCATCACAAGGGTGAAGCCGGATGAGGGAATCACGAGTCAGATCAAGCTCATGGTTAGTTACTTAATCCTAATACAAAGTATTAAAAACCCTACTCGAGAGTAGTTCTGCCTCGCAGTGCTTGATTAAACATGCATCAATTTAGTAAGCAAAGAGAAAAGCCAACAAGAGACGCCTACAAACGAACTAATTAACACCCTTTAATTTTCGAAAACCTAGAATTATGAGAAGTGAGCATAAACCAGCTAGGTGAAAAAATCGTACCACATGCTTCCTCTGTATTTGAGAGTATAAGGACCACCATCAAGTGACCGCTCGAAATGGCTATGAACCTTGTGCTTCCCCTTTCCGCTTTGATCAACAAGAGCAAGCTCAAAAAGTGCCCTAACTTCGGTACCTTCACTAGCCAGTGCGATAAAGACAGAGACGTACGACGAGTTATCCTCCGGATTCTTACCGTCCGGGTAGAAGAAGATCCCCCACTGATACCCTCCGACGGAGAAATTATCACTCGCTATGTGCTTCCCTACACCCATCCCTTTAGCTAAGCTGTAACCTTGTATCACGAATTGATGCGACCCGTTCACCGTCTGCGTCACCGATTTTGAAGTCGTCGGAGACAAAACCCGATCCGGATTCGGTCCCGGAATCAATGATCCAGACATCGTTTTGAAATTCCCGGCTACTCTTGTGGTAAGCTGATCGACGAAGACAAGAATCTTCCCTTTGATTTTCCAGAAATAAGATTCTAGGGTTGTGAATTTTCAATTTTGGAATTTGGTTTCAGACCGTTTTAAAGGAAAAAAAATATATCAGAAGAGGGAAGTGAAAACAAAACGTTCTCCATTGTCTAACATGCCAGTTTCATCAAATATGAGCTGAATAGTAGTGTTTGGTTACGGGTTTAAAACTTAAAATCCTAAATATTGATAAAAAGTCAAACCTAATCCCATTGCCAAACAAGCCCGTCAACTTTGTTCGTATTCAAGAGTGACCATCGTATCTCCTCCTCTCTCTCTCCATCAAGCATCGGGAAAAATGGATAGTCATGAAGGTTGTTGTGGCGGCGAGGGAAAGACGGAGATGATTCCGACGGAGGAAGCTCTGAGAATAGTACTCGGCGTCTCCCATCGTCTGCCTCCGGTAATGGTTTCGCTGCAGGAAGCACTTGGGAAAGTGTTGGCGGAGGATATTCGAGCTCCTGATCCTCTGCCTCCATATCCTGCTTCCATCAAGGTGAGTAGCTTAAACCTATAATTGATTCAATCTAATGGAACTGAGTTCACATTTGACAAGTATGATCAATTGAGTACTATGACGAGAATACTTGAATAGCTTGACATTATCGTTTTATTTATGCTGTTAAGGATGGGTACGCGGTTGTTGCTTCAGATGGTCCTGGGGAATACCCTGTTATTACAGAATCAAGAGCTGGTAATGATGGACTGGGTGTGACTGTTACTCCTGGAACTGTGGCTTATGTAACAACTGGTGGTGAGTATATTGCATTTGTTGAAAAATCTCTTACTGATGATTTTGTTTCATTTTCTCACTTGGAAACGTTTTTCCTAAGTATTTGAGAGTGCTTCTACTCTCTCCTAGGTGTCTACATGGGAGAGTGTCAGAAAACTAAATGTTTCTTTGATTTCAACTTTCTGTTTTCTTTGTTCTGTTTTTCTTAAGGACCTATACCTGATGGAGCGGATGCAGTTGTCCAAGTTGAAGACACTAAAGTAATTGAAGACGTCTCAACGGAAGTTAAAAGAGTAAAAATACTGATTCAAACTAAGAAAGGCACCGACATCCGTAGAGTGGTATGGTTTCTTCTTTCTTGTTTATGTAATCTGTCTTGTACTTGCTATCGTTGTTTTCCTTTATCTCTTACTGACTGTTTGCTAAATAACTGAAGTATCATACTATTCTTTATAAGGTACTGACATTTGTTAATCCAAGAAAATTTTAGGATGCATGTGAGACCGATATTTTAAATGAATTGAGTTTTTATTATATTTGATGAGTAAGTTATTGGGGCAAATGGAAATGCTTGGCGAGTTTTGATATATGCACGTAAATAGGACATCGACCTGTCTTTTGCTACTATATAGGTGTGAGTTTTTAATGTTTTAGGACTTAGACTATGCATGCAAGAGGTTATCACTTCCAAGACCTGAGGATAGCTAAAGTTTGTTTCCCTTTTATTGTAATCAATTTTAAAACGTTGATGAAAAAAGCAGTTTTTTTTTTCCAGCAGTTTGAAGGAAATACAATGGTTATAGGTTCATTATTATTTGACTTCTAAGATCCATACAATTTATATGCTAGGGTTGCGACATTGAGAAAGATACTACTGTACTAAAAACTGGAGAAAGGATTGGTGCCTCAGAAATCGGCTTGCTAGCAACTGCAGGAGTAACCATGGTGAAGGTATTGCTGTATATCAGTTTTATCTAAGAAAATTTACTAAATGATGTGTCCAAAAAAGAAAAAATATAACATCCCTATAGGTATATCCTATGCCAACAGTTGCTATTCTCTCTACTGGAGATGAACTTGTCGACCCGTCAGCTGGGACTTTAGGTCGTGGTCAGGTATTACGCAGAAATAAGATTGTGATGCAAAAAAGATATTGGACCTTGTTATCTTCAGTGAATAAACAAATAGCTCTTTGCAGATTAGGGACTCCAATCGAGCAATGTTGGTGGCAGCAGTGATGCAGCAGCAATGCAAAGTTGTCGACCTTGGAATAGTTAGAGATGACAAAAGAGAACTTGAGAGAGTTTTGGACGAGGCTGTATCCTCTGGGGCCGATATTATTTTAACATCTGGTGGTGTGTCAATGGGAGACAGGGATTTTGTCAAGCCATTGCTCAGAGAGAAAGGGAAAGTACATTTCAGCAAGGTAAATAATTGGTATTGTTATCTGAACTTTCTCCCTGGAGTTTATTTCTTTCTCTGCTTTGCAGAAAGAGCTGGCTACTATGTTGTCTAAAATTTTTATGTTGCTGGACTCTACTTTAATTTCTCAGCTTAAGCTCAGCAAGTTGACAATGTTTAGTTTGCTATATAGATTGAACCAAGATGTTTTATATTTTAGTTTTGTTTCAGGTATTGATGAAACCTGGGAAACCTTTGACATTTGCTGAGATCAGGGCAAAACCAACTGAAAGTATGATGGGGAAAACAGTCCTTGCATTTGGATTACCTGGAAATCCCGTAAGCTGTTTGGTTTGTTTCAATATCTTTGTTGTGCCTACAATCCGCCAGCTTGCAGGATGGACAAGCCCCCATCCACTGAGGTTAGTGAAGTTTTCATTATACTTATTTCGCTATATGAGTTTACTCGAAAATGATTGCTAGTGAAAAGGTAAATAACCGTCTGATCTCGGTGCAGAGTGCGAGCTCGACTTCAGGAGCCCATAAAGTCTGATCGCATTCGTCCGGAGTTTCATCGGGCCATCATCAAATGGAAAGATAACGATGGATCAGGGACTCCCGGGTGAATTTCATAATTATGTCTGCTTTTGAGTAAAAACTTAGTTGGATCTTCCTAGATTTTCTTTGAAGTTCCAGTATGCATTACTTGGCTAATGAGATATACCTGGATGTCAGATTTGTTGCTGAGAGCACTGGACATCAGATGAGCAGTCGGCTATTAAGTATGAGGTCGGCAAATGCTTTGTTGGAGTTGCCTGCTACGGGAAATGTGATATCTGCTGGAACATCTGTATCAGCTGTACTTGTTTCTGATATTAGTGGCTTTTCAATAGACAAGAAAGCCTCATTACCAGAACCAGAATCTATTCGAAAAGAAAAAAAGTATGAAGTACCTGGGCCGGAGTATAAAGTGGCTATTCTAACTGTCAGTGATACTGTCTCAGCTGGGGCTGGACCTGATCGAAGGTATGATTATTGTTACACTTTCTTGATTTTCCCATTGCAAGTCTGGATGAGATGATTTATGTTATGTAAGAATGTTGAAAGAGATACCATTAGTTTTTTTTTTGTTTCCTTTTACAAGTATTAGACTGCATAACAACTGTTGGAAGATGATACGGAAATGGCAATGCTGAGTTTTTCTTTCTCCTGCAATACATTAATTTCAATGAAGTTCTTAAACATATTTTTCCTGCATGTCTTACCTTATAATTGCGATATATAGGTGTTTTTCAAAGAGAAATTTATGCTTGTGGGTAAAAAAGCACTCTGTGTTTCTAAAAGACCTGTTACTTGTTGACTATTTAATGAGACATAAGCTAGAATTAGTAATGTAGAGTTGATAATCTCTTCAGTCGGAGTTAAATGCAGTGATTAGAAACTCTGGAACAGTCCGGCTTAACAAGACTTCATTTTCTTCAAATAAAAAAAAGTGCATCTAGATACATCTCTCCAGTTCGTTATTCTGGTGAGGTCACAAATATGATGCCATATTAAAACTGCACAGTGATATTGCTCCCTGTATTAGTGAGACAGGGCAGCTTCACAGTGCTTTGCTACATCTCTAGGTAAAATCCCATCTCAATGCCATTTAACATGAAGATGGTTTGGGGTTGATTATTTTTATGCCAAACCCTCTCCAGATATTTTTGTTTGTTTGTGTGTGTGAGAGTTTAGGTCTAATCATTTGTTTCATGATCATTTCTTGATTGATTTTCTTATGCTGGACTGGTGCAGTGGCCCCAGGGCTGTATCAGTGGTTGATTCCTCGTCTGAAAAATTGGGAGGAGCGAAGGTAGTTGCGACAGCCGTTGTTCCCGATGAAGTGGAAAAAATCAAGGACATCCTCCAGAAATGGAGCGATGATGACGGAATGGATCTCATTCTTACACTTGGTATACAAAATTACAAACATCTAATTATTTTTCATAGATTTTTTTGGTGTACTTGAAAACGGGTTTTTAATACTTAAACTCTTTGCAAACTAGGTGGCACCGGCTTCACTCCGAGAGATGTAACACCTGAAGCAACAAAAAAAGTGATTGAGAGAGAAACACCCGGTCTCCTCTTTGTTATGATGCAAGAGAGCTTAAAGGTAAAATACTCTTAACTGTAATGATGTTTAATCTGTGGGTGAACCGTGAACCGAACCCATCCAATTTTTGAAAACCAAACTGAGCCTTAACACCACAGTTAAGATAGTTTTTTCTTTTTAAATATCCCAAAACCAAATTAGGTGAGTATTTTTCTAAAAGTGGAACTGAATTGAAACGCTGATTGAATCATTGGATATGGAAAGGAATGAGTTGTCATGTGACTCTGCATTTTTGTTCTTTTTGAGCAGATCACACCATTTGCGATGCTCTCACGCTCTGCAGCAGGAATTAGAGGCTCAACATTGGTACACATCTCGAACTTCACATTGGTGGAATCTGTAACTTGCCATCACTCACGATTCTGTCTTTTGGTCTCTCAGATAATAAACATGCCTGGAAACCCAAACGCAGTGGCCGAGTGTATGGAGGCTCTGTTACCAGCTTTGAAGCACGCACTGAAGCAGATCAAAGGAGACAAGAGAGAGAAACATCCAAAGCACATACCTCATGCAGAAGCCACTACACCGGCTGATACATGGGACGAAAGCTATAAGTCGGCCTATGCGACGGAAGAAAAGAAAGAAGAGGCTGGATGTTCTTGTACTCACTAAAATGTTTCCAGCTTCTGAGTGTAAAAACTTTTGACAGTTCTCTGGCTTACTTAGAGAGTTACATGCGTTGTTATAGTTTTGTAATAAGGTCTACTTGACTTGCTGTAAAAATGCATGTCCGCCAAAATGAGAAAAATACAGTGTATAAGAAAGTATACTATATGATCATAACGGAAGCAAAAGTTACACAAAATGTCCCAATGTTTGATCAACATTCTTTCTCATTATCGATTTGCTTTTACGAACTCGATTGAAATTTTTGTATAATTAGGAAATGGATTAAAAATATATATATAAAAATAAAAACAGGGAAACGAAATGAAAAAGTAGGGAGTCTCCTCTTTCCCCGGATACAGTGAACAGAAATAGGAGCTCAGTTTGAAACTCAAAAAGCTATAAAAATGGGTCAGCTCGCTCTTCAGAGACTCCCGCCGGTAGCTTCGCTTCCAAGACGCCCTCCTTCTCTCCCCCCTCCGTCTTCCGCTCCTCCGTCTCTCCCTTCCGCTACCTCTCGCCGCCCTCTCCGTCCCCGATTCTACGTCGCCAGGTTTTTTGTTTCCGTCGGATTCGTTGGTGTGCTTGCAACTCTATATTTTGATATTTTCTTTGGTTATGGATTCACAGACAATCCAACCGATTCCTGTTATCACTAAATTGGGTGTATCCTACCATTGAGCCATAGAGAGACCTTAGTTTGTCTTGGTTTACAATATTGAATTGTTACAATAGGTTGTTTCTTAGCATCCATATGCATCAGCATCCAAAACTTTTTTTGGTTTGTGTTGAATTATATGCTATATACTTACATTCATGAAATTTTCCCTAATCCTGTTGTTGTCTCTTGTTTGTGAAAAAAAAAATAGAGCAATGTCATCTCACATTGTCGGGTATCCCCGAATTGGGCCGAAGAGAGAGCTTAAGTTTGCACTGGAATCTTTCTGGGATGGGAAAACCAGTGTTGATGATTTGCAAAATGTTGCTGCCAACCTGAGAAAATCCATTTGGAGACATATGGCTGATGCAGGTATCAAGTATATTCCCAGCAACACCTTTTCATACTATGATCAGATGTTGGATACCACAGCGATGCTTGGAGCTGTTCCCTCTAGATATGGTTGGGAAGGTGGTGAGATTGGGTTTGATGTTTACTTCTCCATGGCACGGGGAAATGCTTCTGTTCCTGCTATGGAGATGACCAAGTGGTTTGATACGAACTAGTAAGTTGAATCCCTTTTCTTTTCTTTTTATAAAGTTTGTTTAGTCAGTTATAACGCTAATAAAATGTCCTGACAGCCATTACATTGTTCCTGAGTTGGGTCCTGATGTTGAATTCTCCTATGCATCTCACAAAGCTGTGGTTGAATTTAAGGAGGCAAAAGCAGTAAGTTGAATAGAACCCTTCTCACTTATTTTGGCCCGGCAAAGCTTTAAGTTGAGCTGTAACTGCTGTTTTGATACTAGGATGTAGATAATTCATGATATTGTTGTACGTTTATATTTTTCTTCAGCTTTCCTCTTTGTTTCCCAAGGTTCTTATTCACAGCTGTGCTTTTGGCTGTTCATGGCACAGCTTGGCATAGACACAGTTCCCGTACTCATTGGTCCCATGACCTACTTGCTCCTGTCAAAACCAGCAAAGGGTGTCGAAAAATCATTCTGTCTTCTTTCTCTGATTGACAAGATCCTTCCAATCTACAAGTAAGAATGTTTTGAGGCCAACTGCAAGGTTTTTAGAAATTAGCTAGACAAAATTAATTTAAAAAAATACAGTTTCATTTGTATAGTGCTCAAACCTTAACTAGTTTCTGTGGCTTTTTTTTTCAGAGAAGTTTTGACTGATCTCAAATCTGCTGGTGCACGATGGATTCAGTTCGATGAGCCTGTACTTGTGATGGATCTTGATACCAGCCAATTGCAGGCATTCTCCGATGCGTACTCGCACATGGAGTCATCTTTGGCGGGATTGAATGTTCTTATTGCCACATACTTTGCAGATGTTCCTGCTGAAGCATACAAGGCGTTGATCTCTTTGAAATGTGTAACTGGGTTTGGATTTGATCTTGTTCGTGGATTGGAGACTCTTGATTTGATCAAAGAAAGTTTCCCTCGTGGAAAACTACTATTTGCTGGAGTTGTCGATGGGCGGAACATATGGGCGAATGATCTTTCTGCTTCACTAAAGACACTACAGACTCTTGAAGACACCGTTGGGAAAGGTGTCAGTAAAAAACAGTTCAGTCGATTGCTATTACTTTACTATCTAGCTTCACAATGATGTAAACCTTTCTCTTTTCTTTGCAGAAAAAGTCGTGGTTTCCACTTCCTGCTCTCTACTCCATACAGCTGTGGACTTGGTGAATGAAATTAAACTTGATAAAGAACTTAAATCGTGGCTTGCATTTGCTGCACAGAAAGTCGTTGAAGTGAATGCACTTGCCAAAGCATTTTCTGGGGCTAAGGATGAGGTACATCTTCTGAAGTTTTTAATCTTGGAACATGCTGTAGGCTCTGCTTTTCTAGCTCTAGAAGGTCTTTGACTTATAAATTTTCTCACGATTGATTGTATTGGCTTAAAACATATGGTTGAATGACTACAACTACAATAATTCGGAAAGAATTTATATCTCATATACTGGACTTTTCCCTGACCCATGGATCATTGCTAGGACTTTGCATTTTTTTTTTTTTATATCAGAAGAAGTTAACCTTTGACTTTGTATTGTCTGGTCCCTTTGTAGGCATTGTTTTCTTCTAATTCCATGCGTCAAGCTTCCAGAAGATCATCTCCAAGAGTGACAAATCCAGCTGTACAGCAGGATGTAAGGGGTTATCTAACAAATTGCTCTCTTCCTTTTCCTTTTTTAGTATCCTGAACTTATATATTTTAGTTACTTTCTTACTCAGGTTGCTGCACTAAAGAAATCTGATCATCACCGTTCTACAGAAGTAAGTGTTAGGCTACAAGCTCAGCAGAAGAAGCTAAACCTCCCTGCTCTTCCAACAACTACGATCGGATCTTTTCCGCAGACAACGGATCTCAGACGAATACGCAGGGAATTCAAGGCCAAAAAGTAAGCATATCTAAGCCAGTAATGTATCTGAAATTCCGACATTCACTATTTTAATAGTCATGGAAACACTGCAATTGCAGGATATCAGAAATCGACTATGTCCAGAGTATCAAAGAGGAATATGAAAAGGTTATCAAGCTTCAGGAAGAGCTTGGGATTGATGTATTGGTGCATGGGGAGGCAGAGGTGACAATATACCTTAATCTAGATTTAATATTCAAACTATTCTACCCCCCTAATGTGACATAGTTCTGCAGAGAAACGACATGGTGGAGTATTTTGGTGAGCAACTGTCTGGTTTTGCTTTCACTTCGAATGGGTGGGTCCAATCATATGGGTCCCGCTGTGTCAAGCCACCTGTCATCTATGGTGATATCACACGGCCAAAGGCAATGACTGTTTTCTGGTCGTCAATGGCACAGAAAATGACTCAACGTCCTATGAAGGGGATGCTCACTGGCCCTGTTACAATTCTCAATTGGTCTTTTGTTAGAAATGACCTACCCAGGTATGACAATTAAGACTCTCAACTTTTGTTTCACTCTTATGATATATCATTTCACCATTGTTTTTGTTTATAGGCATGAGACGTGTTTCCAAATTGCACTTGCCATCAAAGATGAGGTTGAGGACCTTGAGAAGGCTGGTGTTACTGTTATCCAAATTGATGAAGCTGCATTAAGAGAGGGATTGCCTCTCAGAACATCCGAGCAAAAGTTTTACCTGGACTGGGCCGTCCACGCATTCAGAATCACAAACTGTGGTGTGCAAGACACTACCCAGGTCATCTGTACTTTACTTTATTGTTCCTTTCCATTATTTTTTACCAGTATGTTGATAATGATGAGAGTTCTCCCATTTTTGTGGACAACTGAAACGTGATTTCAAGATGAAGTATGTAACCTAGATTGTGATAAAGATCTAATTTTATTCAATGAGTTTTGTTATTCAAATGAAACCATTTAATCATACCCTCCTTGTACCTCATGCAGATCCACACCCACATGTGCTACTCAAATTTCAACGACATCATTCACTCAATCATTGATATGGATGCTGATGTGATCACTATTGAGAACTCACGGTCAGATGAGAAGCTCTTATCAGTTTTCCATGAAGGAGTGAGATACGGTGCTGGAATCGGTCCAGGTGTTTATGACATTCACTCTCCTCGTATCCCATCCGCTGAAGAAATAGCCGAGCGTATCAAAAAGATGCTTGCTGTTCTGGACAGCAAGGTCCTTTGGGTGAACCCTGACTGTGGCCTAAAAACGCGGAATTACTTTGAAGTTAAAGCCGCACTTAAAAACATGGTTGCTGCTGCTAAGCAAATCCGCTCTCAGCTAAATAAGTCATAAACCTTCCTTTAGTAAGTTTGTTCAAACTACCTCTTTCTTTTCTCTCTAAATCTTTATTTATTTTGCTTAGGTTATATATAGAGTTTCTCTATGAGTGCCTGGAATGTACTTATTATTATCCATTTATCAATCTCGTCAATTTTCATCTTATTTTGTAGAATATCTCCATTTGTAGATTTTTGTTTTTAAATCATATAGCAATCCTTGTAGAGTTGGTACTTATTTCTGATTGTTTTCCTCAGTTCTAGTAAAAGTTTCTGGGACCAGTAGTAATTATTCTAAGGCTAATTAAAACCTATAAAATGGAGTTTTTCTCATTTCTCGTCACATGGAATTAGCAAATATTATTTATTTTTTTGCATGAATGAGCTTATACATTGTGAGATGCAAATGTAAGGGTCACTCATTCCTCGGTAATCCACACAAGGGATGAACGCACTGCATTTCTAGCATACAGTAAGATTAGCAGAACCAATGACAACGAAGCAACCAAATTGCAAAGTAACTGTCTTTTGTTCTTAGCTTCCTTTACCACATTTCCAGTTGCCTCTTTGTACTTCTCGAACCATTTCGCTCCAACTTTGTCTTTCTCCTCATCCTTGGAACTCAACTGTCCTTTAGGCTCACCAGTTAATTCCTTTTTTCCATTCTGTACTTCCCTTGCCTTTTGTTGTGCATCATGTTTGACCTGCTGTGCATCATGTTTCAGCTTCTGTGCATCATGATCGGTTTTACCACCGCTCGGCTTCTCAACCATTGCTTTTGGAGCCTGGTCTTGTTTTCTCTCATGCTGATCACGGGTTTTCATGATCACCGGTGGTTTGACTGGTGATGGTGGCTTAGTTTGAGGGATTTCTGTTTTGATTTTGGGATGTCGGATGTAGAGTTTGTTGTCCTTGAACATAGCTGAGATCGAGTCAGTGTCAACAGTCAAGGGAACAGGAATTTCCTTGTGGAAGCGAATCCATTTGTTTCCACCAGTTGCACGTTCTCCTATAAGTCTTAGCTTTCTTGTTGCGGTCACCGCCACCTTAAGTTGTTCTTTCTTGAATCCTAACCACAAAAGACAATGCTTATGAGCTTGCTTGCTCTTATCATACTCTTTTCTCTCTATTCTGTATTTAATGTAGAAAAAGTAACACCACTAAACAAGATCGAGAAGAAGAAAACGAACCTGGAAGATCAGCGACAAGGACCTCAGCGTCTGGTTCGGAGGTCCATCTAGTTGCAGGCTCAAATTCTTGGTAAACCCGTTCAATTCCAAAGTTAGCCATTCTCTCTCTCTCTCTCTCTCTCTCTCTCTCTCTCTCTCTCTCTCTCTCTCTCTCTCTCTCTCTCTCTCTCTCTCTCTTCTGTTTTAGGCCTGCTCTTTGTTTTTGGTTTATAGGTAGTGGTTTGTTTTGTGAGAAAACAGAGATAGATCTCTATGATTTTATAGGCCAAGAAGATTATATTAGACAACAAAGACATTTGTGATTTGGTTTTAGGTTGAAGAAACGAAGTACTAATTCTTTGGGTTTTCCACTTCCTCTTTCTCTTCTTTGAGTTTTCTTTGTCTTAAAGATTTTAATGATTCTTTTTCTTTGGTTCGATTTTAGCATTAAGTATCCTTTTTATTTGCCTGTCCACAAAATTAGAGTTTCTAACATATAGGATAATTATGTATTAATTATTATCATATATAATAATTTTATTTTACATTTGTATATGAGACAATATTAAACGATTCTTAAATCTGATCAAAGATTTTAGAAAACAAAATTATTGAAAGCTGGGAAAGGTTTTATCAGTTTTACAGAAACCGGTTTATCATAATCCCATACATTCTCTTATGCAATCAACTTAACAAAAAAATACACATACAGAGCCATTATTACATTCACATCACAATCACAAAACTGAAGCTATCAAATGTTCTTCCTCTGATGGATTTTCCAATCCAAGTATTTCTCGACAACATTGAGTCCACAAAACTCCTTCACGACAGGCATTGTTGCTGGAACAGGCAATTCGAAGTATTGATCAGTCCCTTGTTGGTTACTGCTCCATGTCAGAATCTGTTTCCTGGCTTCTTTAATAGCTGCTCGTACCGCACAGTGAACAGAAGCCGCTAAAAGCAATGGCGGTTCACCCGAAGCTGTATCAAAACCAATACAAAAAGTTTGAAAAAGACTTTTGAGTTTTGATCTTTTGAGTTTCAGTAAAAGAGAAATCAATGAGGAAAATAAGATAAGTCACCTTTGGATGAAAGAACACGATTCTTGTGTTGTCCACTATTGATAATCTCGACATTGAACTGTCTTGGGATTGTGTCGACCGTTGGGATCTTGTAAGTCCATGTGCTGTCTGTTACCACTAGACCGTCTGAGTTCATTAGGAACTCTTCAAGCATGAAGAACCCAAGTCCTTGAACAAATGCTCCTTCAATCTATAAACATAGAAAAACATATAACACTACATATTTAGATCAAGAACCAGAACAGACACACACATAGAGTGGTTTCCCGGGTCTAACCTGTCCTAAATCAACAGCAGGATTCAGACTTTTCCCGCAATCATAGATAATATCCGTACGCAGAATCGTTGTTTCTCCCGTCAAAACATTTATTTCAACCTGTTGATCACAACCAAAGAAGCGAAATTATATCACACAATGTTAAGTAAGCTGTGAGATCAGCTATTCTTCAATATTTGGAGCTCTTACCTCGCTTGCTGCAACTCCATAGTTAATATATTCACCATTGGAGTCCGGCGTGTATTTGCTACTAACGGACATGTTTATCGATTGCATATAAGCCTATATTAACAAAGACAATTCAAGAGTAAAACATTCTTAGTTCATCCAAATTAACCAAAGAACATCAGACGCATGAATGTCTCAAGAGTATGGACCTGACTGATGAGGTTTTCCCAAGTCACAGGTCCTCCTGTTTGCTCCACCAATGCGGTCTTGACAGGTAATAGTCTTTCCACTAAGCCATCACAACAAATCCTGACCGCTTCGCTGCTCGCCTCAGAGGTTGTGCTACCAGCAGTCATTGAGCCTTGCACCATACTTAGGGTGTCGGATTGGATGACCCGGATTTTATTGAGCAGCTCATCGCTTGTAGTTCCGCATTGGATCAAACCAAGGGAATATGCAGTCATCTGTTTTACCTTTGTCCACAGCCCTTGTCCTATCTCAATCCCTTGAACCTCAACCACTACTGAACCATCACTCAAAACGCTTACTCTTCCCGGTGTTGATCGCATACTCACTCCATAAACCGCAGGCACACGTGAAATCCCTCTCTTTCTCCACTTGTTTGATCTATTAAAATCCTCAACCATCTTCCTCCGCTGGTTAAATCCCGAGAACTCAGCGATTTTTTCCCAAAGCAACGGTAACGTGTACTCAGGGGATTCACCAGCTTTGGCATTGTGAAACAACCTTATGCTCTCATACGTGTGGAGATTAACCTTCCTGATCTCATCCACATCAATAGAAAGATATGAAGCAACTTTTTCAATGATGGCTTCTCCTATATATGATCCTTGTACATCCCCAGGAGCTCTCACCGCGGTTCTGCTCAAAGTGTTTGTTTTGCATAATATCACATTAAAAGAGAGAGCGCCCCAATCATACTTCATAAGTGCTCCTTGGATTCCCATTGGGATAAGCGGGCTTACATCTTCGGTTAAGCCTGCATCAAGTATCACCTCTACATCCAAAGCAGTAATCTTTCCATTGGATTTGAATCCAACACTATATGTGACTTTCATCGGATGTCTTCCTCCAGTAGTTATCATATCAGTTTTTCGGTTCACATATGTCCTCACAGGACGCTGCATTTTGGATGCTGCAAGTGCACAAGCTGCAGCCACCTAGAACAGGTTGTTGGAAGAAAAGGATAATGTTAAAATGATACACCAAACTTTCACTTGAGCGTACTTTTGAAAATGCATGCGAACTCACAGGCATTGACTTCACGGCTTTCCCACCAAATCCACCTCCAACTCTTCTAGTGATGACACGCACATTATGCTCAGGAACTCCAAGACATCCAGCGATGGTCTGATGTACAAACTCGGGGGCTTGAGTCGAGCTATAAACTACCATACAGTTGTCTTCATCCGGAACTGCAAGAGCTGTTTGTGTCTCCATATAGAAGAAGTACTGTGACCCGAAATTTATCTACATATTTACAGAAATCACAAAGATTAATGTGATTGAAAGACAAGAGCAGAGCTTGAGAGACATTTACGTTTTGGAAGGGAACCACCTTTGATCCAAGAATCTTGTGTTCAGCTTCACCCATTCCTTTGGTGATATCACCTACCGGGTAACAACGCAGAGGTGGAGGGATGTCGAAAAGGCTAGACTTTTCGATTGCTTCTTCTATGGAAAGTATTGGCGGTTCTAAATCCTTGGTATCATAATCAATCACAACAAGATTTGCTGCAATATCTGCATGCTTTTGACTATCTGCAACCTGCAAATAAAACATACTAAATTCGAGTTTACTCCACATAAATGCTCTAGAGGAAAAGAGAGTTCTTCACCGAACTTACCAAAAAGGCGATTATCTGACCCGCACAGTGAGTGATTTCTTCTGCAAACAAAAGATCCGAGGTAAAGAAACCGGTGGTACCCATATTTTTCCCGCCTTTGGGAATATCTCTGTAAGTAATTATGCCAAGAACTCCTTCTGGAACTCTGTTTTGCTTGAAATTTATACCCTTAATCCGAGCCAGCGGCATTGTACTGTAAATAAATGCGCCGTATAGACAATTTTCTGGAGCAGGAATGTCATCTACATAAACAGCCTCGCCTGCAAATTTATTAAGAAGCATTAACAGAGAAGCAATGTTTCACATTTTCACCTGGAAAATGATCAAAGGGTACTTATAGTACTCACCAGATGCTTGGAGACAAGCTCCAGCCTTTGTAATGCCTTTCCCGACCGGACTATGTTCTTGATTTTCAACTATTTGTTGTGCAGATGACAACATAGCTTCTGCAGCTTTCAAAGATTCACCATTCTGATCAAAACCAATCTCTTTGCGTCCTCCATTGAGCAAACCGTTTGAAGTTTTAGCGTTTGTTTGAGTTAAAGATCCGAAGAACTCAAAGAGAAAAGTAACAGCCAAGCTTGATCTATAACCGGGATTCAATGTACCCTTATCAGGTACTATCTCATCTTTAAGTAAGCCAATAGCTTCCATCAAAACTTCATCAGACATCACTTTTCCTGTAAGAAAGTCTTCAACCTTACTCGCCCTATGTGCATGTTTGGTTCCATAAGCCCCAAAAACTAAACGGCAATCATTCACAACAATACCATCAAGTGCTTCACTTAAAGAAACGTCAGCTGAGAAAGCCGCATTCAGAAATGCCAATGCGTTTCCTAGAGGACGTGGCGCTGCTCTATAAGTTTCAAAGAGCAAAATAGTATCAGAAGAAGAACCGTTCTTATTCACGGGACGCCAAGACGGAATCTGGAGGCTCAAAAGAAGAGATTTGGCTTCAAGAGGAGGCTGTGCAAGAAACTCTTCCAGTGTGAACTCTTCTTGAACCTTGCTGCTAGTCATGATCTTCACTGTTGCTCCAGCAGCAACAAGGATGGTTGTGAGATCAGAAGGAAACTGTTTCCTCTGCGCCATGATGATGTTTCCGCCTATGGTTCCTGTATTCCTAACAAATCTATTTGCAATTTTCTCCATATGAGTAGCAATTTTTGCCAACATTGGGACATTTTCTATCTCTCTTAGAACTTCAATAGCTTTTGATATAGTAACAGAAGCTCCTAATGCAACTCCCTTCTCATCTTTTCTCACCAGATTTAGCTCTGGAATCCGCCTTATATCGATAAATCTTTCGTACTTCCTCTCTTTTTCTTCTTTGTAATACCCGGTGCTCGTGTTACCTGCAACTAGCTTAACCGACAAACCATTCTCGACTTCTAATAACCCTTGAAGCTCCGAGACACTAACAGGGCTTGACCATCTGTACTTTCTTGAATCAAGAATCATATCGTTCTTGATTTCGTTCTTCAAGAATTCCGGAAATGTACAGACCTGAGATGATGTATGATCATAACATGGCAACCGTCCTAATACCTCATCTCTGTTTTCACCCTTCTTGCAAAAGGAATTAAATCCAAGATCTTCGATATCCACATCCGCTGCAAAACTCTTACAAGCGTCCACGAGCGGCCTGTATCCAGTACAGCGGCATAGATTCCCAGCCACAGCCTTCTCAGCTTCTGCAGCCGTGAGGTTTGAGAATCCGCTGCGAGGAGGATGAGACTTATCAGCGTTCAAGAGAGCGGAAAACATGGAAACACTCATTCCGGGTGTGCAGAAACCGCATTGCGTGGCGTGAAAACCTGCAATCCGCTCGTGGACCGCGTGGAAACCGACTCTGCTGTTCCCAAGGCCATCAGAGGTAGTGATGGAGCAGCCATCGATGCTGCAGAGGAGCGTGAGACACGAGCTGATCGTGAAGTCTTCGACTTTTTGGAGCAATGGATCATACTTTGAAAGAAGAACAACACAAGCGC